CCCGCGGGCAGCGAGTGCCACAATACCAAGAAAAGCCAAGACCTGCGCCAATCAAACACCTGTCCCATCATCAACAAGCGCGCCTGGGTATTGACGCATCTGAGAGAAAGAAACTTTTTTTCCCGCTCGTTTCTGCCGTCAAGGAAAAAAGCTCAACATGATCATGTCATCTGCCTCATCGTCTTGGCTTCAACCCTAATGCGCACATTTCCCCCGGACAACAGCGGGGGTCCCAGCTTATCATGGGTTCGGGTGGCCCTCCCATTTCAGAATCGTGTCCAAGGCGCGCAGTTATGCAGCACCCACCCCCCTCTCCTCTCCTCCCCCCCCCTGGGTAGCTCCACGGCGGTGACAATACGGCGGATGCGATGGCCGATGGGGCTCCATGTCGGCATGGCGAGCTGCCGACGCTTGCACAAAGACCGCGGCACCGCAGTCTTCATAACTCCAGCCATCACCGAGTCGCGGCCGATCCTTTACGATCGCCTGCCTAAAATACGGGGTTCCTGTCAGGGGGGCCACCCACCACGTTGGCCGTTGGTCATCATTGTACCCAGTTCTTTCCGATCCCGACGATGTGGGCAGAGTGGGACGGGACGGAAGAATGTTGGAGTCCGACTGGCTGCTTGATTATGGAGCAGGGCCTAGAGAAAGTCGAGAAGGAAAAATTGGGCAACGTAACAGAAGCGCCCTATTGTTCCCACATCATCATGTTTCGGGCCTTTTGACAGCGGGATTAACCCACCCTCTATGTCCTCACTATTGCTCAGGTTCTTCCTTGGTGTGCGATCAACAACAGCAACAAGTAGAAATCCTCTGAAGACGGCCGAAGAAATATGCCGAAAAGGGGAGCCCGAAGAGTTGCGGCCGAGTGGCCTACTTTAAGCCCGAAAAGAAGTTTTCTACTTATGCCCGAGTTCGAACATGGCCCGACATCAGAGGATTAGAATTGTGTGCGTCTAGCACTTTACTTTGACAGCAGTCGATCAATGCCAGGCCCACCACCATTGGCATACCTGCTGCTATTACTACTAGTAGTATTAATGTTGGCAAAAGTCGACAAAACGTTCGAGGCTCTCTCAGTGGGCTCTCCCAATCTTGGACAAAGCCCTTCATCACTTGCTCCAAGAAACCCAAATTGGCCCGCTTACAAAGCCTGTTGAGCCCCAAACAACACCCAACCCAGGGGTTACCCAGTATCACCAACCCAACTCAGACAAGGCGCCCAGCCCGACACGTGAACTCACAAGGTGCCATTGCCAGCACTGTCTGAGCCCTGTCCCCTTTCAAACATTGCCCTTCCATTGGGCCTTACTGATGTACGTATGAAGTCCGTGAATGATCTACCCGTCCTACACCTGAAGCAGTAAGAAACTAAAAAAATCCCACAATTGATTTCAAAACCCAGTCGAATACTACTAAATAAAATTTTCTCTCCTAGCATGGGGGGGAATCAAAGTAAGAGAAAACCAAAAAAAAATAAAAAATAAAGAATTAAGCAAGTGAAAAGGTGCTCCGTAAGAGCTACACTAGCTACCTCCACTGTCGGGCTACGGGGTTTACAACACTCCGCTCCGCCCTCCGTCGCAAAAGCCGAAATCACATTTCGATTTCCAACCACTCGCTCTCTCTAGTGGTCCTTGTTATTTTTATTTTATTTTTCTTTTTATTGTGGCATGCACAATCTATAATGTAAAGCCCAGTCCAAGGACCAGCGCATATAGACAAATTCGCTCCACCCTTCCCACCTCCACCAGCGGACGCGCCACAACCCGCTTTCCCTTTTTTCCTTAAACGCAGCAGTAGCATCATCATCATCATCATCGCATAAACGGCGCCCTGAGCCCTCCCGCGTTTAGTTGAACTTGCGGCTGGTGGAGACAACGCTTCTTTAGGACCGGGACGGTCTTCAGACGGGCTCCCTGTCGAGTGTTTTTTTCTTCTTTTTCTTCTCCTTCTTCTTCTCCTCTTAAACATTAATAATCAATCTTCATGGTGAACCATTACATGCGTTGTATCCCTTTCTAAGCTGTAACGCCGCTCTTCTTCTCCGGTTACTCCTTGTCCCCCCCATCGCCAGAATATACCCTGTAGGGGAATAATGCGGCCGTGTTCCAGGCGTCATTCTCTACCCGCCCCATCATCTATCTAATTGGAGGATTACTTCCGCGTGTATAGAAATATTGTAAGAGCGCGTGGATGGATGTGGGTGTGCATGCCGTGTGCATCTCTACTAGTACGTTAGGACGCAGACCCGTTGGCTTCTTGTTGCGCCGCCCTGTTGCTACTGTTCGCCTCAGAGACATTTGACGATTCCCGCTTTTTGCTGCAAGCAGTTTGCGTTACGCGGTTGCAATCTCACGCCCCCCCCCCCCTCCCAAAAAAAAAAAAAATGATCCCCACCCATCCCACCTGGATACTCTTGCATGCACACCCCCCTGATCAACGGAGCAGGGATCCCGGGTACTCCAAGGGAACCTTTGTCTAGAACGACCAAAGATACCTTACCATGATCAATCGAGTGGCTTAGAGGGGTGAGGATGAGGGGCGTGACGACGCCTGACCGACCGCCCGACCGCCCGCCGTCTCGGCGGACTTGAGCACCTTGTTTCGTCCGCGCCGATGGGCGGGTTTGCGTTTAGTTTAGTTTTTTTTTTTTTTTTTTTTTTTTTTTAATCTCTCCTTGTATGTGTGGTGTGAGTGGGTGCTTGTATCGCCCTATCGATGGTGTTGGTGATGATGGTGATGCAATATACGCCCGACAAGAGGCTCATTTCACATGGCAAGGAAGGAAAAACAGCAACGTGGACGGACAAGAAGAACAAACTGAAAAGGGGAGGTGCCGGTTAAGGTACGTAGAACTACGGTGCGTTCGAATGGAGACTTTCCTGTACCTCTCGTCGAAATGCCGTGGGCTGTTGTTTAGTTCATCTTCTTTCTTTCTTTCCCGCCCACCTGGGCACCACCATCACCACCACCACCCCCATTCTGCTGCCCCCTCCTTGGCCCCCAACAACCCTTACTTTTCCTCCCATCAGGCATTTACAGGTTCAAACTAAACCCAGGTAGTGGGGGCCACCAGAAGCTTGGAGAAGCGCGAGAAAGGGGGCCAGACATGTCGGGCAGAAAAAAAAAAATAATAACTTGAAATTTGAGGCCGACTGCTGAAGGGATACCATACGGTGAGGCCCAGGCCGTGTAAGTAAAGTCTACGGGTCCCCGCGCGCGAGCAAATCGCTGCTCGCGCGTAATACCCAGTCTCCCCCTCTCATCTTTCTGCATCGTCTCTTTTTAGTATTTTAGTTATTTTTTTTTTCTTCCTCTCTTTCTTGGTAGTCCCTCCCCCCTTATGCTTCATTACCCGAGATGGGCTTGGAGGCTGGGCACACGATGGTTAATTGTAAAAGTTCGTGACGTGGAGTCCCCCCGTGGCTCATCGCTCCCTTGGCAACCTTGAATGTCGCATTCGCTCCAAAGCCTCCGCGACTGCGAAAGAGAGACTGGGGGGGTTTTAGAAGGGTGGAGGGGGAAGAAATAGAGAGAATGGCACGGAGCTGGCTCCTGTGAAGCTCCCAGGGGGGGTGGTAGAACGAGGAAGGGGAGGGGGGGTGGGTATGTGCAAGGTACATCGAGGTAAGGTAAGGCAAATGGAGCCACCAGCTTTCCCCTCGAAAGAGGGAGACCAAAAAAAAAAAAAAAAAAAAGTGACGACTCGTAGCTATGGTCAACAACCACAATTATACAACCCCCTGTAGTTGGCAATTGGCATCGTAGCATGCCGCGCCGAAACGATGGGAAGGTCATCGATTTCTTTCCTCTCTGTCTGACACACACACACACACACACACACACACACACACACACACGCACTCTCTCTCTACGCCCTGAATGTACATCAGTTTTATGCCTAGTTTCCGTAAACGGTAAGTTGAGCCTCCCGAGTAGTTCGAGAATAGCGTGTGCGGTTCATGCCAAAAAAGAACGGGTTAAACTCTGAAGCTCCCAAAACTCTCGAGGTCACAGCCGCGAGCAAAGGACAAGGGGAAGAATAGACCAAAAAAAAAAAAAAAGAGTTCATTCCAAGTGCGACTGGGCCGCGTTCCGCACCCTGCAATCATGCTCTCTCTCTCCCTCTCTCTCCTCTCGTTCTTTCCACTTCATGCAATCAGAAAATATTGAAATACGTCATAGCTTGTTTCTTATATTCTGTGCAATTTTTCTTTTTTCTTTTTTTTAATTGCCCTACTCCGAAGTCTCACGGGAAAAATCAAGGTGGCTTTTATGAACAAGTCTTGGTAAAGTGTGTGTGTGAAGAGCGTGGTTTGGTATTTTGTTCCATGAAAGAGCCAAGGCTACTTTTCTTCCTAAACCCCCTCCCCTCCCCCGCACGACCAGCTTCTCTTATGCGCCGCCGTTTCTTTTTTCCCCTCAGTGTATAAATAAGAGAAAATAACACACATTTCCATCCCAACTATGGGGAGGACGGGGAATCCAAGGAGGGGGGTATGGGTATGTCTGAAGAATAAAAAAAACCTTTTTTCTAGTAGTAAGAACCGCAGCGCCAGGCTATGCAAGCGACTGGACTGACTGACTGACTGAAAACCTGGTCGTGTTGATACATTGCGGTCTCGATTGTTGTACGAGACTCTCGCCTCCTTTCCAAGAGATTACCACTTCGAGAAGGAAAGAAAAAAAAAAAAAAAAACCCAGTAGACAAGAAAACACCGTTTCCCATAAGTCTTCCTTCCCGTGAACGCCATCTGGTTGTCACCGAAACAGTCGGCAACAAAACATGTACCCAGAGTAAAAAGTCCCAAAAGCCATTCGCATAAAGCAACGCCTCCGCGGTGTATCGTTGAAAACCACACAAGACTGCCCAAAATAGTAAACCGCCTCCATCGGACACCGAACCAGCCAACCGCACCGTCCTCCATCACCCCATCTATATCTCATAACGCGTAATCAGTAAGAAATATTGGTTGGTTTGATGTTTTGCCGGTTTACAATCGCATTGGCTCGCCGTCGTAGCCCCCGTAGATCATTGGGTCGCCCATACCCATCATCACCTCAGGGTTCGGACATGAGAGCACGTGGGGCTTGATAGTGCCAAATTCGGATTCGATGAGACCTTGGTTGAGCATGTCCATGCTCGTGAGGGCGTTGTTGTGCTGGAAGAATTGCTGGCTAAGGTCGATGGGTGGCGGTGCTGCTTGTCTGGGCATGGTCCATTGCGGGTAGGTGTTGATACTTGGGGACTGGTTGTGGAACATGGCGGCGGTGGGGTCGATGGGCGACGCTACCGAGTCGACATCGAACTCGGTGTATCCTGTTGAGAAGCTCTGCGGGGACATGGTCATCGGGTTGGCGTTGGTGTTGTTGTGGGCGCCGAAGACGGCCTTGCGGTAGTCGGCCTCAAATTCGGAGTGGTCAAGCTCTGAAGAGCTGGCGCGGTCGGATCGCTCGCAACTCGAAGCCGAGTCGACCTCAACCTTCAGCGCCGCCTTGTCGGCCTCACGCTCCTTCTGCTGCTCCTCCAGTTGCCTCGCCAGCTCAGCCAGCCCTGCCTCGTCCTCTGGGAATACAGAGTGCACGGGGAGGTCGATGTCGCTGTTGGGGCGGATGCAGCCAAGCTTCTGGGCGATGTTGTGGATGACGGGCTGGCCTCTGTCGTTGAGCTCGGGCTCACCTAGGTCCCATTGCTGGTTATTCCTGACCATGGCGTAGAGCTTGTGAACGGTGGCAATGAGGGCGAATTGGGTGTGCTCGAGGACCTCGGCGTATCCGCGCGGCAACTGCTTGTACTCCGTCTTCTTGCGAACGCCGGCGGTGCAGACAAGGCCGTCGTCTTTACATCTCTTGCAAGGGAACTCTCCGTCACACTAAATACAGATGTTAGACGTATGTGTGAGGGTAGGGGAGGGGGGTGCGGGCAACGAGACGGAGGCGTTGAGGCGTACCTTGGTCTTCTTCATTCGACACCTCTCACAAGCCTTCCACACTCTCTTATGACGACCATCGGTAGACATGCCTGCTGCGGAGTGGTCATGGTGAGCTGTTGCGTTGTGAGGGCTGGCGCGTTTCGCGGTGTGGCGGTTGGGCTTGATTGACTTGGAGCTCGACGAGCTCTTTCTGGACTTCTGTTCCTCCAATGGAGGGGTGGGTAGACCGCTTCCCATTGTGTATGATTAATAGTTACAAGACTTAAAAGGTTAAGTGTTGTTGCTGTTGTTGTTGGTTATTGTTGGAGCGTGTATGGGAAGAGGTGAAAGTGAGGAAGGAGTTGGTGATCCAAGATCGAGGGGTAGAGGAGGCGTATAAGTCTTGTTATGTGCAGGCCGTGTAAGTGAAGTATATATTAGCGAGAACGAAAGCCCGGTTGGGGAACCACAAAGGTAAAAGAGTCGGGATGACACAGCGAAGAGGTCCGCGGCGCCAGGGTCAAGACAAGTTGGGGACAGTCAGCCACGGCAAGGGGACTGGGATGCAGGGTGTTGGCAAATTATTAATGTCGAGCAGACTGTCGGGGTGCGTCTATTGTGCGCGCGAGATTAGGTGATGCGGCAGAAAAACCTCGGAAGCTTTTGTAAGGCAATAAAGTTCGGTCGCTCGCAATGCTAGGCGGAGGGCGGGCGTGCGGGCCTAGGGCGTGTGCGACGGCTGGGCGTGCAACAACGTGTATTATGTAGGTGCTTGGTGCTGGGTGCTGAGTGCTGTGCAGAGTGGGTTGTGGATTTGTGGATTACTGGCATTAACGGTCGGCGACGTCTTTATGTCCGAGTATGCGCGGGCGGGCCCCTGTTCCAGTGGTGTGGAATGGGGAGGTAGGAGAACGGGATCCTGGTACCGTTTGTACAAGAGAGGTTGTAGGATGTAGCTTGTCGGAGTCGGTAGCACCAACGCGCTAGCACTTATTCTTGCTGTGAACTAGGCGCCACGAGGTAAAGTCCGCAGCGGAGTTCAGGGAAAGGGCGCTGCGAGGATTGAGGTCAGGATAGGGATTGGGGTTTGATTTGCGAGCTGGCTAGGACGTAGGGCTTATGACTGCCACTGAACGAATAAATACGGCGGATTGCTGACCGCAGGAAGGGGGACGTGTCTCGAACGGATGTCGATGCCGGGGATGTGCTGGTCTCTCTTTTGGTCAACGGTGGGATGGAGAATGTCGGTGCCTATTTCTGCTATTCGTCGAACCGTAGATGGCTGAAAGTCCTCCACTGGGGTGGCGGATGAATGCGGGTGGATGGGTTGACTTCAAGCGGGTTGGTGTAACGAAATGATTATCTCGAGTGTGTTGTGTGTGAGATAAGATGGCGAGAGAGGCTAAGCAAGTTTACTTTTGAGGGATGTGGATGTAAGAAGTGTTGAATGGGAATGTAAAGTCAACACAAAGGGTCCAAGACAACTCGAGGCTGTTCTCTTCTTGGCTTGATATAGACGGGAGCAGTCGAGACGATTGTTCGGGATCGAGATGTCCTTCTTAACAAGACGACATTACATCAGATCAAGGAAGCTATCAATGTCAGGTCGGCGGAGTTGGAGATGGATTGTGATCAAGGTCCCCGATTCGAAACATGTACAGTCTTCTAGCTCCGTCCAAGGGGAATCCCAATCAGACGGGACAGCCGCCCGCATCTTATATTCAGGAAGCAGGGTTATCCACTGCTCGGCCGGGATCCAGAGAATGCGAGCAGTCCATGCTGGCCGGCTTGGTCATGAACACAACATGACATGACGCTGCAAGTATGTTAGCCATGGGCCTAGTCTGGGCCATATGCCTCCTCGGGGAGACGATTGAGAGGTACTTAGGAAAGACGAAGCCGTGTGTACGCCTCGGCCAAGTGGGTTTCTGCGAGGACAAGGCTCGTAATGGTGCCGTCAAGGGGTAGGGCAGGTTGAGCGGGTCCGCTGCGGTGACTGAGCGGTACATGACAATACATCGGGTGTGGAGGTTGCTAAGTCTCCGACAACAAACCTGAGTAAGCTCTGCATGGGTGAAAGAGCCAAGCCAGAGAGAGAGGGAGACAGAGTAACGACAGAAAGGGAGAGAGGCAAATGGCTCATCTCCAAATGGCAAAGAAAACCCTCCGAGCTCTCTCCAAACCCCACTTGTCAGTACGCCGACCTTGACGGTAAGACTCCTTCCTGAAGTGTGTACACGCTCTTCTGCCCTCATGTTGACGCTGATGCGTGACAAGACCCCCGTCCGTTTTGGGCAATTTTGAGTGTCCCTCACTGCGGCGACCGTCTCATTGTAAATTCCGTAATGCGTATGCCATCCACCCGGAGGGTGCCCAGCAGTTGCCCGAGCAAGGCTTAGCGCGCCCGCGAAAAGTCGATCAGTCCATCTCAAGCTTCATAATCATAATTTCCAGATTTGTGCACCTCGGCGGAACTTGACGGGGCCGGTAGCGGTGTGAACAGCTGCCATGTGCTTCCCGCGCGCCAAGATACCGGTCTGTTGACAAGGCCGGCACCGAGGGCGGGGTCCTTAACCTTTTTTTTCTTTTTCGCTTCTTCTCAGTGAGTGCTTATCACCAACGATGGCACCTCTAGGTCAGTAGCAACTTCGGGGCCGCTATTCTGGACAGCATACGGCGATACGGTAAAGTTCTGGACTCAGATGGAGACCAGATGGCAAGGCATGACCAAATTGATGACGACAGTGAGCAGTCTCTGCCAGCTGGCGTTGCAGTGCGTGGTAGGTCCCTGAGCAGAACACCAATTTGGGCAAATGAGCAGGGAGCCAGGGTTGATGATTCATGATGGATCAGGACCAATGGGCTGGCCTAGAAGCCTTGAGTCGACTAAACCACGCCTCTAGGACGTTAGTCTTGCCTATGCTTAGAGTTTGGTATTTTTATTCCGTCTCTCGTTTTCCCCCAAGCCCACAGTAGGTCCACCGGCATCTGGTTAGCCCGATGAGTGATTCGTGATTACTGAGAAACAAAGAATATGCCAATTTTCCCTCCATCGCCCAGGGCGTCCTTTGCCGATAGAGCTTGAGCGCAGTGAATTGTATGCCAGATCGGTTTGGGGAACAGACATTGCAAGATGGCCGAGCTCAGTTGTATGCAGGGACTTCCTCGCTCTTTGCAACGGCTCGTATGGGATGCCGATGGCGGGCGGACTGTCGTATCGTCCTAATTAACCTATGCAAAAAGATCGCATACTGTCGATGCATGCCATTTGCCTAGTACGCGCCATGTATAGCAACCCTACTCGGCGTGACCTCTTGTGCTGGCAGACTAGGGTCGCCGAAACCTGTCCGCAGAGTCCAAGGGGCAAAGGTAACCTAAACTGAAGGCGGGCTTTAACTCAAGCGACTTAAGTTGACGGCACTTGGAGGTAGTATTAAGCTCATTAGCAAAAGTGTTGAAAAGTGGTCAGGACGTCAACAGGATAGGGTGATTCAAACTTCTGGCCAGCGCAATCCTCTGTGCGGCGGGAGCGTGCAGGCAGGTCAAGCTCGCCATCAAACCCATCTGATACTGTGACACCGCCTGAGAGTGAAGGGCAGCCAGCGTCAAGGCGGCCAGTTTCGAGCAGCAACCTTAATCGCCCCAAGTCCAGGACTAATAGTAGAAGCTGCCCTGTTAACCCCCTGCACAGGCTGGGCTGCGGCTCGCCACTGCATCGTGGAACCAATGGTACGTGATCGATCACGAGTGATCGGGGAGCTGAGCAGCGCGGAAAAGTCCGGGGTAGAGGATAAAGAGGAAGTCATGGGGTGAATTTTGACAGCCTGCTCGCCGATGGTTTAGGGGAGACACACGGGAGCGCGGATAACAACAAGGACCGCAGGGCCGTTCTGTGGCCCGCTCGCCCGTCGGCGGGAGTTTTTCGAAAGGGTTGCAGAGAGGAGAATCTAGTTTTGGGCCGGACGATTCGCAATACCTGATCAATGCAGTGGTAGTCGGCGATATCGAGTAAACCAGTCAAAGGTAACGCCGTAGATGAACAAAGTGATGACGCATCAAGCTGGATGATAAAGGTAAGTGTACATGATGCTAACATCATCACCATGTAGGATTTAGGCAGTATGGGTCAAGACCTACTACTAGTGTAGAGGCAGGTTGCCGCTCAGACAGGTACCTGCCAGTTTATCGTTACTTTTCTACCTATACACCATAACCCAGCTGTAGCAAGTTCAGCCAGTCTCAAGGACTGTGCTGCAACGGCAGTTCAAGTCTGTACGAGTACGAACCGTTCATTCCCGTTTGTGCATCCCGAGCTGCTGAGACATTCTGTGGTTGGTCAGTCATTCAAACCGGGCACCGGGCGGAGAACAAGAGGAATAAGCAACGGAGATCAGTTTTACCCAAAGGAAAAGGTTCCAAGGGCCAATTAGACTATTAGACGTGGGGACGTAAGAAAAAGTAGAGACGTTGGGATACCAAGAGAGAGAGAGGCTCAGAGAAGTCTGGGACAAAAGTGCTAGTACAGAACCCACACCATCCAAAAAGGCGGGCGCACACGATTGGTACGTACCTTTTGGGGTTGTGGAGGCATGCCGAGGTGGTAAGTGGGGCATGGGAGATAGCAGTCTTTGAAGTGTAATCACTGCGTATTTCCGGCCAGAGAAGTATTACTATGTAAGTAAGTGGTGACGGGATTCATCCGCCCTGGTTCCGCCCGCTTCTTACATTATAATACTGTCACCACTAACCAGGGTTGGTTGTGCTCCGAATCCTCTTTGAAGGTGCATCCTCACCAGAGGCTCATTGTGAGTCATCGGAGCAGGGTTTTATTCTACGAGCCACGCCAAGTTGATTTGATTTGTAACGGTGCAGGTCTGCGTGTGGGTGGATGGATGGACAACGGTAGCCGCATGTGTCAAATGTGCGACCGTAAGTGATAACGTTATTGCATGGTTCTTCTGGACTTGGGCAGGAAAACGGAGCGGAGATAAGAACACCGGGTCGAACTGTCCATTGTTGGCATTGAGACCTCGGCTCCTGCCGTTCAAAGTTTTACTATTCACTCCCCAGCAGGATGTTTACCTCACGAGGATGACGATCATGAGATGTTCAACTTTTGAGCGGTATCCATAAGGCCGAGTACCAAATGTTTCCAGGGACAGCATGATGGTAATAAAGTCGCGAGTGCAACCTAGCTGTTAACATGTCTCAAAGTAATATCAGGGCGGACAGGTCCAGGACTACCCTGAGAGCCGATTGCCCTACGAACCGTGAGTGGATTATCGGTATGTGCCCCATCGGGAATGAATTGGCGCCGCCGCCGACTCGCACCAGCGTTGACATGAGATGAATTAGAAATCTCACGGAGGAAAAGCTTAGCTAATCGCCGGTAAGGGTGGGATGGGTTTGAGGTAAAGTGTGCATCCAATCAACCTTATGATGACACGCTTAAACCTCATCCCACCGTAGTTGAAAGTGCCTGCGCTTCAGAGGCCCTAAGCGCGAAAAAGTGATGCTGCAGCTGCAAAAGAGGGTCATGGCGCTCGAATCTGATACGCAATGTCCCCTTTGCTGACAGCCCTGAACTCCACGGCACTTGGCAAATTGTGAAATCATCGTGGGTCGTCGAATTTTTCTAGAAGACAGTTTCCACCTGTCCCTGTTTCCTTTTTTTTTTTCTTTTTTTTTGCCCTCCCTCTCCAAATCTCAACCCACAGGAAGGAAGTACCGATGGGTCGCCCCATGCTCCATTTCCGGCTTAGAGTACAACATGGGATGCGACTGACTAATCGGCTTTCCTGCTGGTAAGTGCCGTCTCCACTCGGTTCCGGCTTTATAGCACGGCCACGCGGAATTGGCAGGTTTCCTCAAAGCACAGGTGCAGGCTTGCAGAGCCTACTGCCCCTTCCTGTTTCCTAGTGTGTAGGTTCGCTGTGCATTATTCTGGAGTAACGTGTACTGCCAGTACGTATCTTGGAGTATCCGACAAGTACCCTCCTGTCTTACCTGCATTGCACTCTTCACATCTAGCAAACGAACTCCCATAAGAGCCTTTCCTAAAACCACAATTTGGCCGTCTTCACGCATTATCATCGCGTCGCCTGACCAGAATATTGGGGCTCTTCCTGCCCGCTGCAACCCACTTCGACAAGCGCATAACTCGGAGCTTCCTCCGGTGAGTAATACTTTTCTTGGTCTCTTGGAGGCTCTGTCTTTACATTGGCTATGTTACGTGTAAAGTTCCCATCAACAACCCTCCCCCAAAAACGTAACTTTTAGTTTTAAAATAAAGAAATGAGAAATGAAAAAAAAAAAAAAAAAAAAGGAAAAAACAGAAAGACAGAGGGGACAACGATTGCCCCTGCCTTCTTCTCCGTCGGGTCAACACTTTTGATGACGCCTTCTCCCGCGCCGTCATTAAAGACCATACGATGCCAACATGCCAAAGCCTGCTGTCAAAAGGCTACAGTAGGGTTGGCTCAGATCGCCATCCGCCATAATAGCGTAGCGCAGGCCAGCGGATGCCTCCCGTTCCCCGTCCTCCCTTGCATTATTCATAAAGTATGCCCCGGTCGATCCCAGGCGGGATCATATGGGCCAATAACAGCCTCTAGGGGCGGCCGTCTGTCGGTAACGAAGACGGCCTTTCGGCCTCCGACTTGTTCACGCAAAAACCGAACAGGCGACCACAACCCTGTCTGTGTCTGCCATCCAACACCTGCTGCCACAATATCGCGGTACATGCCGCTTGCCTTACACCCCTTCACCCCGTACAATCTCAACCATCAAACTTTCCAATCCATCCACCAAGAGCATCGCGTTCCAAGCCCCTGGGCTCCCCTGGTCCCCGTCTGACGGAGACCTAAGCCTTCTCGTGACCCCCCTATTTATCTTCTTCAGGGTCTTCCCCCAGGGGCCCAGGGAGAATCCGGAATCTCAAAATGGCGCATTTAGACTATCCGCCTCCTTTCCCCGCCATCGTAGCATCTCGACACTTGGACACCTGGACACTGGTAGATGAGAAATACACGTCTTTACTCTGACTTTGGTCTCTATCGCCCCGTCCCCCTACACAACAAAACAGGGATACTACCATAATCGGGTGCCCATCGATCCTCTACCCGTTATACTTGTACTCCGTACCCGCTGTCTTGCAGGCGCGCCTTAAATTTTCTTCTTCCTGCGAACATCAATCCCACACCCTCTACCAAAAGCGGACTTCGGCCTCTGCTAATTTCCAGTTCGGCCGAGGGTCGACTCCACCACCACGTTCTCCATGACGTATGGTTCCATTGGAGCCTCATCGCTCATCGGCGCGGCGTTTGACCAGTCCCGCCACGCGATGCCATCTTTGATCTGGTTCTTGTTCTCGCCCTTTGTCGGCCTGAAGGATTTCTAATCGAAACCTACACCCACGTATTGAACCTTTTCGTCGGTGTCCTCGTGCCTGGCGATAAACATCGGCACTTGCAAACAAGATCTCCATGGTATCACTATGTGCCCAAGCCATCCGTAGGCGATGACAAAATGTTCAGTCGCAAGAGACGTCATCCTAGCGCAAAGCCCTATCCAAAGTCTTGGGCCCACCACCAGACTAAGCTTTGCTCTCCGGTTGTAGTTGTTGGCCCGCACGTCTGGATCTAGACAACTGACAACTCCAAGGTACGGGACTGGCATTACGCTTCAAGTATCGAGCGGCGTCTCCGAGTCTGATGGGGTCATCACGGTGGGCAGTTGTTGTCCCTTCACTCCCTTCTGGTGTATCTGCATCCTGCATCACCCACATCATACTAGCACATGTGGATACCAAGTCAGCCTCCTGGTATCATCCGATTACACTATTGATACGCGCCGGGGTTGCACGTCTTCCCGCTTGAGGTGGATATTCGGGGCGCATGATCGCGTCGTCCACACTCAAATTTGATGAAAACCGAGTTAATCCATCAGCCGAGGCTGTCAGCGGGCCTCGCTCACCCAGCAGAGATTTTTGCCCTTACGCCTTCTGGATTGGTCCGTGTGCTCGGGATTGCCCGCGACGGGATTACGGGATTATGTTGACCGGATGCCGGTCGGTTCTTGGCAACGGCCGGTGTCGGACCCCGGGTCAGCACGGGGCGGGCCCATACCTTCGGAGCAATGCCCGCAATTAAATCCACAAGTCGGATCCGGGTTTGCTATATCCATTTAGCCAAGGTGTTGAGCGAACGGACGCAAGGAGATCGAGATGAAAATACAAAACGGTTGACGAATCGAGAATGGCCTTCTTTTGACCATGACTGGTGCAGGTGGCCCAGATCCATCTGCTAAACAGGCGCTATGCCTTGCTTGCACTCAATCCTTCCTTGGTATTCTCAATTTCCTGGGGTCTAGAAGCAAGATCGCCATGGCGTATTATTCGTTCAGCGCGAATTTCGAAGGGGCTGAACCACTGATAGCGGAGAACAGAGATGGCTTGACACGAAGCCGACATGCTTCGAGTCACGCCACCGGCCCCTGTCTGCAGAATGCTCGGAAGAGTGGAGCTAGTCTCCGTTGCTATCTCCGGGCTGGATCTGAGATTCACTGGGGGATCTCAGCAAAAGTTTCGGAGCTCTTTCGGCAGCGACAATAAGGGCACATTTTGTGACAAGCCGACTAACCTCCTTATTCTACAGCGGGCCGTTTCCGAGGCACAAATATTGATGAGCCAGCCCAGCGAAGCGAAGCGATAACAATGATAATCATGCATGAGAGAGGACATGGCCTGGCCATCTGGATTGGGCATGGGCTGACAATTTGTCTCCAGTTACTGGCCAAGCCCAACACCATTCCGTCGCGGAGCGCGTGGACCCGCGGCTTGGTCGAGATAAGCCTTGGCAGGCTGTACAAAGTTGTCTCTCGAGGTATCGTGATCTTCGGTGCCGTAGTAAATGCTTCGAGAAGTTGCTTCGCTGGAGGCAGATCTGGAGATCTGCGGTGATAACGTGCCAAGCTTTTCTGCACATCTTTGTGTGGGTTTAAGATATGACAGCTGGAGGCTATGATGTTAACTCCGGTGATTTACAAAATGATTGACGTCCAGGACCAACGAAAAAGTTGGTAGGTGCCAAGGCGGTCCACGGCTGCACGAGTCAAACATCACGAATTTGCGATCACAAAGTGCATCTTTGGGGCTCCACAGAACACCAGCCCGTCTTATCTGGGCTCAGAAAGGTGCCAACTTCCAAGAGCCCTGCAGCAGCCTGATTCACGATCGCCTACCAGAGACGCCTTTCAATTACCTCATTGCTTACGAGATCGGAAAGAAACCGCCGGCAAGAGGTGAAAAATCTTTCTCCTCGCCCATGCTGGCAGCTTCTATGGGCGCGCACAAAGTAGTGGTCCCCTGGCAAAATATGTGATGGTCACCACTTACCCGAATGTCTTCCGACCTAAGTCCGCCCCACTTTCCCCGTAAACAACGACAGTAATGCCTCAGAATGACCGTTTGTGTCATCCATGCAAATATTTTCAGTCGCAGGCCCCATGGAGCCTCTTTTTTTTTTTTTCTCTCCCTGGCGGTGGAGATGGACTTGGGTCGGAGTGTCCCGCACTTCACACTCGTCGTACGATGAGTCCCGATCAGTCATCGCCGTCACGGAGGAGTGGAGATTCTCCACTTTGTGATCCTGCCGTTGTTCAGGCCGGTCGTGCCCCGGCATATTGTTCTGGCACATCCGCGCCTGGCCCCGGTCGGCATGGCTGTCGTTACAAACATCTAGGTTGAAGCCCGGAGCCTTGCTTCCGAGAGGTGTTAGTGATCCGAATTGTCAGTTGGATTCGTTTTACGTGTGATTCGAGGGCATCTGAGGCCGGAGATGTGCCTTTTGACTACAGAGAACGTGAACTACTACGCCGATGCCCTTCTCTACATCGTACGTTTTGAGGCAAATGACATCCTTGCTGCTGCAACCGACGACTAGTCTCTCAGTCATCTGAACGATTTGCGAGTTCTCTCGAAGTGAAGTCAGCCAGTAGACACGAGCATCTCCGACGAGGAACTCCTGCAGAGCGAAGTTCCATGTAGTTCTATTGTACCTTCCACATATGCAGCCATCAATAGAAGCTAGCTAATGCCCCTGAACCCCCCCCCCCCCCTTTTCCCTGCTGTACCTGGATTCTCCAACTTACCACGGTTCCCCATGACGCATCTAACCGACGGTCTACTGCAACAGAGCGGCACAGCTTTGTAATGCAGGACTTAATACTCATCAACGCCCTGCGGATATGAAGCGCTTCTCTATTCAGAAATGCCCCGAATCCGGTGATACCCTCTAATCCAGGTTCTCCTCGGGGGCATTGCTGGCCCAACAAACAAGTTTCTAGAGCAAAGTCATCCCCCCGCCACGAGTAGATCTCACTAACCATGGCGTAAACATGGCCTGACTGACATGTCGGTATTTCACTCATATAAGTCGGGTTTACATATTTTGACCAAGGTTAAGCACATGTGGAAGAAGTATCTCGGCCGAAAGAAGTTAAGCGACGTTGATAGTTCACACCTGGGCGTTTCTCACGCATGTCCGCGGAGGTCCGGCTCCGTTCGGCTTCAGACTTCATCCTCCGTAAACCCGTGAGCTGTTTGAGGGTGTCGAACGAAGTCTAAGTAAAAAAAAAAACGACATGAAATGTTAGGAATCCTTTGGCTTGACGCCTACTCTTTCTCCTTCTTCTTCTTTTTTTGAGTTACAAAGTTAGGTTAGGTTTCTTCGCGATAGACGCGTTTGTTAAGCGGTTGGCGGTGAGTGAATATGCAGAGGTAAAGTTCCTCAGTTCGTCGCAATTTCTATTTTTCTTTCTTTATTTTTTTTTTCCCTTTTCGGAGGGCGGAAGGTTACAAAGAAAGTCTGTGGTTGCTCCTTATCTGCCTCGGCTCCGGGGCAAGAGGGGTCTAAACTCAAGCAACAGTCCCCCTTTTTCCTTGGGAAAAGTCAGTTCTCTAAATTGCTTTACAGGAGAAAAGCTTCATCCGTGAGTTTGCTACGACTTTGGAAAGAGAGTTTTGACCCGGGGAGATCACAGGAGAGGACATTCAACCGTCGAAATGGCGTGAATTCCGTTTAGACTTTCCTGAGCATTAGTTTTTGCTCTGGCACATGAATCTGGATTGACGGTGAGAGTGCGGTCGGCGATTAAGAATATTCCCCGACTGGTGGCGTCTTCCCCTTTGTTCTGTGGTTGGGTGTGGCGCTTGGATGTCTGCCCCCATACCCGAGCTGTACTCAAGGGACAGTGATGGTAACGTCCCTGCAGTTCATGGCAGGACGTGAAGTTCAGACTGATGTTTGAGATCACGGGTGGGTGTGGTTTATGAGGCGATATTCTTACGCCATCTGCTGAAGTTCTGCCACACGATGATTTCGCAAGTGGTGTTGGTCTGTGTCTGCTGCTCTGTGAAAGGGGGTGTAGAGTATATCGTCGTTGGTGGTTCGCCATGGGGAGGTTGTCAGATGGACTGAAGCTCGGGCAAGATGCACCCGATGCGATTGCGATACTCGCATCGGAAGTTTGCCAATGTCTATTGAGAGATGACACTCGCGTTTTCTCTTGGAGTTCGGGTTTCCGAGAGCTTAGAAGCTGGATGTCTGGGCGAGCTTTGGTCAGTGGCGCTCGGTCTTCGGCCTAGAACGCATTCGCTTGTCTTGAAGTTACTAGCTGAAAGAGTACCTGTATCAATGGGTATACGGAGGTCCTCTGATGCTCAGTTTTCCATTAGTGTTGGGTTGCGTCAAGCTGAGGGCGGCGCGGGATCTTGGAACAAGACGAAGAGAAAGTAGAAGCAACAGATACACGAGAGTTATTGAATGTCGAGAACGTGGACAGGACTGTGTGCAACATCAATATTGTTGTCTTCAGGCATTATTGAGCCAATTACTTCTTTATCGCCCATTCATCGTCTACTGTTTCCTCCGTTGAAACCTAAGCACAACACGTTGTTCCATACTTGACATCGCTAGAGGACCGGTTTCGCGCCTAAAGCGACTCCTTGCAGCGTTGCAAACCGCCGTCATACCAAAGGTTTCGCCTTTAATCGTTGAAATTAAGCCTTCTATCGCCATAAATCCTTCAAATTTAGAGCATCTTGATGCTTCGATTGTGGTTGTGATCGTCCTCGATTCTGGGAACAGCTTGCTCCAGCGGATCAATATTTGGCGGTATTCTACCTGTAAGAGAAGTGCCTAACAGTTCCGTGATGTCCTTCACGAAGCATCTATCAAAAGTTTATCATTTGGCAGTGTCAAGGTGTATGCAATTTACAGGTCGAAACGCCGAGTCTCATGAGATTCAAAAAGCACTTACCGTGGTACCGTCGACTTTGTCCAAGCTGGCTTGCCAACCCTCAAAAGCGCCGCTTAGCTGACCAGCGTCTTTTGTGCGGTGGTACCTGATCCCGTATTCGCCTGGGGTAACGTTTCGCAACTCTGCATAATATTTCAATCATTTTGAAGCACTTGTCGGCCTACGCGGTAGCATCTACGTTCAGTAACACTGTAGAGGTATGTTATCTGTATCATTCCACTCTTCTCTTTCGAAAATGCTTGCGTCGTCCTACCGCATTCGCATCATCATGTTTACTTCTTCGTCATACTACGGTAAAGTCGAGTTGTAGCATGAACACAGGGACGCTTTTCCCCTTGTCTGCTCAATATCATGTAGTTGAAAGTTGAGAAGAGAAGAGCCATGTTTATTTACAACCATTCTTTTTTGTTTCAACTGCTTCCAACTTGGAGCTGCTTCAACAGGTGCTTTCGCGGTTCAAGGATTCCTTGTGAGTTCTGCATACGAGCCAGTTCGCTTTCAAGCCAGCACGCCTCACGGTTCAGAAAGAACTTCTGTCCTGTTTCGAGGCTCAGGCCCATAGCTTCACGCCAAAGCCTCGTAGATTTTCACATGCTTTGTAGCGTGTGACTTTCACAGGTTTCCATCCTGACATTTGCAAAGTCAAGATGCCCACGGGTTGTTCTGGATTTGATTAGAGAAACCGTCTTTATCAGATGTGATGATCTGGTGCAGGGGATTCTGGGCTGAGTGAGGCATTGCTGTTCGATTGGCGACAAAAATAAAATAGCTGGAGGTCCGTTTTTGAAACTTCGCAGAGGCAGCATACCATTAGCAGAATTCCTCAAATATTAGAATGAGCTGAAGTACATATACGGGTGTGTGAAAGCACCTCCCATGGACTCAACTTCGTCAAAAATACCAATTATTCACATTAAGATCTTAACTCAAGGCTTTCAACACACATTTGATCTCACAAGCAAAGTCATGATCAACAAAGCTGAATGACATAACATTGCGCTATTTCATTGTATAGGCAACACTAGGAAAGTATGCTCTTGAGGCTTATGCACTCTGTGAAGCGTAATTGGGATGCAGTCAAGATATTCAGGGACATTGATCTAGGGCACTCAGGCTCAGGGAATGACCTAGGCGCGGTGTATAGTTTTAAAGCGACTACCATCATTGTTGAACTTCACAAATCTTGTTACAATTGCCTACTTGGTCTGGTGAGCAGGTATTATACCGAAGCGGGGTTGCAGACAAGAGTCGCTAGATGTCCAAGTTGAGCTGACGGCATCATACATTCATTGGAGTGCTTCTCTTTGCATCTAACCTATCTAACCATATGCCACAGACTAATGACTGTTGGCAAAGGTGCTTTCATATGATAAACCTGACTATGGCCTCTTGAGATGATTTCTGATCCAGTCAGCGGCTGCTGGCAGAACCCGGCCACTTGACTCACAAGTGATGATCTCGTGACTTTCGTCTGCCTTCCTCACCCGGATAGCAATCCCACTGCTGCAGGAACCTAGTCAATAAACCACTCTTCGTCAAAGTTCTCAAATTAAGATAGCAACGTCCAATCCTAGCAGCGCTTCCAGTGCCCAATAGACTACTCATAAGCTGGGAGAGATCTGACCTGCCATGGCCTAATGGATGTTCCACGCCTCCTGATGATGATGATTAAACCATTATTTTTACATAATTTAGCACCAAATCCCCAGCACAATCAACTCGTTTTTATATCTCAAACGAACTGGCTCAGCTGGATGTGCGTGTGTGGAATAGTATGAGTACGAGTATCGATGGCCTACTCAAACTGCGTACTACGTTGCACGATTTCGGTAAGGATCTTCAGCGACAGCTCGGGAATCTGATTAATGATAAAAGTCGGACATGAGAATTTAAAAAGAACGGAAGGGATTCGCTTAGGGAATAGCACCGATTTACTTGCTTGAGGTAACATAAAGGCATGAAAGAGAGCTACAGTTGCTAGTGACTTCATCGGGATGAGAAATGACCACAACGTTTAACAGAGCAATGGCAATGCCCGTCGAGATGATACCGGCAGCTGATGCCACCCCGGCAGGTTCAGATCCCCCTACGCCTCCAACTATGGCACAATCCCTAACGCTATTCTTCATAGGGCCTAAGAAATGGACCGTTATCTGGATAACCTTGATCGATGGCAACCCAAAGCTCGTTCAGTCACGCTGATAGCAGCGTGGGGCAGCAGCCGCCAACAGCTAAACTGCACCTGTGGCACCCAAGTCCCATTTTGTGCTCGGACTGGGCAACGGAGGAGTACTTTGAGAATACCCCAATTGTCGAAGTCCGATGAGCGCAGCGGAGGACTTTCGGACGCGGCTGCAGTTTCCACAGCAGCTCAACATTTTAGCCAAGGGGCTGGCAGGAATAAACCGGAGGCCGCTGATGTTACTGGTGACAGGGTGCTGCGCCTTGGTCTTAAACTCGTCTACGCCATCTAAACAATCCAGATGTCTGTATACAGATGTGATTCCATCCTTTAGTATCGCTTCTAGACATGCCACTTCAACCAGTTAGCTCAGAAGGGGGTCCCTCCGTGTACCATCATTGAAGCACTAGGTCTGAGAGATTGCTCTCATCGAGATGCTCGTGATGCACCAACCGCGGCGTTGTTGAGATTTGGGAGGCAAATGTCGCAAGCCTGACTTGATTTTAGTTATTTGGGAGTGGCATCGGAACAATGATGGAGCTGGCTGAGCAAGGAGGACTGCGTGATTACTCGTCAGGCAGATAAATGAAGCGGAGATAGGCCCAGTTATTGCGATATTGGAACTCGGCGTTGCAGCAGAACAGGGAACAAAGGTAAGGCTTACACAGCCCAGCCTAGCCATTGGAGGATGAGGGCCCTAGTTCGTTGACTGGTAGCAAGAACTTGGGTTGAGGTCGCCACTTTGGTGGACGGGACTAAAACGCCAAGGTGATACCCCCCTCCCATCAGCCACGGCTCTCGGACCCAGAGGACTGGTCTGCCGTTGCTAAACCCCGTTGCATGGGCTTCTATTACTGGCTCGGAAGTCTCGCGAGTTCTACAGCCGCGCCTTCAGTGACGCATGGCCCTGTCATTGAGGCGCAAGCTTCCAAGCCAGCTGTAATTCTACTTTTGGTGTACTTGTACCCTGGCCTTCCCAGTGGCTTGAGGCCGGATATAGCACAAGAACATGGTAAGAAATAACCCGCATCCTTCAGGCAGAGACAATGGCTGTTCTAGCTAGATGGAAATTTGATATCTGACCAAATCACTTGTCCAGGCAAAAATTTTTAAGAGAGGAACGCTCAAGTCCGCCATGTCACTTGGTCTCGAGGCTAGCTTCTGATCCCCTGCGAGGTCTCCCGAGAAAATGACAGATGTTGCCGAACTTTCTTTTCACCGTATATGATCGGACTAATCAACGCGAGCCAAGGTTTGTTTGCAAGCCGTACTTGCTCAGACATAAATCTCACTACGTCAGTTGGCCGAAGCAGCGTGGATAACCAGAGTTCCATCCCCTTTCAATGGAATGAAACCTTGGAATAGTCATAACGTAACTCATTTATTACTGGCTAAAACGTTTAAAATTCTGCAGAAACTGCAATGAACCCTGTGGCCTTGCCCTCCGCCGCCTGCTTCATGAGCTCCTGGTAAATGGGGTCCTTGGTCTGGTAGTATTCCATATCACTTGAAATACATTAGCACATACTCGAGACTCCGACATTTGTCATGGGGGAGAGGAGTGACCTACGCCTCGTTGGCGAACGTAATCTCGTAAACAACACTCCACGGCTGGGACCCAGGTACATCGGTGAGTACCTTGCACTTGCTCGCCTTGGAGGCGACAATATATGTCTGACCGTCCTACACATCAAGGCAGTTAGATACCCGCAAAAACCAGCCGAGAATTAGGCAATATTTTACCTTCTTGCACTCGTTTACAAAGTTGTTAAACCTAGTGACAGCCTCCTCTTGCTTGGCGGCGTCGGCGAGAGCAATGAATCCGATTCTAGAGATGGCCATGATCGCGATATGAATACAAGTTTTCGTGCCAGACGATCGTTGGTTAAGACAAATACAGATTGACTTCGGCGGTTGCAAGATTGACGCTCTTGTTGCTTGCTTTTTTTTTTTTTTTCTTTCCCCTCTTTCCAGGCTCCCCTCCTCTTCAGCGCGGGCTCTTTATACATAAAGTGAATTCGGGCCCCCTCCGGTCTGGGAAGTCAGGGCCGCAGTCTCGGCGCTTCACGAAAGTCTCACCATGCCAGCGGACCAAAACCCTCATTCGCAAGTCTGCCTCCGTGGGAAGAAGGAAGAGGAGAAAACACCCCCTCCCCCCCGGGCGAGACAAGCGGGACATACGTTTCTCTCCATCAGCCCGAAACCGCGCCAGATGCTATGCTGGCACCATAAAGCGTACGTTTACAACGCTCTACCGAACCCGCCTGTGGAAACGGAACGAGGGGGTTGTGGGATCGTCAGAGACGAATAATGCATTGAACGTTAGTCTTGCCGAGAACGAGCAGTCTGCCGAGGCATGAACGGAGGACGTCGAAAGAACGTTAAATGTCCGCCCTGGGGAGTGATACAACAAGGTAGTGTGGTCTTCACGGTCAGGGGCCCTGCGTAGCGGCGCTTGAGTCTGAAGTTGCGGTCAATCGGTTCAGAAAAGAGGGCGCGACGCGGAGCTTATACCGGTTCAGGTCGTCCACGTGTGGGGTGTGCCGGGCAGATCCCGGCTTCCCGCGGCGAATGGCAGTGGATACCCCGGGGTGCGACATGAGGTCTGTGCAAGGGGCGGTCCCGGGGCTCCGATGACATCTGCACTTCTGCGGCACGGCGAGACCTATTTTAGGCGACGAATGGCATGGCCGGCACCGAGACACTTGAATAGCAGATTAATTAGCGATTTGATGCCGAGTGCCGCATGAGCGATGGCCGAGTTCGGCTTGACTTACTTTCAAAGGAGCCCAAGGTTGTGGGACAAACACGTTCGACGGATCAAGGACGCAGTTCAATCTGATCATTCATTCTAGATATGCGTAACAAACTTTTCAGTAACCGACCCAGAAGAAAAAAAAAAAAGGCATAGCTGATGTAGGTCATAATATCATACAATTCCCCTCCGTGGGCATGTCTCGTATGCCAGAATGCCTTGCTATACCCCCAAGTCCCCAAACCTTCGGACCTCAATCCGTAACAGACAGAATATGTCCTATGTCATAACAATGTCGTTTAGAATTTAAGAATTAAGAAATATGAGAATAAACAAAAAGAGAGGGCTGTTTTGCGTGGGATACCTCCCTTCGCACACCAGCAGCCATGAGCTTTGGAAAAAAGGTAAAAAATCATGTCGCTCCAAAAAACGCCTCGCCATAATATGCTGTAGCGTAACCAAATGAACGCTTATTCAAGAAATGCAACGCTGAAAAAGAAGCCAAAAGAAACAGTCCTGTTTCCGGCGTTTCGCTCAAAAGTACAAGAAACCATTACTGGCTCCCTCTGCGACGCCTCTGGTCCCTGTAGTTAAGGGAATACGGCGCCGGGCGCTCCTGACGCATGGTGCGTCGGTCCGGAAGGTTGGACCTCGCGTCATGGTAGTATGCAGATGGAGGCACCGGACCATTTGCCGTGTGAAACGAGACCGGAGATCTCGGGGCATAGCCCGCCTGAGAGATCTCGGCTCCGCTCGTGGGGTATATGCAGTTCTGCTGGGAAGGCCTTAGGCAAAAGGGGCTTTCCTGCTGGGTTGTGTAATGCTGGGAAGGAATACCCGAGATTGCTTGCATAGGCCGTATGATCTCTGCCGAAGTGGGTGGCGTGTAGGCCTGGATGGGTCTAGACTGCATCGTGTAATCTGACAATGGGATTGTTTGTTGAACTGGGGTGGGGAGAGGTTGTTGGAAAAATCCGTGGCTAGGCTCGGCTGGCGCTGGGTGGCTGGTCACGGGGGAGTTCATGTGTGATGATGGTCGGCTGTAGCTAGCAGCAGGGTAGAAGTCAGAGGCTGTGGCGATACGGGTCTCCTGACGAGCCCGGCCGTGACCGCTTGCCATGTCGCGAAACAGTCGTGAGTGGTCTCGGTTCTGAGCCATGGCAGCGGATCGATCGGGTGGCGGTGTGGCCTGACCATCAACCCACCGGCACGAGTCTGAGTCGTCACTAGTCGCAACTTGTGAAGAGACAGAGGCGGGTGCTGAGGGAACACGGCTCCCCACGTTAGCAGAGCCATTCTTGTTCCTCTGGTGGGAGTTATCTCCGGCCATTGGCCCGGACTCTGCGGAGCTCTGCGCGCGTTTGACGGCTTCTGGATGAACACCTTCTAGGTATTCGATGAACTCCTTGAGGCTCTGAACTCTCTGATTGAGCTGTTGAATACCCTCCTCAACTGTGGTGGGTTGCTCAGTAGCCTCCGGTAGGAGACTTTGCATGGCTGCAGCAATTTGATCAGCCAGAGACTGCAACCTCCGCTCCGTGCCTTGGAACGGGATGCCAGAGAGTGGCTGAAGCAGGCCAAGGGTCTGTAAGGAGTCTTCAGTCGTACGCCGGATGACTTGTAGCGCCTCTTGAGACTTGCGAATCTGCTCCTCACTGCCTTTCCCTTGTTTAAGTTGTTCGCAATGTCTCTCCAGAGAAGCGATGTGTGTCTGTGTGCTCTGGCGGAAAGAGTTAAGCAAAGCATTGGGTGTGAATGTATGTGTGGGCTGTGGCTTTGATCGACGGGCCATGACCGGCGTGCCCCGTGCACTCGAAGATCTTGACTCATCAGGAAGGGGGCTACGTCTAGGCTGTTGGCTATGCGAGGTGGATGGCAAGCTGCCTTCATTGACTGGGCTGTAGGAGGTGGATGGCAAAGGGTAAGGAGGGCGGGGCTCGTGGCGGCTGCTCTGGATGATGTGGACTTCCTGCGGCATGGAAAAGGGAGCCGACACCGCAGGAGGAACAGGGAGTCTGTTGGGTTGTTCTGTGTATCGAGATTGCATCTGGAAACTTTGGACCGGGTGGGAAGGGGTAGCATGAGGCAATTGTTGAGGAGGCACATACTCCGTCCGTTGGTTGCTGTGCATGCTAGGCGCCTCCAGTTGCTCAGATTGGTGTCCCAGAGCCTGAGTATGGGTCCTGCCTGCGTCCTCCATCATTCGGTACTGATCGTAGTATTCAGGTTGCATTTCCTGTCTAGGGGGGAGCTGCTGCTGTCGTTGTGGTGCCGGCATCTGGGGTTGTCGCATTTCTGTAACATGTTGCGGCATCTGCAGAGGATTCCAAGTTTGCTCGTTCCCTCCCTGCAGTCCGGTTGTCGCCCACATAGGGTTTTGTGTATTGTTGTCCGGACGTTGCTGTTCCGGAGGCCCAGCGACATAGTTGTCGCCATCGTTTGGCTGCATGAAGACAAAATTGACCTGCAGGTCATTGTCGGCGTTCATTCCAGCCAACTGGAGTTCTGCATTGCAGAAGTCGAGCGTGCCAGAGTAACCGGTGTCAAAGCCAAAACTAGTATCGACATCAAAGCTATGCTCATCATCAGACCCCAAGTCTGACCAACTGGCGCTACTGCGCCCGTAATTGCGAGGCGTTGAGACTTCAGTAGAAATGCGGGTGTTTTGTTTTGTCGCGAAGAACGCAGAGCGATTAAAGAGAGGTTTCGGTGAAGTCTGTTCATCGCAAGTTAGCGCCGCTGCTTAACTGATGGATAAGGCCAAGACGAGCATATTCTTACCTTCTGTGACATGGAAGACTTGTAAACGGGAGATTCTGGGTCGCGGATCTCGATAGCAGAATCACGGCGTCCTTGATGACGATAGAAGTGCATGACAGGAACATCATCTCCTGACTCGGAAGGGCTTCTTGAAGAAGCGCAGGATGAGCTTGAAGGTGTCAGGGCAGGCTGCTGTATCGAATCGACTGACAGGGCGTCCCATTGCACCGTGAACATCGATACCCTGTCAGTAGCATCCAAAACCACTCTCGACGCGTTGCCCTCCAATACCACTTCGCGTGCGACGTAAATGGACGAGCCGAGAAGAGTTGCGATACCACGGTTGCCGAAGCGAGCTTGTGCATCACCGGGGTGCCGGAAATCCAGGCTGGGGCCGTACAAGGTGAGTAAAAATGTTGCGCCTGACCGTTGCTCGGTGTGCGTGGGAACCCAGCAAACCGATTTGAGAAGTAGGAGCATGTACTGGTTGTTTCGCAGGTTGAGGACATGAACTGAATCCTTGAGATCCTCATTCGACCCATTGTCGATTATCGCCACGGGATCTCCACGTTGATACTCTTGGCCGTCAAGAGATCTTCCGTCGTGTACCAGCGTACCGTGAGATAGCTGCATGTTGACATTCACAGGTCCACATCCTGTGACAGGAAGATTTGCTGGCTGCACTGACATGTCTTTGTCCGCTTCTTCGATAGCTCTAACGAAGGATGGTAGAGAAGAAGAGATCCAAAAAGGGTTGTAAAAAAAAAAAAAAAGGAGAGAGATTGAGCCACAAGGCCACAAGAATCACCACCAAGACGTAAAGTGTTCTTCACTCTGGTTCATAGCTTGACAAGAGTTGTTATCAAGGCTGTGTAGCTGAGGGCTATGACTGTCTGGTGCCCGAAACTTTGCTGCGTTCTGACAGTGGCAGGACGTTGGAGTCGAGATATTGTGGTTGAAAAAGCATGGGAGAAGAGGAGCTTGAGATGTTGACGAGGAGGGGACGAGTTTTATACAGATGACTCGAACTCTGAAAGAACCGTGAGCCCAAGGCGTCTAGGACATTTCACAGAACTGCATGCGGCTTGGCATCGACTTGGGACCGATACCCAGAGCATGGGTCATGGAGTATAACTCCAGCGGAAGGCTTGATGTGCTTCCGTCTGTATGAACTCGTGTGTAATCCTTGTCGACACCCTCTCAGCTCTTGCGGACGTAGGCATGGTGGATATGGGGTGGGCGTTGAAATCCAGGATGTGTTGATGGGCGATCTACTGGCTACCTAGGGCCGTAAGGTACCACCCCCCCTTGCCAACAGGCGACCAGGGGATTACGGGGCAGGCCGGGAGGGCAGGGGTGTAAGGCCATGGGTTGTCTCGGACCCTTTCTCCACCTCCAAAGAGACTCGTTCCCTCCGAGTTACAGCGTGTGTGTGTGCTGTGTATGTAGTTGGAGCGCGGCTGCCACCACTGTTGCTGTACCCAGCCCCAATGCTTTGGGGGGTGTGGCTTTCAGTCAGCTCGTATCATCCACCTTTCTAGTTGTTGGCCTCCTGATCCATGACTGACATTCAACATAAGCAAGAGCTTTAAGTCAATCGTCTCGGGAAAGAAATGGGCGTCATCTGCGTCAAATGCTAAACCTGTTTGACGCCATTGACGCCGGCCGGATCTCAGGCAAGTCTTCGCGGCAGCAGAGCAAAATGCAGGCTTGGTGCAGACACTGGATAGAGAGAGTCGACTCAAAAGCAATGCTACGAACAACGAAAGAAAAATTCTGAGAAGTGATAGGGCGAGACATGTCATTGGTTATCGAACACGCCGGACCGTAATCCTGCCCGCGCGGGCGTGGAGTAGCCGAACGACTGCGAGACCTCACTGACCACTAGCTTGTAGGCGGCGACCCCGCCACAGCCGTGAGGGGAGCATGTGTCTACTGGTCAATTTTCTGATGAAGGTAACGAGCATGCGCGACCCGCAATTGGCTTTCCGAAGCAGGCGCAAAACAGAATAATGATCGTCGTATGACGCCGGGTCTCCCGCGATACAGGACGTTAAAAATTCTGCTGAGGCAGGACAAGAAGGACCCTCATCGCCGCTATAGGCTGAAACCGATGCCAGTGCAGCCGTTTGTGTGGCTTCATCGTTTAGATACTGAGCCACTCCGGTCTCGCTCACGTACGGAAGCCAATGAGCTTGTTGGAGAGCTAAGCGTGATGAACTCGGGCACAGTTATAGCAGTCGTTGGCTCGGACCGTGCTGAGATATGTCTTAAAGAGGAGACGCCATATCAATTGTGTACATGTCGCGTTAAAGACGATCTGGCAGCGTCTAATTCGAGGCTTGGCCAGGATCTGTCGCGTACGCGAGAAAGAAGGGGTATCTGGTTCTAAGTAGATGTTGCGTTGCCTCTTTCACTGACCCTCCTTGCCTTTCTTGGAGTCGGACTCGGCTTTTTTTGCTGCTTCATCCTCAGGGGCCTTTCCAAACTTGGTAAGAACTTTGGCAGCCCATTCTTCGAACTCTCGCTCGGCGGCCTCGTCTGTTTGGCCAGCGGCTCCACGAATGCTTCTGCGCGCCATCTCTCTCAGGTCATCGACAGAAGTAACATCAAAGGCCCAGGCAGCACCTCCAGTCATCATCATGCCAAAACTGATCACATTGAGCGTCGCCAAGTTCAGTGCTTCCAAGGCAATCATAGAGCCTTCAGGGTTGACCTGCTTGCCTGCGGGGCTGTGACTGGGCTGATAAAACTTGGGATAGGCGGCTAATTGCTTGCGTGTGATGGCGCGTCGCGTGACAAAGGTCGAAAACATCAGGAAGCCAGCGCCGGCGAAGAACAAGCCTAGTTGCTTCGCTGCCCTCGACTGAAAGATGGGGGATGCTGGCTGGGCTTGGGACCTCGTGAGGCGAGAGTCGGATGACTCGTTGTCGGGAGCCATGGCTGGGGAGCGTTGTGCGAGCATCGAATCTCGCGCCTTGATTGCCTCAGTTGTTAGACAACCAAATCCACAGTGGCTGTTCGGAAGCGGACTTACCAGGCTTAGGGTGGCTTGGACCGGATCAATTGACCACAGACAAATTGATGTAGTTTCTGCGGGCAAGAGGTATTCGCGTGCTGAGGTAGCTCTCTGGTGCTGCCGTTACTCCGCAAGGGAAGGGAAAGGAAAGCGGAGCTACTGTGGGAGCTCTGGGCGTCGTGGAAAGGAAGTTCCCGCCACTAAAATTAGCCGACCCCCGATCAATGACCATCGGTATGCAATAAAGCACATTACGTATCATCTATTATTCATAAAGCGAATCGCCATAAGAAACCCGCCTCCACCCATAGAAACAAGGGTTCTGGTGACAACCCCTCCTGAATTATCCCCTGCCATGAATGGAACGGACCCCTCGTCCCCACCACAGGCGGCCTCGTGTCTGTCTGATGGCTTGCTTCACTACCTATGAAGAATTGCATTCTCGATCGACTCTGATCAGATACGAGTGTCGGAAATGAAGGAGAAAAAAAAATAAACCGGCTTCATCTTAGTTCAAATTCGATTTCCAAGAATATACTCTCATTTTACTGATATTTTCGTATTCGTGCGGATGCAGAAATAATTGCATCATGTCGGCCAAATGCTACAGTTCGCTACGGACGAAATGCACGACGGCCCACCACAAACACTACGCAACCTTACAGAAGGCTCACCTTGCGACCACTACGTCCAGCCACCACGCAAAGCACAAAAGAACGTGACGGGTTGGACTGGAATCTCAACGATGCATCCGCGAAGACCATCCCCCCTTTCTTGTCTGCATATGACATGCGAGCAATTATGGCGGTCTGTCATGCTCATTGGCGTTAAATCCCTACGCTAGATCCCTTGTCGAGCAATCGCACACGTTGCCTACCCAAGATGTTGATGTCCAATCACTATCGACCACAACATACCAACCCCATTTCGCATCTTGATGTGACAGCTGATCTTACAACGGCTGCTCCCATCAAACGACATCACTTGCAGATGGCATGCCAGTCTGGTGATCGGAATACTTCCCCGGGGCCTGACACCCCTTTTGACGGCTGCGTTTAGCGAATAGTATAGGTCCCCCCCCCCTCGCTCATGGAACTTGTTCACCTTGGATCTGAATTATGCATTTCTGTAAAAGTTCATCAAAATGATAGATCAAATGTCGGTTCTCAGCTACGGGTGCATAAAACGCTGATACGCCTTCCACACAGACGACTCACGGCCCTTTGGCTTCGCGATTCGTGAACCCTGGCAGCAGAACAGACATCAGACGCAAAGCTTCGGCCAACTGACCTAACCAGGACACGTGCTTGTCTCGGCAACGATCTATTGCTCGGAGATCTTGATCGCTGGATCGTCGATGGTAGTCGATGGTAGTCGATGGCTGCTGACATTTCTTCGGTACCTAACCGCACCAGATTGCCGGGTTTTCGTTCCAGGCAGGCTGCACGATACTAGAGAAATAGGCGTGAAATGCAAGCAGACAAGTTCGAGAGTCGTCATTTTCCCTCTCTGCACCGCGCCTGCTGGCTGGCATCCTTGGCATATCGCTCCGACTGTAGAACGACTCCCGAACTGCTCTTTGAAGTAATACATTAACACGTTACTTTTTTCAGTACAGAGTAACCTACATCTTCTGGGGCGTTGATATATTCATGATACCTGCAGGGAGTACTTGGTTGCTCCCTTAGACGAGGGAATATCGATACCCTTTTTGCAGTAGATTCAGTCAGGATGCCTGTTGCATCATGTCGATAGTACGCGACAATGACGAGAATCTGAACCGAGACCGACTTCATGAGCACAACTGAGTGGGCAAGGGTTAGAGGCGGGCGTATCAGTCAAGTTTTCTGCGTTGTGATAAAAATTCCGGGTCAGTTTAAGATTCAAGGTCACATGGTTGGCCAAAGAGGCAGAAACGAGGCACTCTGTCGCAACTGCCCTTGTGCCGGGGAACATCTAAGTGAGATGCCAACTGACGAGTCGCACGGAGCAGCAAAAAAGCACCAGCATGGTGCGTTGTCGGACATCGGTTGTGGAGACTGCGACAAAAATGACTGAAGAGCGTACCGTCCCGACACTCAGGCACTTGGATTCGATAATTGCTGCAAGACAACAAAAGCCACAATCGAATTAGTTGGAAGACATAAGTTGGTTCCTGATGAACAACGAGTTGGACTTGACCGGCCTGTCTCATCCTGAATCCAAGCTTATCACAAGTTCTTTTCTTCATCATCATCAGCAAAAGCAGAATTTTGACAGATTTTGAGGTGCATTTAGATTGGTCAGGCCACCTGCAGCAAAAAAAGAGTTTTCGTCGCCGAGCAGGGATGAGTCCTGCTTCTGCCAAAATTTCAAGCGGCTAATGAGAGCTGACGTGCAATGATATGAGGGCAGAGACAGCGGACCGTCATTGGCGACTGGTATTTTGGACGGCTGTCATATATCACTTTTCCCGAAGATCTAGTGCCTCAGCCCGGAAGGGCAATAGTCACGAAATGGGCCACTCAATGACGATGAGACGGGGCGGGGTTTGGGCTCAGCTGACGCCCATCAACTTCTGTTACTTCGCTTTGAGCTTTTTTTTTTCGAGCGATTAACCACGCACCCAAGGTCCTTATGATGCAGCACATGTGGGAACCTCCGCGATCGCCGAGGCGCAATTCCATCGTGTTTTTTTTTTTTTTTCCCTTTCCCTGGATGCCACGGTTGCTTTACCACGTAACTGGGTCGGCGATCGAATTGCGTCTTAGAGATCAGTCTAGTGGATGTATGTAATGACCCCTCTGTGAGTGCTCTTATGAAAAGTCTTGGCTGCAAGTTAGTGGACTTTTTCCACGCAGAGAGGCAACGAGCTCTGATGAGGCCCGTGTGAATGGCGCTGCTACGGTTGACAGAGATCTGAGGAAAGCGGGATTAACCGCTTGATGTGGTCGTGGGGCTCTCCCGCTACAGCTTACCCGCCCTCCCCGCCGGGACTGTAGCGCACGACTCAGCGTCGCACATACGGATAAACTATGCTCTCATGAACCAGGCGTAAAATGTCCAGAGAAAAGTTGACGCCAAATCGATGGAACCCCGGCGCACAGACAGAAATCCGACAGAAGGGAAAGGGATGGCTTCAGATCTGAGTCGCCCTTGTTAGGTGCACACCTTGCCAACATCTTCAACCACGACTGCGGACCCCGGGTCACTTGGTGAGACGGGTTCCAGGTGGGAAGGTTAAGACAAAGCGTAGGCGAGAAACTTCGTCAACTGTCACTTTCTGATCAAAAAGAAGTGCAGATGATAAGTGGCCTCTGATATATGACGAGGTGAAGGAAACAAAGCAGGGAGGACATATTAGTGGAAAAGACGAATCTCACGATCAAGCCAGGTCAACTCCTAGCGTTGACCACCTTCGCATCTTCCCCCCTGGTCCCGGCGATGTATGCCCCGGACCCCCGGAGATGCTGTCCATCTTAAAGTGGAGACACGGGGGCTCTAAGAGGAGCGGCGGTGGTCGGATAAGGCGCGGCTGCCAGGTTTGCACGCACACGCACCGAAGGTAATGATGCACCGTCCAAGGCAAGGAATACTGTACCTGTACACAGTACACACCCTAAACACGACTAGTGCCTGCAGTGTTAGAATCCACCACCATCCATCTCCGTCCACTCGACAACTTCATCTCATCCTCACTCACCCTGCCCCAGAGAGGCAGAAATTCCCCATCACAACATTTTCCCCTGCACGTACAGACATTTTAAGCGAGCGCCAATGAATGCTCCAGCCAACGAATCGCCATCTGAAACTAAACACTCGCATCCCGTCTAGCCTAAGCCTAGTCTCACGTGGACTCATAGCCTGGGCCCTAATCAGATCTTGGTGATAACACCACAACTAGCTAACCAGACTGCCTATTACCGACCCGCTCAATATTCAACAGCCGACAGTCCTTTGACCGCCTAGGTCCATCCTTGATTCGTCTTCCGTTCTAGGCCCCTCCACTAGCCTGGCTCCCACCCCCTCCTGGTCCACGCGCCGCTTTGCAACATAGCAGCGTGAGCCTCATATTTGTTCCAGACGGCCGACGGAAGCCATCAGCCACTAAGTGCTCCTGGGCCGCTGCACATCATCCTCCCAGTACCACGTTCTATTCGTACGGCGCAGCAGACAGGAACTCTTCATCATGGGCAAACAGAAAACTGGCAACACTGGCAAGGCAAAATCTGGTGCCAGCAACACAAGCACGAACACCAGGGCGGTCGCCGTTCCCGCTCCTAACGTCCCTCCCGCCTGGCCCCAGTTCAAGCCACCATTGCCAGTTACTGACCTCATCCCGGAACCGTTCGCATCATGTCCCGACAAGGTCGTCTTGATCCGTAATTTCTGGCCAAAATCCCTCTGCAGTTCCTACGTTACATTTCTCAGGAACCTACCGCTGGTCACCACCCCTGGCCGTCCCAAAAGAGGAGAGGCAGTGAGGGTAAACGACCGTTTTCAAGTGCAGGATGCCACCTTTGCTCAACGCCTTTGGATGGAGACTGGACTGCGCGAATCGCTCGCCCAAGACGATGTTCAGGGTTTGTGGTAAGTCTACTGCCTTTTCTTCCCCTGCCATCCCCTATGACAGACCCCTGCCCTGAACGACGCATTACACGCGTTTCCGGCCAGATCCGCTAGCACATCTGCCCAGTCAATCTCTTCCGCCAAATAAAAAGGGGGGCACCCGCGGACATGGAGCCTGCGCAGAAGAAGAAAACCGTCTGCCCCCAGACACCCTTGTCATAGAGTTTGGCTAATGAGGTTGGTATTCGCTAGGGGCGGTGAGGTTATCGGCTTGAATCCCAACATACGTATCTATCGCTATTCCAAAGGCCAATATTTTGATGCACACTGTAAGTTCCAGGGCCAAGTCATTGACCTGTCATAAAACGCCACATACGCCGCAGGCGATTAGGCCTGCGAGCTACTGGGTGAAGTACCCTCTCCACAGCCAATACTTCGTGCCAGTAGCCGAATTCCTGAAAGCCCTTCTCTGAGCACAATATGCCCCAGTCCGGCATGGATTTGTCATTACTGGACAACAGTCTCTAGATGAGCAGGGAGCGAATGAAAGCCTGTTGGTTACTTGGAACTAGGACTGGTTAGTACCGTCCCATAAGGTATCATCCCTTCTACGACGACTCTCTGAGAGCTCGCAAGGTCGAGTTATACTGTCGAGTTGTACTCAGGGGATCTCATGATAATCAAAACCGTTCCGGTGGCAGGTAACAGTTGCCTGGTCCAGCCATATCTTGCGAGAAGTCGAGCAAGCTCGGTCCATACGTTTTCTCTCACCCTACTAGCAATGTCCTTCATCGACCCATTCCTACGGATACTCAACTTGGACTGGTTTCTGGTCTATGCATGTCTTAACATCAAGCCCAGAACAAAAATTCTACAGCTACCCCATGACTTACCGTGTCGCACTCGAGACCTGCTAGACCTAGGCTGAGTTACCCACTATTTCTGTTATGCTTTGAGGACGAAATTGGCCCCGCAGCAAGTGTCTAGCCATCGATCTACCCACACGATGGTCATATATGATATATGACATCTCACCTCCTTCGCTCAGTCCTCATTGTTTACACTCTGCTCGTCATAAAGGGCTTAGGCTCGAGCGCCAGCAATCCCATCGATTTGTCCCGCAGGCCCAAACCCTGCGGATCGTTCCATACCGATCCACCCCAGGGCAGAGAAGATTTTTTGGGGGGCACCTGTGAGTCCAATCCAGTGAGCCCCTCAGCATCTCGCAGCTTTCTGACCACTCGAAAAGCTCAGCAACAATTGCACGCTGGCGATTTTCTGCCTGCAGCTTTCAAGGATTGCTTCTGTTTCTTTGAGCTTTGACATTTTCCTTCCGTATCCTTCATCCGGCTTCTATGCATGCTCCCTCCTCATCTCTCACAGATCGATCGCAACCAGCTGACCTGTGGAACCCCCACATAGACGATGATTCCAATAACGTCTCGCTCGCCCTTGACCCTTCCTCAGGAGCCGTTCCGTGTAAGACAACGTGGACGCTTCTGCTCTATTTGACGTCCTCCGCCGAAGGCTGCGTCGGCGGCGAGACCGTCTTCTTTCCCAACGACCGCCGCTCCGCCAAGGAGGAGATCCCGGTCGCCCTCGAGACTGGTATGCTTCTTCTACACAAGCATGGAGATGATTGTATGTTGGTAAGTCTTTTCCGTGTTCCATTCTGTCTTCTTAGCCTTGCTTCCAGCGAACCCATGCATCCTTCCCTGATCCCCGATGATGGTCAGGGCCAAAACGTTCCCGACCAGGCCTTGTAAGGGTGCGACCGTTGCCACTATGGGTTATTTTTTCGCCAGCGTTCCTTCTGCCGTACCTTTTACTTTCTTTTTCGGGGGGAGCTCGAAACAGGCCAACCACGGCCACAACTGCGGCCTCACTTCACCTCCTTCCCCATAAGACCTGCCCGCCCGCCCACCTACTCTGCTCACATTAAACCCCCCCCTAGGGCACATCCCCCTCTGCCCAGTTACTTTTGCCCTCCCCAGTCGTGCACTAAGAGCGTCTGTAAACTGACACATGTTCCACTTATCAACAGCACGAGGGGCGAGAGGTCACTGCAGGGGAGAAGTGGGTATTGAGGACTGATCTCTGCGTCAGGAAGTGAGAGACCAGACACGAACAACGCACGCACAATAATACCCAGCAGTCTAACCTTACTCACGCCCACAGCCCGCTGGGCGTGGAGCCAGAGGGGAGTATCACGCAGCGATGTAGTGTGTATCCACCGCTCTGGTACGGTAACCGCTCTCTCACTCTCTGTGTGTATGATGGCCTTGATGAACCGACTGGATCTTTTGATAGCGGCCCACCCTTCCTACCTTTCCTCGCCCCCCTCTTATTTGATCAGATATTCCGCCGGATCGTACGGAGAAATGGAGTAACCTGTGGATATATGTCGCTGAGCTTCCTGGTCAAGTGATCTTTGGTCCTGCACCCCGTGCCCGATTGGGGGTCGCTCTTAGTGTGTTGTTGATGGACGAGAGAGAGAGAGAGACAAGAGGAGGCCTAGCCCCGAATTTCTTTTCTTCCACTTTGTAAAATCATGTTGTATGACAGTATGACAGAGATGGGGATCATCAATCAAGATATCCAGGACCGGCAGCAATTTTCAAGGCTACCACCATCACCACCACCACTACCACCATCACTCCGTCCGGGTGTCATCGCGTGTGTACCATGTAAAGGGCGGGAGCATTTCAAAGTTCCCGGAAGCAAGTGGTAGGCAGGGCCTTTTTTTTTTTTTTTTCATTCTTGACGGGTCATATTCCTGCCGATCCAAGTTGTTTCTTTTAACGACGGCGTGCACTTTTTGGGATTGGGCGCCAGGCATGCAACTCCTTTTTTTTTTCTCTTCCCTTCCCCTTCCTCTCCAACTTGGCCCCCCATGTGTAGTGATGGTGGTGGTGGTGTGCGTATGCATGTGTATGTATGAGTGCATATGTGTGTATGTGTATGTGTATGTGTGTGTGTGTATGCATTACTGTGAGCTGCCTACTTACCCATCTAACCTACTAGTATGTCGAGCCTCATAACTTACTGGCTCCGGGTTGCCTCCCCATCCCACGAAAAGAATGGGAATAAAAAAAACCCCCTACCATGTTTCCTTCCGGCATCTCCCCCGTTACCCTGCGTTTCTTCCCGCCGCAGATGCAATATGACCCCCAATCAAAATCGGATCAGGGATCTGCTACTGACAACAAATGATACGGCTCTCACGAGGGTCACGGTGGCATCGAGAACAGGCAATGTCTGCGTCACGAATCAAGTCTATTATGTTGCGTCCAAGTCTCGTAGAGGGACCAAAAAAAAAATGATGCCTGACGAATTATGTGCGTGTGCACGCCGTATCAAGGCCCAATGCAAGCCCGGATCCGCTGCAGCCCTCCGTAATCGCTCATTGCCGTCATCTGTGATTAATGACGGAAAGTCGGACGGGAATGACCTGTCGAACGCCCTGTCGCAGCAGAAAAAGGTCCCGTTTTGCCGCCTCTTTCGCCTAGCCCATGGCGCCGCCCATCAGTCGGTCCATGGCATCCATGGCGCTCTCTTCATCCTCAACATGTATCTCCTGTCCACCAGTAGCATCGCCGCTCCTGGATGACACTGAAACCTCGTCGCCATCTTTGTCCGTGGGGCTCTCAAACACCTCGAGAAGCTCGCCCCGGTGGACCAGTCTGCCGTGGTCGAGCTGGGTCACTGGCTCCGCCTCGTCGTCCGCGCGGCGAAAGTGGTGGGTTTTCCGCACGGGCAGCGGCGCTGCATCAGGGTCGATGGTTGGTCTGGTCTTGACTTGTCCCGTGGCGATGCGGCCCATGATCCAGTGGAAGATCCAGGGGAAGCTGATCAGGGGCATCGACTGTCGCCTGTGTTCCTCATCCTCGTACTCCCCCTTCAGCGCTGCATTGACCTCGTCCTGCGTCACCTTGTACATGGACGCCACGAACGGGGCAATGTCCTCAAAGCTTCTGCCGCCAATCTCTTTGTAGCAAATATCGCGAAATCGTTGCTTTAGCATCGAAGACTCCCGCCCAACATCTTCCTGCTGCTTGTAGTCACTCCCGATTCGTGGTTTGGACAGCACGAACCCGGTCCAGATCTCGAACTCGGTCTCAATATCGCGTTGGCCCATTAGCCGCCTCATTGCTGTGTCGTACTGAGCCTTTATTCCTCGAGCCTTGCACAGAAGGTCGTCTGATAACTTGTAGCGGCCCAGTATTCTTTGGTCGAAGCTCTTTTCGTAAAGAGGCCTGAATCCCACATCCTGTATCATATCGTAAAGTTTTCCGAGTGCGGTTGATGAATGGTATTTGTCACCCCTGCTTGTGAGGAAATGAGGTCGTTCCTTAGCATTCAGCTCCTTGGGGAGCTTCGCCGGATTACCGGTTTTGACGTAGTCTACGGCCTTAGAGTGCAGCGCTGCCAACTTGAGACCTGCTTCATGTTAGCATCTGTCATACTTGATACTTCCAACTCCGTAGAGGAAACTCACATTTTGGATCCTTGACCCCTTGAATGGACCTGTCAGCATGGGCAAGATGCGCTGTAGCGATTAAGGCGAGGCTGTCGTTCTGCATATAGCGAACAAAAAATGCACGAAGGTCTTTGACTTGAACATCTCGACGAAGGACCGCTGGCGTGGGTTGTACATAGTTCATGGGCGGCTGGTGCCAAACATCTGGAATGAGATCGAGATCCCACATAACGAAGAAGTCATCGCCGTCCAGATCCCCACCTGACATCATGCTCGGGACATCGCGATCTCCGGTGCGGGGGAATACCACAACGTTCCTCAGGTGGTGAAGCTCGGGTACATCGACTGCCTCCATTACTCGGATATCGCCTGGATGGAGCGATGGATTGCGTCCAACAATGCAAAGGCCAGTGACGCACGTGAATCTGCCACTGCCAATAGGGCTCTCAATCTGCAAGAAGACTTGCGGCAAGTCCTTGACGTTTTTAGTGTTTTTCCCTTCGGTGGATTTCAAGTGGCCTCGTAGAATCCCCGTTTCATCCAAGCAGCCAAGAAGAAATGCGCTTTTCTCAACAATAACGCGAGCTTTTTCCTTGAGTAGCTTCATGGACCATATTCTCCATAGATTTAAAATTGTCAAAACAAATGGCTCCTGGATCTCTGGGTCTATGAAGCCCCAACCAACGAGGTCCTTGATCGTCAAGGACGTCAAGTTCTCGTCAATGTACTGCCCCAGTAGGCTTACGGCTGCGACCCGATCATTCATGGCCTTTTGATAGTTATTAATTTGCAATTCAGCAAGCTTCAAAATGACTTCTGCGCGAACACCAAGGGATGTCAGAACGGTGATGGTTTGTCGGTTCAAGGTGGCTGTCGATGTTTGTGCATATTTGATTATCTCGAGGCCGTTGAACTTCGCTTTGAACTTTTCTTGAGATTGTCGAATATGTACCTCCAAGTTCTTCGCGTCGGGCCATACAACTAACATGCCTTTGCAGCCACCCATGCGGAATTGAAAGGCGGAAGGCGTGATGTTGAGGTCTTCGTCTCTCATTTCTTGAACGACCATTTTTGCCAGCAATTGCGAGATTTTGCCAACCCCATCACTAAAGCAATATCCGTTCTGTTCAATGTCTTCTATTGGGACGATCTTAGGAACAGTGACACCACGGATCTCTCGCGTTGTTGAAAAGCACTGTCCGATTCGGGCAGCGTATTTCGCCACGTTTTTGATGTGACTGAAGTGACCCATCCAGTCACGAATTTGGTCGCAAGACAAATGCTCTGTTGGGCAGAAGAAGTAGACAGCAGACTCTCGAATTTGGGAGTTTCCAAAGGCCAAAAATTCGTAGTGCCGACTTCCAATTGTGATCCCCTTGGCTAAGGCACGGTAGACTCTGCTGAAAAGCTCGCCCCCCGAGTCACTGTATATCTTGCCATTATAGAGCTCATCCGTGAATTGAACTCGGAGAAAGCGGTCCTGATAAATGCTGTATTTTCGAAGAACCCTGTTAGATGACTCGACGCTGGGAGAGTTATAGTATACGACCGTGGGCGTTACAACTATTTTTCTAATGGTGGTGCAGTAATGAGGCGTGCTGGCATTGGGGAAATAAAGTCGTCCTTCTTCGCTGTCAAAGATCTCCATAGGATTCCATACCCTCTGGCCTCTATCTGTAAAATATTCCAGAGTCCATTTCGCCCGATCTTTGTCGAGCGCTCTCAAACGGTCCAGAAATTCATGAGTAATCGAGTACTCTGATAAGACACCTCGAGAGATACAGGCTTCTAGTTGATAGTGAACTTGGAAGTCCAGAACTGGCGGTGCCTGCAATGTCGATTCTAATGATTGTATTGACAAACTGGTGAATGAGATTCCACGGGAATCCTCGGGGGGCGAGACCCGGTGCAGAGTTGTGAGCAGAGCGGGTTGATGAGGGATAAATTTGAAGTGGTCCAATGTGATGGTCTCGATATTGTACGCATGAAGCGCCTCCAGTACTTGGCTCGTTGCATTTTCATTGTCTTTTACGATGAATCCGAGTGTAGTCCAGCGGCCGATGTTGATAAAGTCTGGATCATCAAAATCGAATTGTAAAGTCACGGGAAAGTTGGAAGGCACACGGCGGTCGTTGAGAATGGCCGTTCGCCGTTCCCACATATCCAGAGGACCCCAAAAGGTTCGCCCTACCGCCATCTCATTAAGTCGATCTTCATCCAGTTTTGTTCTGAAAATTGCGGGATGCTCAAGGGGTATAATTAAACCGATGGCTCCTTCCTCAAGGTTGGTTTGATAAAGCTTCGTCAACCGAGCGAAGGCGACGGTGCAACGGTGACGATGAAATTTGTCTTCATAGTCATTGCCATTGTGCCCATTGTGTGTTTGGGAGCATCTCTTCGGCATATCGAACGTGATGATGAGCTGTTTCCGGCCGAGATCCACATCAATTCTCACGTTGTCAGTGATAGACTTGTGTACCATCATCTCGTTCTCCTGGAGACGCACACCGAAGTCCAATTGGTCTGCTCGAAGACTCATTCTTGTTTTCAACAGTACTTTAGGATTCGCTGGACTTTCTGTCATGCCAGGGTATTTTATTCTTGGAATGAAGAGCTCAATTTTAACACGAGCGCACTTATCCCTGTCGTACGAAATAATGTAATTGAAGGAGGACCAGAAATCAACCTCTGGTGGCGGTTCAAAGCGGACTTTTGCGAATCCATTCCGTCTGCCATCTTTATTCTCACCTAGCTCCAGTAAGGTAATGTTGCCGTGTCGCGAGAATGACTTATGCAGCTCTGCAAGAGTAACTGTACTCGGAAGCCGGAAGATCTTGAGCGTGAGCTCTGGCCAAGTCCGCCATGGCTCGTTGCCCATGGTCTTAGTGATGAGAGAGGCACCTATGTCACAAGTCAGAGAAGCTTGGTAATTTGTTAAGGGCGTCCTGGTAACTTGATGGAGGTGGTGATGATACGAATACTGAGAACTGAAGAAGGATCGAGGACAAGACGAAAAAGCTGTAACGGAGGTCGGTATTGCAGGGAAGCGGGGAAAGAAGTTCGCCTACAGAACAAGGCAGTGGCGAACTGATTAGGACAGTGGCAAAGTGATATTTCAGAAATATGCGTGAGAATGGGCACGAAGTTGTTGTCTAAAAGCAAGATAGGTTTGATAGTATCCCGATGGACAAGTGTCGCCCATCCATGGGAAATGACTGGATAGAAAGCGGGAAGAGCATCCCTTACAGAGTAAGAATATCTGTTGGAGGAGACAGTGAAGGGCGGAAGAGAAATTCAAATGTTTTGAGCAAGCCAAGTAAACAAGATAGTGTAGAAGGAGCCAACACCTCGGGTAGTGTTCCTTTCATCTAGAGCCTCAGAGAATGAAGGACTGTAAACAGAAAAGTGGTGCCACTTCCTGCAGACTCTTCATTCAAATTAAGAATCAGGTACTGGCCCATCCCCTATCTCACCTATACGGCTCACAGTATGAAAACACCGCAAAGACAAACGAAAGGTTTGTAGTCATATGCAGACTCCCGAAAGGTTAGGGTACACACATCTAATCCTTAACCTATCAAATCACAACCGTAACAATACGCCAGTCTACCTGCAGGCTAAAGGTTACCCGTCGCTACTGTCAGAATTTTCGCACAAACACGCGTGCTGACTTCAGGATTACTGCCGTGTCCAAAGGTAGCCAGTCGTCTTAATTCACAAGAAGTGGAGAAACCAAATATCGCCGTGTTTTGGGCACTCAGCATCTACGGACTGACATACTCAGCTAATATCGATGAGTTATTGTTCTGGCAGCTAATGGTCAACTACGACTAATCGAAGATTCAACACTAGATTGCTCGATGCTCCTTTATCAAGTCGGTAAATACGCCAAACCCGGATTTTTTTACCCCTTCCCGTCACACACAACAACGACGCTACCGTCTCGTAGCAGGTCACTTTAGTTTGTCCGCGATCCCTCGGGAATATCCATGATCTTTCCTGGGTTCATGATCCATTTTGGATCGAGCGCCTTCTTGATCGACTTCATAACGTCGAGTGTGTCTGGGCCGACCTCGAGTAGAAGCGATTCCTTTTTGCCCCAGCCGATCGAATGCTCGCCAGTGCACGTTCCCTCCATCTCGATTGCGCGCTTGACCATGTTTTTAACACACTTCTCAACCTTTTCCCTTTCTTCGGGGATCGTTCGGTTATAAATGATGCTTTCGTGGAAGTTGCCATCGCCAATGTGGCCCAGAATACTGGCAAACAGTCCCATGTCGTCCATCTCCTTCTTGCTCACCTCAATAAGGTCGGCTAGTCGACTGAAGGGCACTGCAACATCCGTGCTCCCTACCCAGCGTCAGTAAAAGAGTTGCCGGCGAAGTTGAAATTCGAAGGATGATACTCACAAACTTCTTCTCCATCTTTCCGAAGTGCCAACATCGACCACAACGACTCTTTCCTAGCAGACCAGAGTAGCTTCTGCTCCCTCGCGTCCTTGGCGAACTCAAACTTCCCGGCCTTGTGGTTCTTGGTGATTTTCTGGACAAGGCCAATGTTCTCCTTGACGCCAGCCTTGGTACCGGAGAACTTGAAGAAAAGGGTCGGGAGTTCGTCCCATACCCGAGGGGCCGTTGCACCACCAATGTTAACAACCTTCATCTGGACTTCATCCATAATTTCCATCGCAGCTACGGGGATGCCGTTTCGCATCACCTCGGCTGCAGCAGCCGCCGCATCCCGAATGCTTGGGAAGGTGACGACCGCAACAGAGAAGTCCTCAGGAACCACTGTGAGTTTGAGAGTTGCTGTGACAGAGTCAGTACAGTAATGAGATAATCAAGACGGCATGTTGCAAATTTACCTTCGGTAACGATACCAAGGGTTCCCTCAGATCCAACGAATAAACCGTTGAGATTATAACCAGCGGAGGACTTGCGTGGACGTCTGCGGGTCTTGACCACAGTACCATCAGAGAGAACAACAGTTAGGTTGATAACCCAATCTTTCATGGTTCCGTATCTGACAGCGTTGGTTCCTGAACAGTTAGTACCAATCATTCCACCAATCTTCGCACTCGGGCCTAGTACAATGGTCAGCAAGGACGTTGGAGATATGAACTTCGCCATTCTTACCCGGGTCGATGGGAAAGAAAAGACCGCTCTCCATCTTTGCCAGCTTCTCATTCAAGTCCTGCCACCCGATGCTAGGTTGCACGACAATGTCCATGTCCTCCTTGTTGAAAGAAATGATCTGATCCATGAACGCGAAATCGACACTGATTCCTCCATAAGGGGCAGAAAAGTTGCCTTCCAAACTAGAACCACCCGAGTAAGGGATGATGGGGATGTTGTACTTGAAGCACACCCGAGCGATGGTTGATACCTGTTCAGTCGATCGAGGGTATGCGACAGCCACAGGAAGGTTTTCAGGGTTGACTGTTGACCATTCAGAGTAGCCGTGGGCATGTAAGTCCTCTGGATCTGTTGAAATAATGTCGTCGCTGTCCAACTCTTGCCGAATTTCCTTCAGCGCCTGGAAACTGTCAGAGCCTGTAAGTTCATCCACGTTATTGCACACACCTGTTCCATTTCGGACATGCTTGCATATTTGACTGGACCAACGCTGCCAAGAGGCAGCGAGCTACCGATAGATGGAAGAAACCCAGACCCTAAGGAATTGTCCCTTCTTGAGCTAGCAAGACCCCAACCAATAGTACCGGCAGCCAAAGCAACGCCCCAAACCGACTTTCCGTTCCAACCGGACTGTGATGCGGAACTTGTACCCTCAGAATTGCCGCTCTGCGTACTCCGCCGGGTGCTTGTCATCGAGAAACCGCGGCCGATCCGGGGGGTGGACCCAGCCAGTTGGCGCCTCAAGCCATGGCTTAGGATGGGCCTGGCAGAGTGTTTTGCCGACATGCAGGACATCTACACGGACGGGATCCGGACTTTGGAAAGGCTGGTTGTTATTGGCCCAGTGAAATAACCTGGTCGACGCTGACAGAAACGACAGGGCTTGACCACGGTGTGGGTTACGTCGGCGAGAGTGGCTTGCGTCGGCGTTGAATTTTGCGTCCACGCTCTTTAACTGAAGTGCAAGTCGAACGTTTAAAGTGGAAGAAATGATGGCTCAATTTCTTCGACAGGCGTGATTGCGCAAGCTGTTGTAAGCTACCGTATCCGAGAAACTTAAAGTTAACTTTGGTTATTGTCTTTGGGCCGATGCTGGCAAGTGCTCTCTTGAAATCGACTTCGTAACAAGTTGACACCGGGATCGTGAGTCCGCCGAAGGTATGGGAAGCGACAGGTTTATATCAGAAAACGAGAGAAACAAACCACCAAAAGACCCAGTCCACGGCCAATGTCGCAATCGGCCATCAAAGAAGCTAAGCGGTCAAGTAATGGGCAAGTGGATATAGTGGATGACCATGGGGTCCTCGGTCTTTAATAACGATGCTTTTGCCTCCTAATTTTTTTGGAAGGAATCGAGAGCGTGACCATACAGCAAGTATATGGGTGTACCACATCCCACATTTGGAACGAGGTGCAGCCAGGGCAGAGGCTGTGGGTGCACAGAAAGCCACTTAGTGCCCAATCAAAACAGTGGAGTAGAACGATATTGACCCAAAAAGTAAAGAAGCCAAAAGGCGGAGGGCTAGAATGACGAGAACCCAGGCCAACGACCAAGCCAAGGTGGCAGCCCTGAGTCGTCAGCGGGGTGGGATGCTAGACTGGCTTTCGATGGGTACCTGGGTGTACCTTGCCAGCTAAGACCAGACCAGCTAAGCTCTCCAATGTGGAGCATTGAAGCTGTCCTGTTGCTGGAGACACAGACACGACAAAGCGGACGACATCGGGGTTGAATCTGGGGCACAACCGAACGGAAGCGGGGAACTCGCCGATGCTGAAACCAGAGGAGGTTGAATATCTCGGCGATGGGAACATTTGGCCGGCCGTAGGTACAGTGGCGGCGGACCATCAAGTGACTTCGATTTGGATGTTTGGCTGTCTCGTATTACTTGGTAGCTTCTTTCTCTCGTCAACATACTCTCCGTACTAGTAGTAATGACGGCCGCAGCACAACATATCGGGAACATCAGACAGGGGTATCGGAGTTGACGCGGAAAAGAAGCACAGGTTTGTATGGCAAAAAGGGCATGGCCACCTTCCGAGAAAGGAGGACACTAGAGACTTTCGCGTCATTACTAGAAACTGACAATTGGTTTTGATGCAGGTGTGACCCCCGTTTCGTGGGGGGAGGGAGGGCTTGGAATAGTTGGATGGGGGGCCCATTAACAACCTTCCAAAGATGTTGACCGGGTATGGGGATTACCAACATTATCCCACCCCTACACTGGCCGCTAGAGCGACGTAATTGAGCATAAGTCGCCTTTGCGCAAGTGAGGGCTAAGCCTGGACTGTCGTCTGGAGACAGCATTACAAGGCTGGCTGTCGGATCTCACAATGCAATGTATGACAGCGAGATGGGCAAAGGGCTTGAACATCAAATTTAGCGTTTGACCATGTGTTATGGTCCCCCCACGACCCGCTAGCAAGGTGACGAGGGTTGGGAAAATTTTCAAAGTTATTCCCATGACCTAGAACTCAACCTTTAGTGAGCAACATGGAGAAAAGGGCACCGAGTTTAGACGAACCCCCGCGCATCGGTTCTGTCGGTGTAGAGTCCGCAGTGGGGCTGGGGCTGAGGGGTAATGATGGCAACGGTGGACGCCGAAGACGCTGGCCCCGTTTGTTGTCCGGCCTTGCTGCTGCTATGCACAATGCAGCCCACCGGATGGGAGCTGACTGCCTGTGTGTTCCATTGCAGGCTCCCTGCGAAGTCGCACTTATTGGGTGGATCACGAGACGACTGCAGGCACGGGGTCATGCTTGCGAGGCTCTTTCTCTCACATTAATCTAACCGTAGTGAATAGCCAGCCACCAGAAGCACCTGTATCTCGGTGCTAGCTGGCTATCCTACCCACTACCCATCGATGCAGCCGGGAATCCGCTTCCGACTTCTGGAACGGCACGGAAGTTTGCCGAGGTGAAACGGAGCTCGCAATGCTTCACAAATACAGTCAGTAGGCAAGGAGAGCCATTTCTGATGTCCTGATCGCTTCCCAATCAATGCACCTTTCCAGTCAGTTGTCAGACAGGATGACATAAGCTCTGGACTACTCCTGGAGAACACTGCGAGAAGGTGGTAAGCAAATTTATTACATTGAACACTCGATATTTCTCCACGTTACTTCATAAAACCTGGCTAGCCCAGACTTGTTCCGGGTTGCAAGGTCGTAGAACCCGTGTACTACTACCCCAGACTCACCAAGCCGAAAGCCCTCGGGTGAGCGGCACGTCCAACAGTTGGTCAACTTCTTTACCAGTCAACGTCAACGACTCATTGAACATGGCAATAGACGGGACCGGAGAGCAGCTCATTTGCTTTTTCCCGCAGAGCGGCTAGCGATGCTGAGAAACCTCGCGTCCTCTCAGGCCTTTCGTCAACCTGGCCAAAGGATTTTCGATGCGTCAACAGGTGCGTCAATAGGCGCACCCTCATCCACTGCAACCCCTGTCTACCCATCGATGAGATTCGATGATCGCTCTGCCAGCTAGTCGGGTGCCCGGGGGCCTTGCATTGCACTCGGATATCCTAGGCAGGACATCCGATACAGGTAGTTTGCCTTCTATTTGGCCCCCGTAACAGAAGAGTTTTCGTTCGAGGTTGGTGCATCTCCATGATGAGATGTGAGCATGCGAGGCAAACTTGCGTTTGCACCATGCCCAGGCTTCAGGCTACGATGAAGTCCAGCCCAGTCTCACTTCATCGACTTGGGCGACAAAAATGCTGTCTCGGTCAAATCTATGACCCGTCGGTCCCATTAATCCTTGGTGAAAGTCGGCCGCCAGTAGTTCGGGTTTGTGGTATCCGCGTTCTTACGACACCTTGTAACCCACCAACGGCACCAAAGGATCCAGGCCACGTGAGAATAGAGCTGATTGGCCTTGACTTCCAAAAGGAGACCCTGATGACATTTTCCATTGGTAAAGACGAACCGTACCTAGTCGAAGGGAACCTAGCCTCATGCGCCTCTGAGCTGGAACATCCTGTTAAATCCAAGCACCGGTCCTGGCTATAAAATTCTAGAACCTGGGCTTTTGTCAGCCCTCGTGCCTCAATCTCGGGCGTAGTGCACGAAAGGAAAAGCAAGCATCGACAGGGTCATTTAATTAGTATTGGTCGGCTCACCTTATAGATCCCTAGTTGTCAGAGGTTAATCCTGGGCGATGACCAGGCTGTCGGAAGAGAAGAGTAGATTCTCGCAGTGGCAATTCCAGACCCTGAAGACCATTACCATTACATCTGTGGGGAGGAGACGGCTGTCCGAGTAGTGGCTCAGGGTACTTGACTGTACCGTAGTATTGACCCAACTTCCCCGCAACTGGGGTTTGACATGCTTGTTGCGAATTCTCCGAACTGCAAGGAGGACAAGTTTGGGTCAGGCGCTTTCCGCTCGGGAGGACAATCGTCAAAATTAGTCGTTTCGTGGTACGGCAATGTTGAGGCCCGCGCCCCCCCAATAGGTGCGGCCTCTGGGGAAGTTTGGCAGCAGTCAGTGACACACAGCGGGGTTTCGGCGCCACTAAGGCGGGGTGTTCCACCTCCGCAATGTCTAGGCGCTGCGTCTTTGGGAGTTTTGTTGCACACTGCGAATTATGGCTGGCTTCTCACCAGTATCGGTACATGAATTTCCTTCAGTTTCGTCGAAATACGAGTAATATCAGCAGCCCTTGAATTTATGGGAATTTTACAAAAGTGATACGATCACTGCGAATTTGTTTTCTAAAAGAGAGAGAGAGAGAAAAGGCCTTCACAGACATGAATGGAGCCTACTGTCAGGTGCAGCGGGCCCACATTGCTCGCAACGATATTAGACAACGCCTAAACATCTCTGATCGAGTCATCTGCAGCTTAACACTTGAGGTTGCAGTTGACAGCATTTTTTGTTGCCATGCAGCAGTCCCCATCTTAGAGAGAATCCACCAGTACCATGAAGCAAGCTGCTCCAGCCCAGGCACCCGATCTGCCACCGCAGCAGCATTAGAAATCAACTTATGGCGTCGTTCGTCACACAGGAACAGAAGCCTCACAACGCCTCTTCCCTGTGCTTCAGGCGTTGCTTGTCACACTCAGCCTCTGGTGACCTGGAAAGGGACACTCACCGACTTCAAGCGTTGTAACGTACGTAATGGTAAGACTGTGTCATCCCCAGACGGTGTATGAAATCGCGGGGAGGGGGAAAGAACCTGCATTTCGTACTGCGGCGTAAGCGTGCGTGAGACCAGCCATGCAGCGAGGCACGAGACCGCTTGCAGTTTTTTCTTATTTTTATTTTATGTTGTTAAGCAGTTTGTATGCCCGGTCAGGACTGGTTGCCCGTAATAGTCTGGGCGATGAGGTCCAAGACGAAATGTGTCCCGAATTGGTCACCGAGAAGTAGCTGCCCAGCGGCGTAATGGTACATATTAAGGCCGAGATGACTGCAGAGCTTTGTTTCGTAGTACGGAGTAGTATAGAACAGAAATCCTTTGGTTGCAAAGAGGCCCGAAAAAAGAAAGCTTTCGAGTTTGAAAGATGCCCGACTTCCCTTCTCCATGACTGGGTTACGGAGCGCAGTCAGGGGCAGGATCATCACGGTGCATAATACGCAGCCACTGTTCCACCAAGAGGTGGCGGGCTAGGAAGGGGTCCTCTTATGCAGGTCTGCCCGAAAGGATATACCGCCAAGGAACTTATACTATCCCTTCAAACTTGAGGATGGGAGAAGACTGGCATGAAGCCTTGGGCGTTGGACAAAAGTTGCTCATCACTACGCTAGAAGCACTGACAAAACAAGGCAGGAGTATTCTCCAAAGTCACATGCAACTTCACATCAATGCGTAATAGGGAACTCAAACTTGGGCGGAAGAGTGACCTTCAATGGCTTGGTATTGGCCGCAGTACAGCTATCTGCCGGGTAGTCAAAGCCGACAATTCTAAAATCAGCCCTAGACTCCGTAATTTTTTTCATGCTCAATCCCATTTGCCCGACCCAAATAACCGTTTCGTCCGGAGAAGACATCACGAAAGTGCGCGAAGCGTCATCGTTGCTAGACGAAAACACAGACACGCGGCAGACTCACTCACAACCCTCTTGAGATGGAGAAGCTTAGTGGCCAGCGAGGGCGTTGGCGCGGCGGCGGTCACGCTCCTCGGCGATGGTGAGCTTGACACCCTTGCCCTTGGGCAGGGAGATCCAGGGCTTCTCAGAGCCGATGACGAAAACGTTGGACTCACGGGTGGCGAAGCTGTTGTCAATAGCGTCCTTGATGTGGACGATGTTGAAACCTCCGTCGTGGCGCTCACGGTGAGTGATGACACCAACACGACCCATGTTACGACCACCAGTGACCATGGCAATGGAGCCAGTGTCGAACTTGATGAAGTCCTGGATCTTGCCAGTCTTGAGGTCAATCTTGACAGTGTCGTTGACCTTGATCAAGGGGTCAGGGTAGCGGATGCTGTGAGAAAACCAAGTTAGCATGGGGGAGTCTAGTTGAGATACATACAGCCGTCGGATTTTGTGAAGCTCCAATCTTTTCTTCGTAATCGGGCCAATATCCTTCTTTTAACGTTGATCCCTTGACTTCCTCGACGGAGCGAGTGAAGCTGCCTTTCGACAAACGGGGAAAGCAACAAGAGGTTTTTTGGGTGATGACGAATCGACCAAAGCTTGATCCAACGGCTGAATGATGTCTGACAGAATGTGGTGTAAACTCACGTTCTCGCATCGTGCGTGACCAAGAATGGGATTCCACCGCGGCCGAGCTGGACGCGCTTGACCTTGCCGAGCTTGTACTCAGCCTCCTCAGCCTGAATACGGTGGACGGTGAAGCGGCCCTTGGTGTCGTAGATCAGACGGAAGTTCTCGCCAGTCTTCTCGATGGTGATGACGTCCATGAAGCCGGCGGGGTAGGTGATGTCGGTGCGGACCTTGCCGTCGACCTTGATCAGGCGCTGCATGGTGATGGCCCGGGTCTCGCGGTAGTTGAGCGCATACTTGAGACGGTTGCGCAGGAAGACGATAAGGGGCAGGCAGTCGCGGAGCTTGTGAGGACCGGCCGAGGGGCGGGGAGCGTAGGTTCCCGACAGCTTGTCGAGAAGCCAGTGGGAGGGCGCGCTAAGGCGCTTCTGGTGCTTCTTGCTGTAAGGACATTGTCAGAACATCGTACGTCGAAGTTGGTGATGCTATTTTTCTTTTGTTCGCCGACTGAATATTTTACGAATAGATGCTTCGTCGGTGTCCTTCCGCAAGGGAAGCCACGTTCGAAGCAATCAATTCGATTCAACTTCACAAAGAATAATAGATGCGATTAACTTACAGTCCCTTGCCCATCTTGTCTGACTGCCGGTTAGTCTATGGGGGTATCTGGTCGGTGGGTGTGAGGTCAAAGTGGAAGATACTCAAAAACACTTCCGGGCCGTGGAGTACAGGGTCGTCAATCCAAATTTTCTGTGAGGCTAGGTTTTTCGAACCCTACGCCGTGGGATGTAGGGCGGGGCTTAGATAATCCGTTGCGAGTAGTTCGATGCTAAGCGAGGTGGTCCGTGTGTCTCCCAGACTCTCAGTCTTTCTCTTTCACCGGCCGAGTGGGGCTCCCGGTGGTTCACTGACGGTACGGAACGGAAGGGGCCCCACCAATGACATCTTTGCTTTCTCAAATTGTCGTGAATAGCCCGAAAGGAACCTGTTAGAACAGATTTGACAGTATAATTCAATAAGATGATATGAGCTCCTACCGCTGCATTCTGATACAACTATCTAGCGACCGATGCTTTCTAGCTCAACATGCAGTGTTCTCGACACTCTATACCGACAGCCAGCTGGAAACCTGAAGCCATAAGCTCCTTTGGCTTCTTCGTTCTTTTGCAGAAACGACTGTAGTCCTTCTATCATTTTCCATTCCCTTTTCCCATCCTTGACCGTGAGGTATCTGATCATGCGCCATATCTCCATATCGCTATCGCGGAAAGTTCAGTTTGGTATAAGTATCCCTTCAGAAATGACTGTAGAGGCAGCGAAGCGCCTCGTCCCCCAATGTACTCCACGCACGCAAATAATAAGCAACACTTTTGCTATCTAAATCAAAGAGACTCGGAGCCTCGGGTCCTCAACTCTGGTGGATACAAGAGGTATAAGTGCCTCGTCAAATAGTGTTATGTCCAGTTATCGAAGAAGCCTTTAAAGCTACAGGACTGCCAAGTTTCATTTGAAACTCTCCAGACCACACCCAGCCCCTAAAACAATTCAAGGCGACATAGGTTCGGGTACCATATCAGGCGCATATTGCCGCACAGGCAAGCTAGCGACCTGCGAATCATCAAGCAGAAGACGAGAGATGTCCATCTCGCCTGCGCTACCCATGAAGGCGGCTGTTGTTGTCTCGCCAAAGTCGAAAGCCTGCTGAACAGCTGGCGACTCTCCGTTGTCAAGCATAGAAAGGGGCCATCTGGGCAAGTCCTCTTTGGAATTGGTTTTGTTCAGCGCCGCCTCAATAGGAGGTGGTCTGTTAGGCTGCAGAGTGTTGGTGATGCTCATACTGACACTCGGTTCAAGAGTGTCGCCGCCTCTACCGTCCTTGATCTGGAAAAGCCCCTTTTCAATCTTTTGATACACACTCGGGTACTTGTTTCGAACTCTGTCCCTAAGGTCGGTAGGCTGCCGCCCCGACAAGCTAAAGCGTGGGTCTCTTTGAATCTTCGTCCACGCAGGTCCATATTTATCCAGACCTTCGAGTATTTGCTTATCATCTTGGTCGGTGAATGGTCGTCGTTCTCGTCTGTGAGATTTCTTGAAAGGACCATGGATACCCAGCTCGGCCAAGTCCTCCAGTTTCTTCCGGTGGGCCCGGCTTTTTTTGGTCTTGGGGAAACCGTCCGTGTCATTCTGTGCCACTTGTAACTGCTCAGCAAATGCAGGTTCTTCTTGGGCGATGAGAATATTTTCGGAATGGAGGCCAGTCCTAACTTTCGCCTTGGGCTCAGTTGGTGTTGTCGGTGGAGCGGAAATTGAGGCGAGCTTGGTGTCACTGCTTTTCCGTCGGAGCTCGTTCGGGCAGCAGGTTCGAAATCGATCCTTCAAGTCGCCCGCTGTGCGGTCGTTGAAGTTGAAATCAGGGTCCGCCAGGATGTCAGTCCACTTGCCTACGCCATGTCGATTGACACCGAGAAGCAAGTGATTCGTTTCTGCCTCCGACCATTTCCGTCTCGGCTTCATAGCTTTCTTCCTGGTCTTGCCACCGCCCGCCCTTGAATTCTTGCTTGGTGGCGGCTCGGTCTCTACAGGCTTCTCGGCCTCCTTTTCTTCGGCAACAGGAGGGTATTCTCGCAGCGGCTTGAGCTGGTTATTCTCGGGTTCGTTGAAATCGTTAGAGGCAATCGGGGGGAACAGGGCGGCGTCGGGCGGAGGCTCATGAAGGCCATTGATGATAGGCGGCATAGCCGGCATAACTTGAGGTTGGATTGGCTTCTGCTTCTTTACCGGCTGCGGTAGTTGCACAAAGTCATCCTTGGTTGTAATGGTTCTATGTCTCTTCTTGTTGGTCGTATCTTCTTTGCTGTCAGGTACCTCGTCAAGGATCTTGCTGAGGGAAAAGGAGGAGTCCGTCGCGTCTCGCTCCTCGGCCACGAGCAGTCTTAATTGCATGTATGCGGTATTGCTGACTGGCCCTCTATCGGCGATGCCATCGTCTTCCTTTCTCAGTTCTCTTGCGGCGAAGCTTTCGTCAACCCCTCTCGAAGTAGCGAGCGGGGCTCCATGGCTGGTGGCAAGAGGGGCCTTGTTCTTGTCTTCGCGATGGCTCGTGTCGGGCTCGAGGGGTAAGGGTCGCTCGGAGGGGCGAGAATATGCCAGGCGTAGCGGTGGCAGATCAGCGCGAGCGAGCTGTGGCGTGGTCGAATCGTTCAGCAAGTGGATGAGGCGTGGCTCGATGAAGGCCATCGTGGGCGCAAGGAGTCGGAGTGGGCATTTGGTTGGAAATTGAGGTAGGAAATAACACAGACGAAGAGAAGGAGAGCGCGAAAGAAAGAGAGGAAACAGGAGGTAAAAGCACTGGGAGAGATGGCGATGGTGAAGTACGGGAGAGAATGGCGAAGATGGTCGCGAGAGCAAACCTAGAGTGCATTTGCACGCTTGACTGGACAAGCCGAACGGCACGGAGTACTGAAAAATGGCCTGCGGCAGGCATTCCAGGCCCAGGTCTGGGAAGACTCACTTTGCTGCAGCAGGGCAGCTCCTAGAAGACGTGGATTCGTCCGCGGTGAAGTTTCCACGTGAAGATTCTCCACTAGAACGACGGCGAAGCACACTAGCGTAGTTGACTTGGCGGTATCCGCTGATACCGCGCGTGGGAGCGTTGAGTGTGCCAAGTAACTTTAATACAAAGCGCCTACCATTGGTTAGCCACAGGCACCGGTCTGCCCTGCATACCACTACTGGCTTAGGCGGCTGGCCTCACACTCCACGAAACAGATACCGCAGATAAGATATCGGGCTCTACTTTTGGGTGCGGACCATCGCACCTTTGCTTGAGAACCCTCTGCATTGAGTGAGGCGTCAATGGAAAGAGAGGCCTTTTTAAACACAACTTTTGGCCGCATTAAACTTCCTAATTAACATACATGTAGGGTAAAGTAGCGTCAGGGGTGAACAGGAGGCAGGTTTCCAAGTTCAAGGCAAGGGACTTTTTGGCTGGTTGGTGGTGGCGTTCAGTGACTGAATGGCTTACCGTACACGCATCATGTCTGGGTTTTTACTGGATCTTCCTTCCCTGGCCCGATTCAGGGTACCCAATCTCAACCCACCTCAGGGCAAGGTTTGGTACCTCACACAACAAACTTTAGGGTCCTTTGAGGAGACGACGGGAGGTACCCGACGGCATTGACATAACACTCGTACCCGTTGTTTCCGTCTCCAACTCCACTTCTCCCTCTGACGTCCGCACACATTGCCCATCCAACGCCATCATTCCTCCAGCCCAACATTCACAGCAACCCCTCAGTTAAATGGATAAGCTGACAGTATACTTATCCAATCGCTAACCTCCGTCCACGCCCTCCAATCCGGCTCCCCTGCCCTTACTTTCCTGCTCTTACTTTACGCAGTAAGGGGGCTTTTGATCCTGTTCTGCAGGCTCAACCAAAATAGAAGTTTGTATCTTGTTGATATTGGAACACATCCAAGAGTCTTGCCAAGGTTCCAACAGCCTCACCAAAGTTCCATTCAAGCCGCCGCCGTCACCATGGCCTCCGCACTTCCAACCTTTCCACGATTGGTTTTTACCGTCTTTGAGCCTATTTCGCTGTGCGTACCAGTCCTCTCGGCGGTTTGGGGTGCCACCAGCTGATATGGATGTCTCAAGTGCCGCCGGCTTCCTTGGGGCTGTTATCAACCCAGATTGGTTCATATCCGAGCAGATTTCCCCGGCCACAGTGACTAGTCTACCAGCTCCGCCGTCCGATAATGATCGCCTTGTTGCTCTCCAATTAGGCAACATATACCTCCTCATGGCCATGGTTGGGCTAGCCGTACTTGGCTCTACCAGCGAGGTCAAGGTGGTACGAAACTATCTAGTTGCTTTATGGATTGCCGACCTCGGTCACATATACGTATGTTATCATGTCCTAGGCCTCGATCGCTTTCTCGACCTAGGAAGCTGGAATTCTATGACTTGGGGAAATGTGGGAGTAACGGTGAGTGAAGTCCAGCCGGCGCTATTAAAGACCATGTGCTCACGATTGAAGGCATTCCTCTGCCTGACCCGATCAGCCTACCTTTTGGGGGCTTTCGGGCCAGATGCACATAGGACGTCAACAAAGAAACTTCAGTAGGTTTCTGGAACTGCTTGAGGATTTGATGATTCTCGTTATCTTTGTAAGAGGATAAGAGGAGGTTTCAACCTCCGCTGTGGGCTGGAATGACCAGCCAATGATTCATCACAGAGATGACATGGCTCGTCGATCTGGCTGATCCTGCGCCTCGTTGTCTGATCCTGATACCTCCTCGTGATACCCTTTACTCGGGATCCGGAGGTCACCACCGACGGCCAGGAAATTTGAAGGGTAACAAGCACTGTAACATTTGCAACACGATATGTAGCGGTTTCTTCCGCCAATTAGTCTCACAGCGTCCTGTCTTCTCATGTGACTGTACTATATGCAACTACCCAGAATAAGTGGGCTCCACCAAGGAGGAACGGAATACACTACGGTCAATCAATCAATGAAATGTGTGGTGGTGGCCAATCTGTGGTCCGTGAAGCACTACCAGACCCTGTAAGACCCTGAAAGAAGCATCCAGACTTATCGATTAAGTCGTCAATTGAGTATGGGAACTCAGGCCCATCTAATCTTTGAAGTGCATTGCACCCAAGAAATAAAGTATTACACCGGATAGCACGCCCAATGATATTGCACCTAATTTCAGGCAGGTTCAAAGGTTGACAGTCGACGCTCCAACCTTAAGCGCGATCTGTGTGGTGGATACCTCAGGCATGTATGGGTTTGACTTCCCATCCCTTTAAAGTGGGAAGGCGCCTTACTCGCTAGGGTTAGGGTTAAGCGAATGAGAGAGAGTTTGTTTACACTTCTCATCAACCCCACCCCTTTGAGTAGCGCGTTCTCGTCACGATACCCTTAACGGCTAAATTTGTTGAAAATGGTACAGACGAGGGCGAATCGTGGTGCAGCGGACCAGCTGGACGACACAGCTCGGGCAGCACGCTTGACGCGTCGTCGTGCTGGCGCCGATAACCACACGGAACGCGCCCTGCCAACAGCGAGGTCCACAAAAGCAAAAGAGAAGCAAGTCGCCGTCTCTTCAAGCAACCCCAACGATAGCGAGGATGAGGTTGATGACGAGGAGCTGGAAGAAGAAATTGTGGCCAGGGGGGAACCCGTTGCTCGTTTTGGCGCACCAAGAGGGGTGACGGTTAGGAGCATCAGTCCGCCGCCTCAAAGCGAAAGCGGTGGGTCACTCGCGCTCTTTTTGCATCTCACAATGAGGCAGAACTTGAGGCATAAACTCGGGCAGCGCTGACGATGTGACAGACATTGGATCACAGAGCGTGACAGGCACTCAGAGATACGGCAACCCTCACCTTGCGCAGTATACCCGCTTTTCGAGTGAGTTCTCCCTTGAAACTTACCCTGACGACATCATGCTCATGTTCTCTCAGGCATCCCCAGGCCAGCCGACTCATCAGCACCCAGAGGTCAAGAAAGTACGTTACACGCGTTTGTAAGGCGTACAAGAAAGCTGATCGGGAATCGCAGGTCAAACACAGGAACCTCTATTGGAGGAGATAGTGGACGACAAACCGGAAGAAGACAGAAGGCAAGGCACCGATCTCGACGATGCGGTAGAAATTAGGGAGGCGGCACTCGACTCCCTGTGGAGCACAACGGAGTCCCTTGCGAACCTCCTCTTCAACCCGAAAACAGAATCTCGTGCCTGGAAGTCTCTACTTACAATCCATCGCCGCAACTGGTTTAACATCCAGACACTCTTCACCGACGAGGACCAGGAGCTGCTCATAGATCTGCCGAAAGTCTTGGGGGCCCTCGATGAGCAGTTTCATTCAAAAGGAAGAGTCATCATCGCTGCGGCCAACGCAACGGCTCTGCAAAATGAACTCTTAAAGATTGCCCAGCGCAGCGGCGACCCGCTCGCCCTCTGCAAACGAATCCTGCAGCGCCTGGACCAGGACTTCCCTGCACCGTTCCTTCTCAATTTACCTGAGAATGCATTTGAAGTCATCACCAACGAGCTGATCGAGCTAGGCCTTGACATCCGCACGCAAAGACTTGCTATGGAGCTGAGAGATCTGCCTAATAACGACGACATGTTGCCAGTTAACCATGCGGCCCCTTTGTTCTGCGCTGTAGAAGACTTCGTGGACCCGAAGGAGGCGCTCCGCCATGGGCCCTATGAGGCTGTCTGCGGCGGTGTAGAATCTTCCCTTGTCGCGCAGCGGGCGAAGGATATTCTGCGGCTCATTGAGAACAAGACCTCCGTTGAGGCGGCTACGGCTCTGGACGAAGAATATCCGTTTGTAGCCAACGACGGGGGCGGGCTTTCCATAAAGCTGTCGCAGTGGACCCGCGGTATAATCAGAGGTGCACATGAGTTCTTCATGGAAGTGTCGGCAGAGCCCTCAAGGGCTTCGTCGCCTGCCGAATCCCTTGCATCGTCTGCGCGACGGGAATTTGTTCGTAAAGACGTGTATGCTTTCCCTTTCCTGTTTCAGCGACATCGACACTAACGCGCCACAGGCACGACAATCTCATGTCACGGTCAACAGTCCACCACCTTGCAATGCTCAGCCGACAACAGCGGCCCTCTCGGCTGACACATTCACCCTCGCTCACTCCAACACCACAGCGTACAACTATCGTTAGAGAAGAAGATGGCGAGGCTGCTCTTCAAGCGTCACCGACGCCTGCTACTTCCACCGCCGTTGTCGCTGCGGACGATAATGTTTACGATCCTGGAGACCAAGACGACGACGATGACGATGTCGACGACAACGACATTCTCAAGATCATCCGCAACAAATCACGCCCGCCGCAATCATCAGCCACCGCGCCGCAATCTTCCGCCCCGCGCCCTCAGCAACGCTCGGGCTTCACACCGGTAAACGGCGTCAAACGCGTCCACGACTCCCAGTCCCAGGTATCTGACGACTTTGAGCTCGACGCACGTGAGCCAGACCCCCAACGCAGAGAACAGCTCGACCGCGACAGGCAAAACATGCCACCACCCTCACAACGGCCTCAAAAACGCCAGCGTCTGCCCTCCCGCCCCTCGCCCCCACCCGCTTCCTCTTCCAGAGCGCCCCCGCCGTCCTCCTCCTCCTCAAGGAGAGAAGAAAACGGCACATCTCCATCGCCCTCACCCTCTTCCTCCCTGATAAGCGGTGATTTCTCCTTCTCCCAGATCCGCGAACAGAACCGTCTGCCCCCGTCCCGGCCCCCCGGCACGCAGCAACGCACGCCTTGGTCTGACGCCGACACGCGCCGCCTTATACGTCTCATCGATGCCCACGACTGCAGCTGGTCCAAGATCGCCAAGCGTCAAGACCCGAACAACCGCATCGGCGAACCCGGCCCGGAGGATAAGGAAGACTGCGTATTCGACGTGCCGCGCGATCAGCAGGCTATCCGCGACAAGGCGCGCAACGTAAAGGTCGATCTGTTGAAGTGAGTACCCGCTCCCCCCCCCCCTTCTTTGGAATCTGTTTGATTTGTTCTACACATCCCCCCGTTTGTACCAAGCATTGCTGACGCCGGCCGTATAGAGCGGATCTCTGTTTGTACCCAGGCTTTAACAATATCGCGCTCGGTAAGAAGGAACGCAGCGCCCTCATCGCCCGCGGCAAGAACCCTGATCGGAGGGAAGAGGACGTCGACATTGAGGGTGTGCCTATTAACACCAGGTACATACCCGAGGATGGAGAGAGCTACCCGTAGCGGAGGGGGGGAGGTTGGAGATGGGGCGGGGTGGGATGGTACGATATAAGCCGACGAACTGGAAACGGCTTCAGCATTAGGCCAAGACGATATAATTTTGGCAGTCTACACTGTGAGGAAATTTGGTTTAGGTACTTCAGCATTGGGGCGTTCACGGATATGACAACTTGGGGATCGCGAAAGTAGATTATCTCACATATGCCAAGGATATCATTTCACACACACACACACACACACACACACACACACAAACATGCATACAAACACAATGAAGCCCGATCAAATGTGAAAAGAAATCCGGTCCTTATCAAAACTGTCCTACAAATACCGACCGGCTTCTCCAGGGTAATTGCCGCGATCGGTTTCTTCCTATCTGTATATTGCCGGCCCAGTTGTCGCAGACGTTTGCTCCATCTCTCTCCACCACAAAAAAAAACACTCCTGACTGATTACAACCACTACCTAACTCAGCCCACTCCCCCTTTTTCCCCATAAATTTTGAAAGTCATGAAAAAGAAGTGAAGTCAAAAAGAAGTTGGGTAGGAACTAGACATAACTGCCGCATATTTTAGATAGCGGCGTAAGGTATTTTCGGTGCCAAAAGTACAGTAAAACCGGATTTCATTCGTCTATGTGATGTAGCGATAAAATCCCAGAGAGACGACCATTCGCAGCCAACAAGGCCAAAAGACTGTCAAAAGGCACAATTGTACGTTGACTTGGCTGAACCGAAGGACAAAGATGAAAGAGTCGGGGGATATCGAAGGGGTTTCGTCATGCGAGTCCGGGCTGAATGTGCCGTCGTCTCGCCAAATTTTGAGGGCCATCCGACCAGAGAAGTTCGTAAGAGTATGTGACAGAGGAAAGACAGGACAAAGGGGGTATGCTGCGCGGTGCTCTCAAATTTCAACGACAAAAGTGTAGAAAATATGTAGTCCCGGCTACGGGGAGCCGGGATGCTGATGAAAGAAAGGGTATCGGAAGTCGAAGTGCCGTCGCGGGTAAGTTACATCTTTCGGTAATGAAGAAGTCTATCGCCTGCGGACACTCGGGCTGTTCTTGAGTCGCGATGTGCGCCAGCCCTCGTACCACTGCTCCCTGCTGGCTTCGCGGAGCTCAGCTCTCCATTCGCTGAACACGGCATCCTTGAGCCTGGTGAAGTCGCAGTGGTCTTCGTTATAGGGGTCCGCAAAGCCCCAGGGGAACTGACGTCCCATGACTTCAGGTTCGTACAGATCAGGGCTGATGACAGAGAGTGGAAGGAAGGGAATCTCCTCCTCCTTCGCCTCTTGCTTTACCTTGTGCTGGCGGATGGATGACGAAGAGTGTCGTTTTGATGAAGGCGACGACGGCACGCCATCACCACCCTGGATGGGTAAATCGTTGTCACCTTGAGCGCTATGTTCGCCATCGGATTCTACTTCCTCTTCTTCGTCAATTCTGCTCGTGTCGTCCTCGTCAAGGCCAAGAGGCTCAAGCGGGTCCATCCCTGCCTTCTTGATGGTATCCCAAACCGTCTTCTTGAGAACATTCATGTGCTTGGTCGTAATGGTATCGGCCTTGGAGATGACAGGAATAACGGTGGTTTTGCCCTGGAGAGTTCGAAGCACCTGGAGGTCCAGGTCCTCGTCCAAGCCCCCCGAAATGCGCGCCGGCGGTGCATACTTGCCGTTGTGGCCATTCGACACGCCCTTGCCAGATGCCAGGTTGCGGTCGAGGCGAGCCGGGTCGAGGACCATGAAAACGGCGTGAATGTGGGTATCTTGTACACCAGGCGATCGGATGACCTTCATTTCCTCGGTAAAGGTTTCTTCGAATTTGCTCTCCAGGAAGGCCGACATCTCCCTAAGCTGAAGATCAACGACATTCTTCTCCAGACCTTCCGAATCCCAAATTGTAAGGCCGACTCGCTCGCCATCGATCTCGCTCTCCAGGTAGTGAGGGATGAAGTTGCCCGAAGGAGGAGCCCTGGGGTTCGCGTCATCCTCGGGCTCGGCCTTGCGGGCTCTTTTCTTGGCTGGCAAAGCCAGGGCTGTCTTGAGGAACTCGAGGAATGATGTCTTGCCAGAGCCACGGGTGCCAATGACGAGAATGCTGAAAAGCCAAAGTTAGACATGTGCGTCTCGCAGATCCAGGGAGGGTTGTCTCGGATGGAGGCTTACTTAAATGGGGTGGGATCCTTTCTTCTCCGAACCCTTCTAGGGCTGTTGACAGTGCTAACGGCGCTGCTAGCGTAGCTGTACCGGCCACGGTGCGTCATGCTCTCGGTACGAGCATAAGGGTCCCAGGCGGGGATATTCGCGGGCACAGGGGGGACGGGAGGAATGTAACCCCCAGCACTAAAGCCTTGATCCATAGAGGGACGGGTAGAGTAGGCAGTACCGATGGTATGGTCAGGTACGGCGGAGACCTCGTCAGCACGGAGGTCGGAAGGGATGGAGTTGGAAAGCTGGTCATTGGCTTTGTAGAATTCGGGAAGCTTGGGCGGGTTTTTGGAGATGGCAGCTTGACGCTGACGCTCGAGTTCGCGTTCTTGCTGCTCCCTGAGGGCTTGGGCCTTCTTACCGCCCTTCCCCAGGTCGCCGGACTTGGAACGTCTGAGAAGCATACCGAAACTAGAGCGACGGGGCTGGCTCATTTGTATATGGGGTGCTCAGCATAAAATAATGTTTCAGGGTCGAAAGCCGCAAACAGAGTGAGAAGCTGGCACATGCGACCACACAAACAGCTGCACTTTTTATCGCGCTCGATTGCTTGTAAGCTTTCGCACAGCGTAGAAGCGGTAAATAATGGCCGCTTATACAAATAGACGTCTCGTAAAGACGAAACTCGAGCCGCGTGGTTCAAAAGCTAACAATGGCGACGGGCGTGATTCACCGGGTCGATTTCAATGGCGCCTGTATTCTGGATCGGGTTTCGTTGCCAGTTGTTGGGCGAAAGGGGAAATCGAAAGCCCCTAGAAAAAGAGTGAAAAGGGGGGGAAGTTGATCGCAGAGAATGAGACGATGTGCGGAAAAAAAGAGTGCCTGGAGGAAATCAAGTCAGCTACCAAAGGCAAGCTAGGTGGGACGCAATCGCAGACAGCCGAAAGGGCTTCGTCAACCAAACTGCAGACTTGGGCGCGCGACGGGAGCAACGAGCGAGTCGAGTCGAGCGATTTCCTGGCTGGGCAGCGCCTGCGAAACGGCGACAGGGAAATGGCAGCCAACGGGGGGTTTTGGAAGCAAGACAAAGCCAATGCCAAATGGCCAGGTCAGACCAGAGACAAAAGCAAGAGCCAATGTCCCGGGCCGGCTCCGAAGAGGAATTCTGGGGACGTGGGCGTTCCCCAGCGACCCTGGCCTTCCTTGGTTGGCTGGGGATTCGCGGCAGTCGTCGAAGCAGGAGAGATCTGCCACCTGCAGAGGGGTCGCGAGGAGGGGCGAACGAGCAGCGAATAGGGGCAGGAGGCGGGCAATGGTGATGCGACAGGCGGAACTGCCCAAGCTTATATGTATGTACTTACCAAACAACAGGAGTGACGAGCCGAATGGCTGAAGCTAAGATGGGATTTGGAGGCGTAGGCGGGATTGTTGCTATTCTCGTGGGATGGCGGCAGTGGAAGAAGCAAGCACTGGCTCCAGCGACGTGCGGGTTGGTTGAACGAAGTGGTGTGTGGGCAGCAAAGACCACGAGCCAAACGTCGGACGGATGGTCGAGCGGAACGAGAGTTTCCAGTCGCGCCGCGATGGTAGAGATCGGACGAAGAGGCGCGGCCGCGTGGAGAGAATCGGAGTCCGTGTCCCGCGCTCAAGTCAAAAGACAAGATACAGACAGGAAGGATGGCGAGGGTGTGCCAAAGGGGTTTCTAATCTAGATGTCGGGGAGCGAGAGGAGGGGGATGAGGCGTAATTAAGAGCTGGGAAAATGGTCCCGGCGGGACGAGACGAGAGGCAGCTGAAGCGGATCGGCAGGGCCACAGTCAGGCAGCTAGCAGGAGGCTAAAAAAGTAAAGGGAAGAAGCAGGGGGGGATATGTAAATTAAGAAGAGCGAGAGTAGTTGCTGTAGTGCAAAGAGCTTGGGAGTGGGTTGATCTGAACGAAGACGGATAGCCAATGCAAATGCGCAAACAGCTGTAGAGGAGACTGCGACGAATGTAAATTATGGGAGTGGAGGAGTAGGTAAATGGATGGGGACGGAACAGGATGAGGTCAGTGCATGCGCTGCGAAATGCGGTGCAGGCCAATGAGACGAGAGCGTTGCTCTGCGCCAGGCAAAGGGGTGCAGCAGCGGCCTTTTTTTTTTTTTTTTTTTACAAACTTAGCAGTAGATGATACTCTCAGGGTTGTGTGTGCGGTTGTGCATTTGGTCATTTGAAGGGCTTCAAGAGGAAAAGGAGTCAGAAGGACACAGAACAAGGGCAGTTGGGAAGACAGCAGTACACCGGTCAGTGTGGAGGAGGCATGGCGCGGCAAGGCAAAGCAGGGGGTTAGCGAAACGAATCAAGGCAGAGATGGCACCAAACGACACAAGATGCGACACAGCAGACAGGATTAGAGAGAAAGAGAGAGAGGAGGAGAAAGAGGAGACGCAGAGAGACGCAGAGAGCCACAGAGTGAGTGAGTGAGAGTGAGAGAGAGCATGACCCCGGCACCCCCATGCTGGATCCAATGTCCCCGTCCAATTTGAGAATGGAGAGGGGCTGCACCGATTAACAGTAAGGAAGGGTTAAGGGTGCGCACTGAAGCAGTAACCAGTCCGATCATCTCATTGGCTGAGAGTTAGTAGTGTGTACCCTGCAGCCAGAAATTCCCCCGACGCAGGTACAGACGGGGCCACGCTAAACTGGGTTGGGGTCCAGGTACCCTCTTCGTCACCTCCTTGCTTTCCTTCAAGCTCCTCTCACTCCGCATGGCCTGTAACGCAGCGCCGACTCTAACAGCTCGCTAACCCAGGACCCCCGGAGGACACTAATCGCAACTAATAACGCCATTGGGGCCGCCCGAAGCAGCCCAAGAACTACAGAGGTCTCGGCCACCACGCGGCGATGGGTCCTTTTTTTTTTCTTTTTTTTTGCCGTTTGAACTCTGGAGTCTGGTTGCTTATCTCTCATCCCCGGAAGAGCATGAACCAAAGAGCGGCTGCTATATGTCGGCCAAAATGTTATGTCATACGGTTAAGGGGATGCACAGGTTTATGGCTCAGCAGATGAGAGAGGCCTACATTTTCACCGAATGCTTCCCGGCCACATAGCGGTGTATTATAGAAAAAATATGTCAAATCTAGGAAAGGCAACGGTGATGGCAATATCTGTAGCCCGTAAATCGCGTTCATGCAAGAGATCCGCTAATAACACTAGCCTCGATACAAGAATCGCCTTTCCGCCTGGGACAGGGCAGGGAAGAACGGAAAAGGACAAGCAGGATATGGAGTAGGAGTCAAGCACATGGAACATCGTCATCCATGCGAAGAACAGCTTAATTTTTTTTTCCCCCTTCGTAATAATCAAACGTTCCATCTCGACGTCATCTTAGAGTGCCCAAGTTCTCTTTCAAAGTATTCTAACTGGAATATTAAAATCAATATGAATGGATAAGTAAATACTTATAAATCCGGCGAAGCGAATTGGCGGTACCTTCCCCCTTCCTGGTAGGGTTCGGACGTGTTCAGTTGTGTAACAGCAGTCGAGGCAGGCACGCTCACAAAAAAGGGTCCTTCCTGAAAGCAACCATGAGACAACTCACTTTCCCAAGCACCTCACTCTCTGCCCATTCCACACCTAAAGGCAGGTACACCATGTACTTACGCTTACCACTCAGAAGGGTTCCCAGTAAGCGTCCACCCCTTGAGATTGCATCCAGTTGCCTAGCCGCATCTCCCGTCCCTTCTCCTCATCCAATCATCTGCCGCCAACTCTGTGAGAGACCATCTCTCCTATTCTCATGCTCCCGCGCGCCTGTCACGCGTGGCATTCATGATACTTTTTGTTCTTTTCTTTTCTTTTTTCCCATCTGTTTGAAGCATCACCTGATGATTGACTTATCGACAGACTTCCAATTGATCGAATGGTTGGCCAGAAACGGCCTTGGCATTCGCGAATACTATCTGCCCGGCCACGGCAGTCAACCTTACCGAGCCACCCAGAAACATGCACAACGGTTTTGTAGTCGTGTGTCTCCATTACCTCATCTTGCCAAAATACTCGGTACCCTGGCAGCCTGGCGAAAAAAAGAAAAAGAAAGGGGAGATATTGTGGGTGGCAGGTTAAATTCCAGGCTGCAGAACCCGTGGCACGGATAGAATTGTCTTTGCTCCCGCAAGCGTCACTTCGGTCCATCCTACCCACCCAAGAATGATCGTCGTCATGCCACCAACAAACCGGTTACTTCAAACCCCCCTCTTTGAGCGCCCGTCCATGTTCATTTTACGACGATTGCAACCTCCAACTGCCGCTAGCAACTTTCAACGTCCCGTCTCTTACCGACCACTTGGCGAACCAAACATCACATACTCATAACGGCCGACGATGTTCATTCAAACGTGTCAACTTTGAAATGTCAACCGCCCCCAAGTAAAAAATAATCTCGCTCCTTACCCACCTCGACTCCCGCTTCCTTAAACCCATGAACTGTGGAACCCTCCGACGCCGAAATGGGCGCTGTTTCACATTAACCACGCGGTCCTTCATGCCATCTCATCCCAGGAAATTCCTCTTAAATTGTCCGAGATCGATCGACACGCTCCAATTTACCCTTTGGTACGGATACCGTGCAACAAGCCGCGCACAACTTCAGCTTGTGGAAGGCCAAAATTCCAGGGGCCCGGGAATTTCCTTGTGTGCCTTCTTCTCTCAATTTCCGACTCGCATTTTAGCTTCTCTGCCGTTTGCCCTCAACGACTAGTACGCCGCACCCGGGAGCATGCGTGTGTGTGTGGGTGAAACATGAACGTGATGGTTTGTCTTGCACAAGTGGCGCAGAGACAAACGCTCGCAGTAAGAAAACTGAAAAAGACGGTCCAACGGCCAGAAGAAGCCCACCCGCGCGTAGTTTAATCCGCAGAGCCGGATACACTCAAACACACTGTGTACTCATCCGCTGATCCTCCCTTTCACCGCCAGCCTCCCCAAGCTTAACTCGACTTCATGCAATGCAAGACATTTTGTCCAGATGCGAGTGTCATGTACGATGCAGTTAGGCGCGCGATGCCCCCTCCCTTCATTAACCTTCTCCTCACACAGTACCGCCTAGTCTCGAACAAACCCAAGGTTTCTAAACCAAACCGCTCGTTAACCCTGCACTGCAATCCCATCTGCCCTCCTCTTGAACATGTCACCCAGGAATATCCCATGAGCCGCAATGTCGCGGAAACACCCTTCCGGCCCCCAGGCGTTCAGCGCCCAGACACCCTGCTCGCCTCGCTCGGCCGGCGGCGCCGCCTATCCCTTGCCTTGCCTTGCCTTACCTCTTCCTCCCACAGTCCGGCCCGTTGGCTCCTGCCTCTCCCGCTCGCCTCTCCTTCGAGTCATACATCGTCGCTGGTGCCAGCGCGCCGGTTTTGGACGGTGTGCTGTCTATTGTCCCCGACAAGCTTAGTATCAATGTCAGGTTTGCTCAGCGCTGTATAGCACGTCCTGTCCACGTCTTTGTTGTGTCTCCCTTGTTACTTGGCATGGTTTCTCACTTACACGCGCATAAGGCCAGACGTGGCATGTTGAAGCGAAACAACGTACGTAATTGCCGAACAAGACTGCTCAGTTCGAGATGCTCAATGTTCTTTTTGTTGCCTTTGATCATGTGTTACGACTGTCTGGCAGGGCTTGTGCATGCCAAACCATCTCTTGCTTGGATGGGATGTATAATGCTTTGCTTGTCACTTGAATCAAGTCCATTTCCTGCGTCGTTTGGTTTGGTTTCGTTTGGTGCGAGTAGCATTGCTGCCAGAGAGGATGTGCGGAATTACTGAGAGGGTTTGTGAAGACGTGAAACTTGAAGTTTCGGCGACGAGCAGGAGGGAACTTTAAGAAGAGTACGTACGCCTCGTGAACCGCTGTATCTGCCTATGCTTTACGAGAGCCAACGATGTCTCTTTGGTTTAGTCGGACCAAGTAAGTACTGAAGGCCACCAAAGCGGCCTTTATTCCCTCGACTCTGCACCCTTACAAAAGACCTTTCAAACAACGTTGATCAGTTCAGCTTTGTCGTATGCAGTTTGCATTCATCGGCCCCAGCCACCGTTACGGAGGGGTACTATGGGTGGTACGGGAGAGTGGGCGTCCGAGGTCACATCACAAGCATTGTTTCTACCACTGCTCGGCACTCTTGCCCTTTGACGTTTGCAGCTTACTACGTGGCCCGCCGTCGCGGTACATAATCCTTAGCTTGGTCCCCGTTGCGGGACGGTAATAATCCCAGATATGAAGTCCTCTTGCAGCTGTGCCGCTGTCCCATTTCAATTCCCATGAAATTATACCCTTGTCCAGCCATAATCTCGTCTTCTTTAGTAATACACATCCGGCATAACCAGTCGTCTTTTCTGTAAAAGGTTATGCACAATCTTTCGTTGCAGTGGTTTCTTGCATACGGCCTTTAACTGGGGGAAACCCCAAAACTGAAGCGTATATTCTTCAGATCTTCCTTATGAGATACTTGGTCAAGGACAGGAAGTAGCCTGTTATTTCTTTAATCGTCGCTAGGCTGAGAGTTGATGTAGCTTTGGAATAAGCCTGCGTGTAAAGACCCGATGCAGCCAAAGAATTCTGTCAGGCCGCTGTCCCAGGTAGTAACAAGCACAAATGCCTTTGGTGTTTCACAAGGGTTCTGCGTCGACGTTTGACTTGTCTTTAGCGGGCGGTAGAAAGGCCACGCCAACCATGTCTGAAATCCAGAAGCCGGCTTAAGCAAATATCTGCCCCCGGCGCTTGTTGGACGTTATTTAGCAGATCCTTCTTTAAAGCAGACAATCTGAAGAAGATGATTAGTATACAAATCCTCTTCACGGGCATAGCCTGACAGAAATTAACTTGCAGAAAATGCAATACCGCAACTACCACTTGGCTACTGGGATGGAGGCTCTATTGTATCCAGGCAGGGGATCTTTTTACAGGCCACTTGAAATATATGAGTATCTCTAGTCGTGTGTAATACCCTCTCGCAACCACGAGTTAGTACACAGAGGTTGAGTTGGTTTCATCACCCGGGGGGGGGGGGGGGGGGGGGGGAGGAAGCAAATATTTCTGTTCCAAACTGCCAACGCGTCAACAATAACTACACAAGCACCAAAGCCGAAATCTAGCCCGAGCCATCCTCTATTTCCAACCTTCTGGGGTAGTTCAGAATGACATTCGCTGTAAACAACCCTCGTTGTCCAAAGCTAAACCATCTCTCCCAGTCAACAACTCCAAGAGTTCAGTCATGATAAAACGAAGCCTTACCATATACATTCTCACATGCCATTCAACTAGACTTGCTGCTTCAACCTTGGCTGCTCAAAGTTACCCCTGGCTGCCACGCAACCCTTAGACCTCACCCATAGCCACTTCGGCCTCTGCCTTCCCATCTAGCGTCATACTAAACACTCTGGAGATATGTATCGAACACGGCCTCAGAACATCTCGTACCACCTCTGCAATCTTTTCGCCGTGAAGCTGACCCCGTTGAGGCCCATCACAGCTGCCGTGCCTCGTTGACTGGTTCCAGCTTGGCCACTCCTAAAGTAACACCAGACTCTGTCTTACAATTTGTACCTATCTAGATAAACCCTGCTATCCGTTGCTAATCGTCAACCCACTTTTCCGACAACCGCTTAGTTTCTGAGGCACGACCGTGGATGTAGTCAAATGGTCCACGACCCATTACCGTGACAGGTCTATAGCTATCTACGCATCAAGTCAAGAAACAACATACGCTTACACTGCCACCCATACTCCTTGCGTTTCTCATGTTTTCTGGACGACATTGATGGTCACTCAGCCGTATCTGTGCAAACGTAGTAGTTGATAAAAAAAAAAAAAAACAACTCACCAAGTTACACGACGGTTTCATCAAGACATCACCTGCCCGTATTCGCACACTGCAACCCCCTTCATAAGAAACTTGATAGTAAAAACAGAAGAGTGGTATCTTTCACATCGGAGCCTCGCGGTCCAACACCGCGCCGTCTCGCCAGAATCTATGGCCTACTGCCCTTCTATGCTCAAACACGTGCCCGGATTCTATAATGCAGCCCCCGTCTAGCCCTCAAACACCTCATGCTGCAACTCTACTCCGAAATCCTGCGCAATGTCCTTCATCCTCTTCTCCATCTCGTCCTCCATGCCCCCTCCGAACCCCAACCACTGCCGGATCTTGAAAAAGTAAAACGCGACATCCGTCAGCGCCAGCACGCCCTTGAAAAGCAGATGCCGCCACGCGTTGCCCGCCCTCTTGGCCCACGGCAGGTTCGGGTCCTCGTACAGGCTCCTGCTCGCCCACTCCCCCATCATCTTGACGCGGTTGACGGGGCTGCCGAGGTACTGGTTGTTGCCCTGCACGATCCTCATGTTGCGCCCGATGAAGATGAGCTCCTTGGGCCACTTGTCCTCGTCCGCGAGCACCTCGCGGATGCCCTGCTTCATGCGCTGCTGCATCTCGTAGTGCCGCTCCGCCGGCGTCTTGCCCTCGAGCTCCTTCATGATGGAATTCCGCGTGCGCTCGTCGCCGCCCTCGTACGGCCTCAACAGCGTCGCGCTGGCGAACAGGTCCGCCGCCTTGATGCCCCACAGGTTCGTCACCTTCTCGATCGTCTTGTTGTCGAACGTCATGAGCGCCTTCCAGAACTGCCCGTACTGGTGCCGGAACTCGGGCGACATGTAGACGTACAGCCCGTGGTCGATCAGCACCAGCTCCGCGCGCCCGTTGGGCAGCCGCCGGATAAAGATGTTGCCCGGGTGAGGGTCGCAGTGCACGACTCCCCACTTGAAGATCTGCGCGGAGAAGAGGTCGACCATGGTCGTCATGACTTCCTTGCTCGAGAGTCCGAGTCCGCCCCGGCCGCGGCGGCCCTTCCACTCGCTTCGCTCAGGCTTGAGACGCTCCGCGTACGGCCGCTCGCGCAGTTCCTTCCGTACGGCGGCCATGTCAGGCGGGTCCAGCTGCGCGCCCTTGACGCCGGGTGACCCGTTACCGTAGCCGCCGTACCAGCGCCCGTTGATGCCCTGCTTGTCCCAGAGCCGGATCCCCTCGATCCACTCCGCCGTCATGACGCGCTTGGTCGACAGCTCCGAGTACACCTTGGGAACGTACACGCGGCCCCGCAGGCCCTTCTCGCTCTCGATCAGCCCGCGCATGGTCTCGGAGTTCTTAGCCTCGTTGAGGAAATCCGTCTCGAGCTCCAGCCGCTCAGTGATGAAGGGGACGAGGCTGTACAGGGGCAGGTCGAACCACTTGCTGTAGATCCACGACACGGTCTTGAACGCCCACAGGTCCCAGGAGATTTGCTTCGCAATCTCCCTCTTCTGAATCTTGATGGCCACTTCACGGCCGTCGGGGAGCCGCGCCCAGTGCACCTGCGCGACGCTGGCGCTGGCACGCGCCCGGCGCTCCATTATGCCCTTGCCCTCTTCCCCGCGGAAGCTGACACCAAACACCTCCTCGACCGACCGCCCGCCAAAGTCCTCGCGGATCACCGCCTCGACGTCCTTCCAGTCGTCTTGCGGCGCGTCATCGAACATCCTCGAGAACATCTTTTGGAACTCCGGCGGCAGCACGGCGCTTTGCATGGCGATGGCCTGGCCGATCTTCAGGTATAAACCGCCATTGTGTCGGAGTAAGTCGAAGAGCCGCTCAGCGTTCCGGTGGTGCAGGTCCTGCACTGAGCCGCCGGTCCACGGCACCGGGCGGAAGTTCAGTTTGTAGTCGAGCGCGACAAGGAGGCCGGTTCCGAAAGTGCGGAGGGAGCGGCCCAGTCCGGAGGCGTAGACCTGAGAGTCGAAGACGTAAACGGTGCCGATGAGGGACGAGAGGATGATTAGGCGCCGCAGCCATTTGCGGCCTCGAGGGTATGTGCGCGCACGTTTCGGGGCGCCGAGAGAGGCGGGGGACGGGGGACGGAGAGGCTGATATTGGCTTCCTGTGTGTATTTGCCTTGATGTGCGGATCGTCTTTATCGTCGATGTCGTCGTTGTCGTCGTCTTCGGGAAGCGGGTGCAGGGATCAAGCAAGCTGCGCGCCGTCGAAGATAAGCATCTTGTCGAAGCTGGCCTTGCGGCGAGGCCAGCTATGCTTTGACGCAACATAACAGGCGACTGTGATTGAGGCGAAAGAGGAGATGAAAGTTTGCAACTTCCATGCCCTTTGCTTGGTCGTGTGAGGAAAGAACAAGAGAGGGCAAAAGGAAAAAAAACAAGCTTGGTGGTCGTTCGCAGGCGACCGGAATCTATGACAGGCCGCCACTACAAAGAAAGGTCGGTCAATCAATGACGATAGAAGGACCACACACAGCCTGTGGAATTTCCCGTCGGCGAATCAGGCGCTGATTAAGCCCGTTCTATCCGCTTATCCCCGGAAACCCCGTGTAGTCGGGGCCGATTGGCCAGTGCCCACCTCGGGCCAGGCCGTCCTGAATTTCATTTGGCAGTCCGAGTTATTATCTTGAAAAGCAGACATTGAAAACGATTGCCTACTGCTTGGAGGCCATATTTTGACATACGGGAACCTTGTTGGGCTTCATAGGCGTACATAGGCTTATGTCACGAGATAGCTTGCCGTGTTAGGCAGTGCTTAGAGTAGCGAAGCACCTGACTGGTTCAGGCTGATAGCGTAACCTGTAGTACGTAATGTCAACAAGCAGGTCACGTTGGCTTAGACCTGTGCTTCTTTGACAATCTCGCGATTCATAGAACGTATGAGATTTGGTCTTGCAATCAGTCTAACCACCGTTCCTGCATACGTCTGATTGCAATCCCGCGCCCTAAGACAATATGTCCGACATGGCCCGGAACTAAGACGTGACGGTCCGAGCTCGCCAGTCCCCGGGAGATCTGCTGGCAAATGATTGTAAAAGCTTATGACTTCGTAGCAGCAAATAAATATCTTGATTGAACTTAGTCATAAAAAGGAACACCATGGACGACTCGGGTGCCCTCGATAGCCGTTTCTTCTGTTTCGACTCCTATCGGTCTAGCCGTCACCAAGCTTTATAAGCCCTGGGCAATCGAGCGTACTGGTCGATTTTGCCCCTTAGTATCCACCTGTTCCAACCTGATGCGCACCGCATTGCAGTGGTGGTCGTGCATACAGGGCTGGCGACAGGGCACGCCAGACATCTGACAGCAGGGTTGGTAAGACATCGTCTGAAGTGCCAGTTCTGAAGCATTGGGGCTCCACGGCGTCTTGTACCTGAGGGTAAATGAAACAAAACTGAGGTGGTGGCCCGATTTCCTGAAAGCTTGACACTGCAGTGGTTGTGGCTGCAAAAGAACGCCAACCACCAGTGTGCCCTGACGAAGGCTGCCCTATAGAGACGCAGTTAAGTGGCGGCCGTTCCCGTTCACGGCTCACTAGTGTGTAGGTAGCCCTTCCTTCGTCTGATGAGTCTGATGCACTCAGAGGAGGGTGCTTGCTTGTTGTATGTTGCCCTGCCCTCAGAGGCAGTACACCATCAATGACATCGGCGACCTCTGGGAAAAAAAAGGCTTCCCCGTGCAACCATGACAAAAGTCTGTCAATACATGTGACGTATTTTTTCAGGGTTTCGAGAGTTTGGCTACTTCGAGGGGCAACGACTGGCGGACAGCGAACTTGGTGTCCTTGCACACCGTCTGGATCTGCAAAGTTCACGTGGCTCAGGTGACGAAAGGTAATCATCATCAAACTTCCATCGAGACCGAAGGTACTTCCATTATTAGCAAGTCGATCCTCAGTGCGGAAGCTTAATGGGCAAGTTAAACGCCGTCTGGCAAGTCTGCTTGGAACTGGGAGTCAGTTCGTTGGACGCGGCCGGCTGCCCAGCAATTGGTGTAGCATCTCAGTTACTGCACTCTTTGTCGCCGTTTCAGCAGACCGAGAGACCAAGACACGTCTCGGCTAGACTTCGAACAAAAGTCTACCTCGTTTTGTCAAGATGGTTTAATCAAATCTCCGAGTAAAACATCGTCAAGGACTTGCCGCTTGGCAACGCCTTTGATTTTGGTGAAGCTGTGGCTCTTGGCAATGAGATAGCTCACTTGGCTCGTTTTGTCCAGTCTCATGGGGTGAGGACGGACCAGGCGTCAACCAGGAGACGAGCGAAAAGAGAGGCATTGGCCTAAGTACTCCGTACAGTCACGCAGGTTGACAACGCCCTCCACAGAATTTGTGTTTGAAAATCGACCCTGTACTTTGGCTGCTGATATGCGCTGCGCTTTTTCTCTCGCAGAATGTGTGCACCAGAACGGCACGTCGATCATCTTTACGGCAAGCATTGGTGCCGTGTAGCCAGCCATTGGATTGAGAATATCGGGTCGGGTCAAGGGGCCAGGCTCCGGAATGAACAAGGACTTTTAAATAAGCCGTGGGTTTGATGTCGACCCGCTAGCCATTTCGACAAACTTTGAGGGTTCGTCATAATACTCTCGCCCCGATCACAATACATCATACTGGTCTACATGCCGGGCGGCAGGGGCTACGGCGTTCGGCAACAAATTGAAGCTGCTCGTCAACTTGCCTGCGCTGCTTGAGCATGAAAGCTTGTGGGAGACGCAGAGCAAACAACCTGGTGGTCGCCTCAGAATCTGAGACAGCGAAGCGCCCAGCGTCAGAAAGCCGGCTTGTGCTGCATTGTAGTCAGCTGGAAGCAGGCAAGAGGCTGCTCCCTCAGATTTGCACATCAGGACAACTAGACATGGTCACAACCATAACCACTGGGAACACATAGCAGAGCCGTCAATGGCCAGGCGAGACTCCTTGCAAAAACGGGAGAGGCCCTAGGCGTCCGCCCGTCCGTCTTCCCGTCTGGTAGTCTGGTACCGCTGAAGGCGACCCAAAATCAACCCTAGGTGTCTGACGAGTTTCGTGCTTCTGGTGTCCTCCTTCATCCTGTTGCCTTTGTAGAGCACGGCCGAAGCTTGGACAACCAGAAATAGTCCAGGGTAATGATGTTAGCGTGCAACAATGCACTAACACCAATGGAGCCTGGACTTCTTTGTCAGCGGAGCCGTCCAAGTTTCGACACAATGAATTGTGGTCGCCACCACTGTTGTCGTAGGCTCTTTCTCATGCCCTTGACGTGGCCAGGCCTTGTAGCTGCTGATACCGACAAGTGGATGACACTGGGGATGAAGCTAAACGGATGCACCCTGACGCGACGGCCCAATGTCTCTCATCACCTCCATCAAACATCTGTAACCCGCATATCCTGCGCCTCATTGACGAAGAACGTCAGAGAAGCAATGCGATAGAAACAGCATGCGATGGCGGGGGAGAAGGCCGAAAAACGAGCATAACAACCGCAGCCATTGGAGTACCAGAAAGCCAGAGAGCGTGATTGTATCTGCTACGCAGCTGCCCCACGGTTCTCAAGTCGCAACAATAAATGCCTGGGACTTACGGATACCATTTACTATGTATCAATCGCCGAGTGGGTGTTAGTTATTGCGGTGGAGTTATGGCCGACAACGGCGCCGCGAAGACCCCTGTGAATCTGGTCGTCGCGAGGGTTTCTGTTGCCCCGGTCCACCATGGGGTGTTAATACCCAATGTTATGCCTTTTGTGTCAAGCCATCGACTGCCTCACCTGGCATCGAATCAAGGCGCAGAAGCAGGCCGCATTCGATCATGGCAGCCCTGGGCTCTGGCACGGTGAGTAGCGACGAGACGTGCCCCCCATCTGTAATTCGAGGAATAGGAGTTACTGCATGCTGAACTGAAGCGACTCAGGACGTGATTGGTGGAGTGTTACAAGGATCCTTGGGCGCGAGGAAGGGTTCGTGGAGGAGGGATGAGTGAGATGGGGGCTGTCGTCTGCAGGCGCATCCATCAAGCATGCCACTCCTCATCTTAAGCTTTACTGGATCCAGACCAACAGGTTCGCGGGCCTTGGATCAGCACCTGCTAAATCGAGACAAAGTGGAATCCAGGTGTGTGGGCATATGATTATGTGCCAACAAGAGAGTTTTGATTTTCGAAGGATTAGCAAAATGTTAGAAGTCTAGGTAAATTAGCTGGCGATGCAAATCCAGCTTGTCATCCAGTGCCGGACCCAAAGATAAGAAGGACCCGCTATGAGAAGCACGCGATTGCGGATAAGCGAATGCACATTAGTGCGATGGTGGATTCGGAAGAGCAGAAGGTGCCTGACTAGACGAGGTTTCATTGAGCCTTGTTTTTTTTACTCTCTCCTTCTTCTGTTGGTGTGTTGGGAATGTATATTGGGTCATTATCTGGGAGATTACAGATGACATGGTTGACATTGGATTGTCGGTGTGTATCTTCACAATGCTTGTACTACTCTGTATTGCTGCTGCTGCTACCGCCGTTGTGATGCCGTGCCAACGGACCCGATTCCGACTTGGCCAACGGTTTGCGTGGCCTTGATGCATCTGTACGGTTTTGCATCCTGTCCGCTCATGGCATGCATTTGTATGTCAGTTATGTTTCCTGTAGTATGTAGTAATGCATTTCGGGCAATGCTGCGGGTAGAATATGGATGAATGACGGGAAAATTGCGGCCTCTCTTGCTGGGACAGGCAGGGGTGGTCGACAATGTACAGACGTATGGCAGCCTGGTATCATTGGCCAGGAGTGAGCGAAAGAGGGAAGACACGCTTTGCTGTCTGTCGGGCTTGCAGCGAGTTCTGGGGTCAACAATGGCCGGAAAAGAGACCCGGAAGAACAAGGGCATTGTTAAGCCGAGCGCGGAAGAGGCATCTTTTTGGGGAAAGCCATGCATGCGCGGCTGATGTCTTGGTGGTCGTCTTGGGCACAGAAAAGGGAAAAAATAAGGTGAGGAGAGCAAGAAAGAGGCCGCTAACAGTAGGTTAAAAGTAGTCCGCGGGTACGTACCACTGGATCATCTACCGGTACCACTGTCCTTCACCTCGAAAATCCAATGGATCGGCTTCTCGTTTCTACCAGCAGATGAACATGCTGCAAGTCGGCGACAGGGAAGAAAAATCCATAGTAAAACAAAAGAAGAAGAGCGACATGTTTGACTGAATTAAGACTGGCCCAGACAAGTCACCTTCATGGTGGTGTACCTACCTGGTTAGTCGGCAGTGGGCACAACATCCACTGTCGCACCACAGCTGGGAGAAATATCAATCTCATCCTCCCCGACCTGTCCTTGTACTGTTGCAACACCAATACTCATCCATCCACACATACTCACATACATCCTTACTAGTACACTAGATACATTCCATTCTGCCTACCTACTCCGTACAGTTGCAGTGAAATATGTGTGGGTCTGTGCCTGCACGCCCGATGCTAGTGGGCTGTGCACTCCATCTCTAACCAAACCAGAGCGGTACGTACCCTTTTGCATCATCATCGTCCAGTACTGCGACAGGATAGTCCAGACTGGACCCTGTGAGGTGTTGGACTTTATACTATGTCAGAGGTACGTACTCTGTAATGCCTACTGGGTAGGTAGGTAGGCACTCATTCATTCCCCGGTCAAAATCAAGTCCAGTCAGCAGTCCTCGATGCTTGGACGAGCTGCCTGTGCTTTTTTGTGTGTTCGTTGGAAGCAGTCACACACACCCCTAAAGGGGAACCCAAAGCCTGCTTCCCGCCCGTGTGTCTTTTCTGTCTCCTCCGGAAGGCCCCCCCAGCCACGACTAGCAACGCAACGCTTCCCGCTGAGAATGCCCACTTTCACCACTCTCACTCCCTCCCCAAGGCCTGTATACACCCCCCTGTTCCCCTTGGCTCCCCTGCCTGGTCATCCAAAACTGCCCACTCACACTGCACCCACGCCGCCGGCCCACTCTGCTTCCTGTCCCCTCCACACTAGTTTGTCCACTCTCCCACTCGCCCGCCCACATCGTTTTCTCCCCCAGATCGTGCGTTACCTCCATTTCCCTTCTCCTTCTTCCTCTTTCCCCAGGTCGAACAGGAAGAGGCAATCAGTCCCTATTCACTTCCCGAGCCCCTCGAAGTGGAATGCACTCGTCATTCAACAGCCATCGACAGACCCGACACCTCGTTTTTTATCATTCCGTTCGATTCGATTCTGTTTTAGCCGCCTATCCGCAACCACCGGCTACTTGCGACATTGTTTCAGGAACGCGACGACGCCAGTCAGGACATTCCATTGATTGATTGAGAGAGAGAGAGAGAGAGAGAGAGAGAGAGACTGAGAGCTTCGGTAACAAAGAGACGGGAACAGAGCAAACAGGAAGGACACTAAGCCGCTCCGGAAACGAATTCGATTCCATTAACCGTTCACGCGTCCGTCTATACTTTCGTCACTCTCGTTCATGTCGCGACCTCCTACAGCATCCTTTACCTGTATTACTGACTGGGCCATGTCGCACGACCTTTCAATCTTATACTAAGCCTACCGAACCTCATCAACAACGCCCAGCACATCGACGGGCACACTTACACCCTTTCGCCGCGTCTTGACGACGCCGGCCTTCCGTTTAGTCTTTTGGAAGCAGGTTTCTTCGACCACAAACCGCCATCATGTTGCGGCCGGCGACCCCGATGTCGCTGCTGCTCCTGGCAGCCTTCGCCCTCCTGCTGCTCTCTACTCTGTCAACCCCTATTATCAAGGCCATCCCGCTGGGCAGCTTTCAGGGCGTCACTTTTGGAGTTTTTGGGGTTTGCAAGGCAGACAAGTCCTGCACTGGCATCGAGATTGGATATGACACTTGTGAGTCTGCCACCACTGTCTTGATTAGCCTCCTGTCACTATTTTATATTGGCGTCGTCACTAACATTACTTATAGCTGGGCTATTCCAAAAATCCGGCGCCTTTGACCTACCGGACTCGGCCCGAAACACCCTTTCCGCTATTCTAATCGTGCATCCCATCGCCGCTCTCACGACCCTGGTCATGTTCATATTGGCCGCTGTTGCTCACCTTCACTCGCCTTCTCACTCGGCCAGGTACCTCCTTGTCGTCTTCATCTTCTCTTTCGTCGACTTCCTCATCTGCCTTCTGGCCTTCCTCGTCGATGTCCTCCTCTTCGTCCCTCACATGGCTTGGGGCTCTTACATCGTCCTCGCTGCAACAATTTTAGTTGGAATGAGTGCCTTAGTCTCTTGTGCAATGCGCCGCATGCTGGTTAGCAGGAAGGCGCGAAAGAAGAGGATTGCCGAGAACGCGGAAATGAGTGGCGAGAACTACTACAACCGTGAAGCCCAAACCAAGACCGATCCCTCTGTTGTCTCGCAACCAAGCGTTCCTGTTGTCAGCGGTGGAAATGGCATCGAGAAAATGCCTACTTTCGCCTCTTTCGAGTCTCAGAAGAAGGACGACCAAGTCAGCGACGAGCGTATTCCACTGACCGCGCGGAGCCCCACGAATGCCTCCCAGGGCCCTATGACTGCGACGGACCCGAGTGTGGGAGAAATGGGTGTCTATAACAACGCACCCCCTTCGAGATCCGGCTCTGCTCCTCCTATCAACCGCGACCCGTACGGAAACCCTATGCCTGGACCTGATGGTTATGGTCCTAGGAGAGGACCTTCGCAAGAACGTATGAGAGGCAGGGGTGGAATGCCCCCTGGAGCACCTAGGGGACGTGGAGGACCTTACGGCGGTAGGGGTGGATATAACAACGGTTATGGTGGTCCGTCCCCAGGAAGAGGCGGCTACGGTCCTCCAGGTCGCGGAGGATACGGCCCCCCACCTGGTGGCAGAGGCGGATACGGACCTCCTCCTCGTGGCGGTTACGGCCCAGCTGGTATGAGAGGTGGAAGACCACCTCCGCCAGGCTACCAGAATGGCCCTCCGGGACCTTATGATCGTAGACCAAGCCCGGCAAACGGCTACGGCCCCCCTGCCGCCGGTCCCTATGGACGCCGCGGCTCGGACTCGACACCAGGTTACTCCAGTACAAACAACAGCACAAACCCGTCTCTCCCAAGCATCCCACAGCAAGGGTACGAGGCCTATAACCCAGACAGGAACAGTCTGCCAAGGGCTGAATCCCCTCCGCCCCTCCCTGGTGACGTGCCACCTCCACCGGTGGGCCAAGCCGTCGAGATGGACGCGGCAACGGGAAGCCCTGCTCACCCGCCTCAAGGCTTCGGTCAGTTCAGAGACAGTGATGCTGATATTGCCGGCATGGTTGGACTGCAACAAAATAGCAACAGATCTAACCCGCAGAGACATGACACCTACATGAGCGAGGGCAGCAGGTACAGCACTGATGAGTATGTTTCTTTGAGTTTTCACAAATATGTTGGATGCTGACTTGGGACTGCTTAGACAATATGTTCCACCCCGCGCGGCCTGGAACCAGAACCAGGCCCCATCACGAGGAGCCTCTCCGCTCCAGCGCGTTGAGATGCCCGGACGAAGCTCGCCTGCGCGAGGCTCACCAGGCGACTACTATGAGGATGTTGATCCCCGCTTCGCGGAAGCAGCACCGCAAGGCCCAGCAGGGTCCAGAGCAGGCCCTCCACCTGCTCTTCAGGTATATCCACCCGCGCCCAATATGTATGAAGATGCTCATGACGGTCCCGGCGCACGTAGTCCTGGCGCGGAGTCTGATCACTCAAACTTCACATCCATATCCCAAAGAGGAGTAAATCCTAGGTGGAACCCCGCCCCCCCGATGCCTGGATACGGTCAGGGTCCGCCTCGGCGGCCGCCACAACAGCAACGGCAAGACATGCTGTTGAACAACAACCCCGACTTCGAACTACCTTCTAAACGCCTCGGCCCACCAAAACGAGCGGGTGGGAACGCCATGATTCCGGGCAGCGCATACCCGGCCGGATTCTAATTACACATTCTCCATTCACCCACCTCTTCTTCACTCGACCATAATCGGTTCTGTTCTCACATCAGTCGAGTCATCTCGCCACGTACATACACCGTTCAGGGGAATGCCTGGCATTTTTCTTTTCGTTACCTTCCTTCACCATCACGAGTCCTCATTTTGTCGAGTCTCAGCATAGGCTCATGATGTTCATGCATTCATGTTCCTCCAGCCGATACCCCCCCCCCCCCCCCCCCCCCCCCATTAACGCAATTCTGTTCACGCTTCGCCCAGTACATACACTCCGGACTCGTGTGTAACCTTACAACAAACGGGCAATTTCCCTTCTGAACTTGGCTTCTCTGCATCTTGAGCAAATGGATACATTGGAGTTCTTCTTCCTCAGCATACATTAGCAAATCTTTTTAACCCATTTTTGAGTTGTTTCTTTCACCAACACACAACAGACCTTTGGTCAGTTCTCTTTTTCTTTTTTTCTTTTTCTTTTCTTTCGGATGATCGGTCAGGGCAATGACCATTTGTCATCAGCCATTACTCGATGCCCTTGCAGTGTGGGCCTTTGAGCTACTCGATCCTGAGACGAAAGCATGTGGGACGCGATAGATTATTGTTTGTGCATGTGTAGGCTATTTGGTCGTTGTTGTCTCGACCATTTTTTCTTCTTTTCTCTTTGGAGAGTTATGGAGGAGTGATTGTGAGTGGCAGAGAGAGAGAGAGAGAGAAAAGAATGCAGCAGGGGTGGTTTCAGGATCGCTGACTTGGGCTGGATTCTAGGCCCAATGAGGGGCTTGTTTTCTAGCATGCGATGGATAAGGTCACGGATGAATAGGATACCTAGCTTTCTTCGGGGTATGAGAGAAAAGGCCTCGGTATGTCGATTGGCGCAAACGACGCGTGTGGATAGCGTAGCAACAATACAGACCAGGAGAGCGATGGCAGAACGCAAGAGATAAGAATTCATCCAAACCATTGTCCGTTGCGTGCCATCTTGCTGAGCTAACGTGTGTTGTTACCATGGGTGTGAAAGCCTTGATCCTACACTAACATAAGGGTAAGCCAGGACACGTGCTATATCCATCGTACGGGGTGGCGTCTGGCTTCCCCGCTACTTTGTGTGGAATTACTCTCACGCATGTGGCGATCTGTGGCGACGGCAGAATATTGTCTTTGGCCCTCTTCAGATAGGGGCTCACTTCGCATGGGGTAACGTTGCGGCCGTGAAGTCGTCGGTCGAGATTGAGCTTGAGAGCTTAGCGGCTTAGCGGCATACACAACGCGAGCGGGACATACGGCCCGAATTCGACTAGCTTTAGTGCCGCATCTTGTTTCCATGTTACGGCCGAAAGCACTTAGATAGACAGGCCTTATGGCAGCCGAGGAAGCCGAACTGGCGTTGGGATGTTCTGGGGAGTGGTGAAACACATAGGCATTCCGCGGGAATATATCGCTAAGGGGCTTTATGCTGCGAGGCTATCATGGATGCAACTGGCTTCCTCCTAGGGGCCTTTTTGGGGATTCCATGAGAGCTGGTGTGAGGTTGAAGGAGGGGCATACGTCAACGCGATTAGGGCACTTCGGTCCTGGACCCGAGCTCTTCGGGGAAGAGAGAATTTGGATGGCAGACGGAGAGATGAAACCTTGATGCCTTTAGACTGTAGTCGGGCATTTACATATCAGGAAGAGCTAGAGGGGTAGAACAAGAGTCCGTAAGCAAGGCAAGATCTAGGCATATGGCCGGTGCGGGTTGACTTTTGATTGGTTAGAAAGCCAATCAGCTCCGAGTGGTCTCGGACCAACGATGGGACGATTAGAAATAAGGTCTTTCGTATGGCTTGACGAACGAAACCGAGGCGTCCATGACTTATGTAGGTCAGTCAAGTCGTTGGTGCAGACTTGATCGTTGGTAGCTTGCAGGGAAAGAAAGGGATAGGTGTGCGTGTGTATCCTTGCATATTTGGATGTATGGCGTAGATGGTCAGGCAGCTAGGAGGGCGGTTGGTGTAAACTTCCCAAAACGATAGAGACAAACTAGCCGGAAGTCAACATGTCATATGGTTATAAAAGCGACGACTCTCTCCTGAAATTGTACCGGCATCGCCAAAACACATTCTCGTTGTTATTTTCTCGAGACTTAAGATCATATCTCATAGTTCCATCATAACGCATTATCTGTCATTTCATGATTAGACTCCAATATGTATGCTACCGGCATTTCACGATCTCCAGAGAAGTTGATGAGCAAGCTTGGTCTTGACTCTCAATCGCACTTTATCCTTTTCGTCTCACCCGTCAAGCCAAGCGACGTTGAAAAAATCTCGAACAGAACAAAGAACGAAGAAATGCAAAGATATCACCTCTGGGTATTTGACTCTCCGCCTTTGGTCCTTCCTAGACTTGAGGAACACCTATTAGACAGCCGTGGCTGCGTTGATATGGGACACACGAGGTGTTTCTCGAGGGGCGTCAAGGCTATTAAGTTCCTTTCCCAGAAATGAATCGGGGATGAAGACTGGACAAGTTGACAAGACCACGGTGCCCTGGCTGCTTCCTTGCTTCTGGTTCAGTGTTCCTCCTCAGCTCATGTTCTTGCACTTATTTCCCTTTTGGAGAAAGGGGTAGGCAGTTTCCTTACTAGGCTGCCTTGCTACTTCACCTTGCCTTCCTACACGGCACGTTCCACCCCGTCGTCCTTTCCACTTCGAGTAAACCTGCGCACTCCTACCGCACTCCTAATCGTTCTCAGCGACCGTCGCTCTTTTCTCTGAAGCTCAAAATTCATCTGACCATCTTTCTTCCTCTCAATTCTCATCCCCTTTCTACCCTTAACAATTCACTCATCAACACCTCCCTTTTCCTTGTTCTTTTCCTCTGCCAGCCAGACGAAAGAAACCATTCGACAGGCCGCCTTCCTTGATTCTTGCCCCAGTCTCAAAACCAGCTGTTTATCACCACACATAGCAATCCTTTTGATTGTATTCGTCCGAGCCATATCCTAGCTGGACCATAGGAATCGTCCTTTGTCAACGCATATTCATATCAGAGGCCCATAATTTGGTTGGATGAAGTTGAGCATGCGAATGCTCTGATTTTCAACATGGACAATCTATCGTCTTCCTTGTCCTTGACAGGCACGACCACTTATACACAGCAATCTGTCAGCACCTTCCATCAGGATGTTCCCAGACAAACGTACACTACAGCCGGTACCATCTACAATCCCAAGAATTCTCAGCCGCTCCAGCCTCCCGTCCGTCGTGGACGGACGCTCAAATGGCCGCCTCCAGGTGGTCCTGCCTCTGAACTTGCCCTCTTTCCAAAGTCGGTTCTCGCCAATTTGCCCATGAAGGCCCAGAGCATCTGCAATACCCCTACTAGTCCTCTTTTCAACCAAGTTCCCAGATACTCGCCTCTTCAGCAAAATTATGACCGCGCTGTTAGCCCAGTCACAGACCACAGCCGCCATTCTCTGAATGGTCAAGATATACGAAACGTATCTATCTCCCGCATGTCCTCCCTCAATATGAACGATGAGCCAGCCTCTCCAGTTGCGGCTACTATGACCACAGCTGTCATGGACAAACAAGTTGATGCCGAAATTAGCAGCGAGGAGGATGATGAGAGCTTCGGGGAGAACCCTCTCAAAGGCCTTACCGTCAAATCTCTTCACAACCTGGCTTCATATCCCAACCCGAACCAGAAAAGAGCTCAGAGGGCGCTTCTTCGTGCTCGGCCGGGTGCCACCCCTGCTCCCTCTACCGAAACCAACGGCAGCCGCACTGCAACTCCAGTCCTTTGTGGCATTCCTTTTCTGGGAGATGCATCTGGTATAGGACAAGATGGCTCCCATTCTCCCGGTATGTTCCGCTCTGCTAAAACCGACCCTGCGGATATCCTCAAGCTGCAGGCCGAATCCAAGGCTGCTAGAGATCTCTCGGGCATCTGGAGAGCTGGAACCAACGGAGTTGCTACGCCTCCCAGCCCCTTCACCATCTACAACACTCAAAGAAATAGCCAAGCTGGAGGATACAAGTCGACACTGGCGACTGGCCCTGGTGCCCCGTTGCCTTTGACTGCTGGCCCCCCTGGCCAGCGTCAATATAGGGCTTCTACATTTGAGACCACTTTGAAGGCTCTCCAGACCGGCCCCAAGGCTAATATATCTAGCGGGGAGCCTGTGGCTGCTGATAAAAGAGCTGGCTGTCCAATCGTGAACCAGAGTGTTCCTCAGGACCTGCCCAGGCTCTCCGGAACGGCAACTCCCGATCATTTGAACGCCAATCTGCCTATGCTTCTCTGCGATTCAACACCAGACGAAGACACTTGGACGAAGGCAGCCGATCTGAGAGCGACAACTCCTGCTTTATTTGAAACCTTACTTGATGCTGTGAAGCAAAGAACTGATGAGCAAACCCACCGAATTGCCACGGGCCTAGGTACAGCCATGGAAGGCAAGCAGGGCTATCCGTATGGCTCCTCCAACCCTGGCAACCTTGGTCGTTATAAAAATGATGTACAAGAAAGCCATATCCACCGCATCCGCACCGATCTGAAGCCTGGTACTTGGAAAATCGCCGACGAGGTGTTGGAGAGACGTAATGAGAGAATCAGTCGCCTGTTCTACGCAGGTACCGGGCAGCTCGGCAGATCTTTGGAATCCGTTACGAGAGACGCCGAGTTCCGTCAGTTCAAACGACAGGTGGGGGTGATTGGCGAGGGGCGACCCAAGCCCAAGCCAGAGAAGGTCGAGTATCCGCCCATCTCTGCCCAGATGGTCAACAATATGACGGACAAGGAGGTATCCGAACCATTTGTCACTATGACTCTCTCGGCGCTTTTGAACCACGTGGAGGCAGGCATCAATGGTGATGGATTTCACCAGTGGAAGGATCCAGAACTTTCCTTGGTTGAAGGGCCTGATAAGGGACGTCAGTCGGTGTTTGGAAATTGATTCGAGGTGACTGAGGAACTAAGCAATCTTGCAAAAGACCATCGCGGCTGTTGCACCTCAGCTTGGTTTCATAAGCGGGGTTGCTTGGATGGGGACTCAAGCTTGGAGCCTCTTTGTGTTGTCGGCTGAAACTAAGTCTTGATAATAGGATGGATGTCAGACAAAGCCCGCGGCGAAAGCATAGGTTAATGGGGCATAGGAAGTTGTTATTAGTGTCTTCTAGATTCTGGTGGTAACGCAAGACAGCACGGAAAGGCTGGCTCATCAGACTTTTCTACTTTATCCTCTCAAATAGGCAATCAAAAGTTTAGGTATTTTTCAGATTGACATGTTGCCAGTAATGATTCATATACGATTTTGGTTGCATGCTGGTGTGTGGAGTAACGACGCCGAGGTGATCATCAATTGCACCCCATACTGCTCATACGTTAGTCTGAAGCAAAAAGCCCGAGACTACAAGTGTCAAGTCTTGTCTGCCAAAGATTTTGCAGGTTGAGCCATTTTGGCTTGACAAAAATGAAAATATCATCTGTTCGCGATGACAGGGTGGCTGAACGAGGTGAGGTTAGAAGTTGAGATCTGTCTCCGAGTCACGTGAGTGTACCCACCAAAATTGGAAGTCGACACTGAGCGTCCAGGGTGGGACTGTCCTCGCATCCACGCCGCCGGTCAGTGTCAGGAGCCAAACTGTCCACTTAGCACCGACGCCGACCTCAAGCAGTCCGCGAAACACCCGTTGCCCAACATGAGCTACGGCAAGAAAGACGAAGATGCCGATTTGGGCTTGGTGAAGGTGGACAGGACCCAGGTTTTCCAAGAAGGTGAGTTCTTGTCCCGTTTCCCTTGTTGCTCCCTGCACTGCACCCCCCTCGACTACTGCGAGCAAGCTGGCTGAAACGGCGGAACAGCACGACTATTCAACAGCTCCCCTATCCAGCCGCGAAGATGTCGAATCCTCCTTACCAAGATCGCCCTCCTGCTCTACACGGGCGAGAAGTTCCCGACAAATGAAGCGACGACCCTCTTCTTCGGCATCTCGAAGCTCTTCCAGAACAAAGATGCCAGCTTGCGACAGATGGTTCACCTTGTCATCAAGGAGCTGGCTCACTCCGCCGAGGACATTATCATGGTCACTAGCACCATCATGAAGGATACTGGAGGCAGCACCGATATCATTTACCGACCCAATGCCATCCGGGCCTTGTGCCGTATTATCGATGTAGGCTGAGCTTCGAGCTCCAAGATACGACGGACACTGTGTGCTAACTAGCTCCTAGGCGACTACTGTCCAGTCCATTGAGCGAGTGATGAAGACGGCAATTGTCGACAAGAACCCCTCTGTATCGTCCGCCGCCCTTGTTTCGTCCTACCACCTTCTCCCGATCGCCAAGGATGTCGTCCGCCGCTGGCAGAGTGAGACTCAGGAGGCTGCGGCCTCCACCAAGTCCTCTGGCGGTTTCTCCCTGGGCTTCTCCTCCTCGAGCGGGCAATTGCCTGCGAACAACTCGACCATGCCCCAATACCACGCTATTGGTTTGCTATACTCGATGCGCATGCACGACCGCATGGCGCTGGTCAAGATGGTTCAGCAGTTCGGCGCGGCTGGCGCAGTCAAGAGCTCTGCCGCCATCGTCATGCTCGTCCGTCTGGCTGCCCAGCTCGCGGAGGAAGACCCGTCGCTCAGGAAGCCCATGATGCAGCTCCTGGATGGCTGGTTGCGCCACAAGAGTGAGATGGTCAACTTCGAGGCTGCCAAGGCCATCTGCGACATGCGGGATGTCACCGACGCCGAGGTGTCCCAGGCTGTCCACGTTCTCCAGCTCTTCCTCACCTCCCCTCGCGCCGTTACCAAGTTTGCCGCTCTCCGTATCCTCCACAACTTCGCGTCCTTCAAGCCCAACGCCGTCAACGTTTGCAACCCCGATATTGAGCTGTTGATCTCCAACAGCAACCGGTCGATCGCCACCTTTGCCATCACCACGCTCCTCAAGACCGGCAATGAGGCTAGCGTTGACCGCCTGATGAAGCAAATCACTGGCTTCATGTCTGAAATTACGGACGAGTTCAAGATCACCATTGTCGAGGCTATTCGCACCCTATGCCTGAAGTTCCCCAGCAAGCAGGCTGGTATGCTGGCTTTCCTCAGCGGCATCCTCCGTGACGAGGGTGGCTACGAGTTCAAGCGAGCTGTCGTCGAGAGCATGTTTGACTTGATTAAATTTGTGCCGGAGTCTAAGGAGGACGCATTGGCTCATCTCTGCGAGTTCATTGAGGACTGCGAGTTTACCAAGCTCGCCGTCAGAATTCTGCACCTGCTCGGTCTCGAAGGACCCAAGACTTCCCAGCCGACCAAGTACATTCGCTACATCTACAACCGAGTGGTTCTGGAGAACGCCATCGTCAGAGCTGCCGCTGTCACCGCTCTTGCCAAGTTCGGTGTTGGCCAGAAGGACCCCGAGGTCAAGCGCAGTGTCGAGGTGCTCCTCACCAGATGTTTGGACGATGTCGACGACGAGGTCAGAGATCGTGCCGCTCTCAACCTCAGGCTCATGCACGAGGATGACGAGATCTCTGAGAAGTTTGTTAAGAACGGCAAGTCTTGTCTCGATGCTCATATTGTTTGCTCCTACTGACCTCTTCACAGACAGCATGTTCTCGCTTCCGTACTTTGAGCACCAACTCGTTATGTACGTCACTTCAGAGGACAAGTCCGCGTTCGACACGCCTTTCGATATCTCCCAGATCCCCGTTGTTACCCGGGAGCAGGCCGACGCGGAGGACCGGACGAAGAAGCTCACGGCGACTGCCCCGTCGCTCAAGCCCCCCAAGGTCGGCCCTACGAAGACTGCTACCAGTGGTGCAGAGGCTGCCGCATCAGCTACTGCTGCTGCTCAGCGCTACGCCCAGGAGCTGATGCAGATCCCCGAGATGAAGGAGTTTGGCAGCGTGCTCAAGTCATCGCCTGTTGTCGAGCTCACCGAGTCGGAGATGGAGTACGTCGTCACCGTCGTCAAGCACATCTTCAAGGAGCACATCGTGTTCCAGTACGAAATCAAGAACACGCTGCAGGCAACCGTTCTGGAGAACGTGTCAGTGGTGGCGACGCCATCCGAGGAGGAGGAGCTCGAGGAGGTGTTCATCATCCAGGCCGAGAAGCTTCCCACGGACGAGCCCGGCAAGGTGTACGTGGCCTTCAAGAAGGTCGGCGGAGAGGGATCGATGCCTGTCAGCAGCTTCTCCAACGTTCTCAAGTTCACCAGCAAGGAGATCGACCCCACGACAAACGAGCCGGAGGAGACTGGCTACGACGACGAGTACGAGGTCGCCGAGTTCGACTTGGCCGGCAGCGACTACGTGGTGCCGACGTTCGCCAGCAACTTCAACCACATTTGGGAGCAGGTTGGCGCATCCGGAGAGGAGGCCGAAGAGACGCTGCAGCTCAGCAGCATGAAGAGCATAGCAGGTGAGTCAATAACGAATGAGTACAGCCGCGAACAGAGCTAACAAGACGTGCAGAGGCAACGGAGCAACTGGCAAAGGTCCTGTCCCTGCAACCTTTGGAGGGTACGGATGTGCCAGTCAACCAGACGACACATACGCTGAAGTTGCTCGGCAAGACTGTTGGTGGTGGAAGAGTAGTTGCCAATGTCCGGATGGCGTACTCGTCCAAGTCTGGCGTTACGACCAAGATCACGGTTCGCAGCGAGGAAGAGGGTGTGGCGGCGCTTGTTGTTGCATCTGTTGCTTAAATATACTTGTTCGGAGTTCGTGGGGTCGATACATGGTCGGATGTCCAAGCGAAGACGGACGACAGAGACAGGGACTTTATTATAGCCGACTCACGCAGCCGCCGCCATAGTAAAGAGGGGCGCTGGAGTCTGCGTACGCCGGCAGACGGTAGCGTGCGTGTAAAAGGATTGGCGGCTCGCGGTATATCTAGAATGAAGACACGAAAAAAGGCATCATGAGGGGCTTGCTTGCTGTATTTCGTGGCTCGGTGTTGTCTGTCAATCTATTGAGGCGTGATAGTATTAAAAAGGCATGTTGTACTCGCATTCTGAGATCGGCCATGACTCGTATAGCCCCCGATCTACGTCTCGATACTAGAAGAGCTACCAGATGCACAGCTTAGACGTCTGAACCCTGTCAGTCAGTGTCAAGCCTCAAAGGCATGGTCGATCGAGAAGCGGAAGATGGTTTAGCGGCGGCCAGCCTAACTGGCAATGGCTGGACACATAGACGCTGGGGCTTGACAATTGAGCACGAGCCAAATACTAGGCCGAATGGGGATTAGCATCCAGGGAAAAATATACATTAAACGACCAGGGGCTCGGGAAGCCAGGAAATGACGTTGTAGTTGATTTTCTTGAACCGTGCGTTATGTGCGCGCACGCGCGGGTGTGAGCTGTCCAGTTCAAGCAAGAAAATTTCCTTGATCTCCAACTGTGCGCCCACGCGACCACATGTCAACTGGGAATCCCATCTTTCAGTATTTCTGCTGTCTCGGAGCCATCTGACCTGCTTGTGACGTGACCACAAGTCGAGCTTCTCCGGATACTCGCGCACTCCCGCTTTTCGACTCCCTCCTCTGTGTTCCCCCCACACACATCTATTCTTTTTTAACTCGCAATCCTACCTAATCCACACCCCACCGCGTTCCCCCGGTTGAAGCTATCGTCACCGCTCGCGATAAAGACCCATTAGCGGAAGTTCTACGGTGTTCTTTTTCTGCCAGCCCACATCTTGCTTGGCCTGCATACGGTAACCGAAAAGCTTGACCTACCAACTTTGAACAACACCGCCCTCCGTGTGTTTTCTCCTCCTTCGACAAACATCACACAGAAACACGCTGCCCTTCAGCTTCACGCGGACGAAATACAGCTAAACATACAGCTACTACAACCGCCAAAATGGTTTACGTGCGCCAGGATCGCCTCCCGGCGCTCAAGGAGTACAAGTACTCTGGTGTCGACCACTCTCTCACGAGCAAGTACATTTTGAAGCCCTTTTACACAAATGTGGTGATCAAGATGTTCCCCATGAGCATGGCGCCGAACCTGATCACCCTCACGGGCTTCATGTTTGTCGTTGCAAACTTTTTGACGCTGCTGTGGTACAGCCCGACCCTCGACCAGGACTGCCCCAGCTGGGTCTACTACTCGTGGGCAGTCGGTCTGTTCCTGTACCAGACCTTTGACGCTGTGGATGGATCTCAGGCGTAAGTTTTTCTCTTCTGTTGTGTCCAAGCTGTATGGGAGAAAACCAAGCTAACCAGGTGGTGTCCGCAGCCGACGAACGCACCAGTCCGGTCCTCTAGGCGAGCTCTTCGACCACGGCGTCGATGCTCTCAACACCTCTCTCGAAGTTCTCATTTTCGCTGCCTCGCAGAACATGGGCCAGGGCTGGATGACCGTTTCCATCCTCTTTTCTTGTACGTCTCCGTTCCGTACTCTGTCTTCGCAATGCCAGCTAACAGCGTTTTTTCTTGCAGCCCTTCTTACCTTTTACGTTCAGACTTGGGACGAGTACCACACCAAGACTCTGACCCTCGGCATCGTCAACGGCCCCGTCGAGGGTGTTCTCATCCTTGTCGGCGTGTACGCCCTGACCGGCTACTTGGGTGGTGCTTCCTTCTGGCAGCAGTCAATGCTTCGCACGATCGGTGTCCCGGAGTCGCTCAACATCCCCTCCGCGCTGTATGAGCTCTCGTTCACACAGTGGTACATGGTTCAGGGCGCGCTTGTGCTGGTCTTTAACACGGTTGAGTCGGCGCGCAACGTCATCCGCGCCCGCCGTGCCCGCGGCGACCGTTCCCGTGGCGCCCTCCTGGGACTTCTCCCCTTCTTCGGCATCTGGGTGTTGGTCGTGGCCTACCTCTACCTGCATCCGGCCATCCTCAACGCCCACCTTGTACCCTTCGTCATGTTCGCGGGTGTGGTGAACGCCTACTCTGTCGGCCAGATGATCACCGCGCACTTGGTCAAGCTCGACTTCCCCTACTGGAACGTGCTCGGCCTGCCGCTCGCTTTCGGTGTGGGCGACGCCTTGGGCCCCGTGCTGCAACAGTACACCGGCTTCGGATGGCCCAGCGCTCTGGGTGACGACGTCTACCAAGTCGCCTTCATGTTCCTCATGCTCGGTATGGCGATCGGCGTGTACGGCAGCTTTGTTGTGGACGTTATCGTCACTATCTGCGACTACCTCGACATCTGGTGCCTGACCATCAAGCACCCGTACGTCGACGTCAAGGAGCACAACGGCGCAGCTGTTGCCAACGGCAAGAAGGCGCAGTAAACGACTCTGTCTATCGCATGCAAGCAGACTTGTATGTCACGTTGCGTATGGCGATATTACTCGAGCTGGGAAAGGAGGAAGCCTGGTATCCAAGAGGTCGGAAGTGTGAAGAGGTTCTATCATCATTTCCCTTCCAACTTCCACTTGGAATCTTCGGGGCTCATTGAGACGAGAAGGCAACAGCTTGAAGTCGACATCAGACATGCAATCGAAAGAAAATACCAGGAAAGCTCAAGCGCGGGAGAGAGTTTATAATCATCTCGGAGACGCAGGCCACGAAGGATGATGAACGACACGACGAAACTATGGATTGATTGGAAGGAAATGGAAGACGTGACATGACAGAAGGGGTTTGGCGGAGGAGAGACGCGGAAACCAAAAAAAGGTTACATATGGAAAAGGGGCGGAGGAAAAGATGTTTCGATTGTTCATGGGATGATGACATATTATGTTATTTTGGCCTGTTTTTTTTTTTTTTTTTTCTCTTTTTCTTTCTCTCACTTGTTCACCGTTTTATTCCGTCTTCCCGGCATAGCTAGCATTCTCATTCTCAGGAGTTTGGAGGAACAGGGACTAAACGGTGTGATGGATTTGATGATAATGTGGCGGCAGCGGCGGTGGTGTGACGACCACATGTCAAGGACGAAGTCGAGGACATGTGATTATTATCATTGTTATTCCTTTTTTTTTTTTTTCTTTCATGGTCATGATATTATTCCTCGTCTGCTACGGCACAGATTTCTGTTCTTTTACATTTAGGCAAAGTCGTGTTCCACACGTCAATATCCCCTGCTGCCCTTTGTTTGCAAATAGACGGAGATACCATTTATCCTTTCATCCTTCATGGCCCTTTGTTCGTCCCTCCGTATAGTTTTTTTTTTTTTTTTTTTTTTTTTTTTGGGTGGGGGGGGGGGGGGGGGGGGGAGGTTCTAGGACGATGCTACACAGAAACGTAGTGATCACTGTTGAGGTGAATTTTAGGATGGATGAAATGCTATTCCAACGGAACCGACACTTTTTTTTTTTTCGCCTTGCTTGCTTGCTTTCCAGATACGGCAACGGATTGACAGCGCATATACTCCGTAACCCAGCCCCCCCATCAGTGGGGGACAGGGCTCCCTCCTCCACACACTTGTTGCACGCCCCCTTTTCCCCGGCTCTACATGTAAAGTCCGAGTCGCCTGCGTCCAGCAGCTGCTCCCGAGCCCAAGGGGACGTTGGGTAGGGAAAAAAAAAAGATTGGACCGGTCGAGATTCCCGAACACATAGGTGGCATACTATACGTATACCAAATCATTAAGAGCTCTAATAAACATCAGACACCGGATTTATGCCACAATGACAATGACACTTTCTGATGGGAGAGCCCGCGACCCTAAAAGGCCGCTTTTAAGCCTGTGCAACTTTGAATTCTTCCATTCCGTCCAACTACTTATCCCCTCCCATACATACATATCCCCTCCCAAAAAAAGAAGAAACAAGAAAAAAAGTAAAGATGAGAATCAAACTGGAACAGTCCCAAAAGCATGCAGTTTGCCAGGTTTCCGAACGTGCCGATGTGGCAGCCTCCCCTGCATGGCAGCACGAGTTTGGCTTTCCTCCGTTCTGCCTCTCCGTTCCGTTTCCTGTCGATGACCATGCTCCGTTTGACTCAGCCTGCCGACACCGATTCCGTGTTGCTTGGCCGTATCGATGTGGTGCAGGGCAGAGGATGTGTGTGTCCTCCATATGTGCCCCCTTTAAACATAGACGCCAGTTTGTCTACAGATATTTTGTCGTACCTCGTGCATCCAAAAGAGAAAGAGAAACAAAATTTAACCATCAAATAGCGAAACACATAAATGAAAGCGATGCAAAGTAAGCCAGGCCATCTCGCGGCGGGCGAGCTGTCTTGCCGTCTGTCGTTCCAGCAGGCGTTCCCCACCATGTTGACTCCGTTTACCCAAACGCCGAACCCAGCGGTTTGTAGGTCTTTGTTATGTCCGTGGTGCTGCACGTTGCTTACGAAGCACCCTTGTCGACCCCCGCCATGATAATTGCCTCGTTTACAGAAGCTCATCACTACCACTGGCAACGCTGCCTTCGATAGCGTCGATAATGCAACGTTCGGAGAAGACTGGGCCTTGGCCGTCACACCGCGCCTGGTTCTTGAGTCGCTCACTTACGTCGCCAACGTCGACCAACCCTCGTTTGAATAGTGGGTGGTTGATGATGAAGTCCCAAGTGGCTCCGGCCGCCAACAACCGCTCTCCTTCCGACGATATCGCGACGCGGTGGCTTGGTGTCTTGTTATTGTGCTGTGCCAGCAGGTCAGAGTAGAAATCCTTGGGGTTGTAGTGCATGGGTCCCGTCATGCGAGGCTCCGGCGACGTAGAGCTGTTGTGACCGTTCATGGACGACGTGGCGCGAAGGATCTCGTTTTCGGTGCTAATCTTTTGCATCTCGCGCTTCAGCCTTTCGTTCTCGGTGGACTTCTGCTGAGCCTCGGCCTCAAGGTTCGCCAACTTGGCTTCCAGGTCCTTGACATGCTTTTCCTTGCGCTCGCGGAATGCGCGTTGACTAAATTCCACGAGGAACATGTCAGTAGTGATTAAGAAGACAGAGAAAAGCGATTGAGGCAAGAGGTGATGATGCCAGTTAGCGGAACAAGAGGGAATGTACGTACGCAGCGCGGTTCTGTGCCTTCCTTCTTGACTGGGCAGGTGTCAGGTCATCATCGTCCGAGTTAGAGCCGCCTCGCCGGGAGTAATCATCGAGAGGCTCCTGCTTGTGAACAACATCGGCCTGAGGCTGCTGGACTGGGGGTACGCTCATCCCATTGTGCTTGGGCTGTTGCTGAGGGGCTTGCTGCTGTTGGACCGGTAGGCCATGGTTCGGTGGCGTAGGAGGACCAGGGAACGAAGTATGCTGAGGGTTGAACTGGGCGGCGGCAGCATAGTTATCAAAAGTGTTGAACTGCTGGTCGTTAGGGTACTCTGTGTAAACACCCTGCTCATGTCATGATTGTGTAAGTGCATGTCGCAGTACGCTAAGCACCAATCCACCACTGACGGTGGGTATTTGGGGGCTCAGGACGGAAAGGAATTCGTCGACTTACCGGTGGAGATGTGGTGTTAAAGTCGTCTGAACCCGCCGAGTTGGAATGGGACGGCGTCAGGGGCGGGATGCCCATGAACTGGTAGGGCTGCGTCTGGGCGAAGTATTGTTGCGAGTAATCCATGGTCGCGATGTTGTCCTGGCAGAGAAGCGGCGACTCTTTGGAATGGGAAGAATGGGAAACGGCAGAAAATAAGAGCGGATGGGCGTGTCCAGATGAGGGTCCAAATCCAGACGAGGGGGGAGGAGGAGGGGGCAGCGCAGATTGGTGAGGGTCGAGGTGCCAGTGGAAAATGCGCCAGTCTGTACCGGTTCTAGTGGCAGGGTGACAGGGCGAGCGGGACGACTAAATGGTGTTTGTTGGTGGAATCGATGGGATCGGACGGGCTGGGGGCTTAGGAGGGCAGCAAGGAGGGCGTTGCTAGTTTGTATGTATACTGACTGGGTCTGCTTGAAGGGTCTTTCCCGTCCAGTTATGTTCGGCTATGTATGAACGTCCAGGGAATGGAATTCTGCGGCAAGCTAGGCGAAAGGACGTGGAGCGGTGGGCAGCCAAAAGAAAAAGGCGCTCATGGAAAGAGTGGAAGCGTAAAAAGCACAGGCCAAGGCCAGGCCCAGAGCGAGCGAGACGTGGGGTTGGGGAGAGACGCTAGACGCTGGTTGATGGAGGAGCCGAGTCGACCGGGTGGCGTTGGGCCAGCGGCGTCCTTACGAGGATGCAGAGGATGGTGTGATGAGTTGATCCTGTTGGCGTGTGCTCCCTCACTCTCTGTCGCGCGCGCGGGAGGTGCAGCAAGCAGTAGCGCAATGGAAGCTGCAACGTGGTGTGTGGGCTGCAAGCAGAGACAGGGTCAATACCAGACAGAGCATGACAGGGTCTGGTACGACAAACTGGTGGCGCAAGTTTCGAGGGCTTGTCTCAGTGCCGCTAGTGCTGCCGTCGACTGCTGTTTTGGATCTCTGGCGTGTGCTAAACGATTCGGATACAGGGCTAGAGGGGCCGTGAGATGACTAGGGGCTCTGTTGAAGGACGTCAGGCGTCGTCGCTAGTTGAATTCGAGTTAAGTGTAAGTCGATGTATTCAGAAATTGGCAAGAACAGAGGACAATCGTGGCTGAGGTTCAGCTGATGTCCGGGAACTCTTGCGAGGGAATCTGATATGTGTTCGGCTATAATATAATGTCATGGGTCTGTCCTGTCCGCCTTGGTGTTAACAAGGCGCTCATTGACAGTTCGACAGATATACATCCAAAAGGAATATATTTAAGCTTGCGATCCCGAGTCCATAACGCCTGGCATTGTCTAGGTCAAAGTCACGGTTGGTATTATATATGCCATTGATGCACATGGCCCAAAGCTCGACAGTCCTCCCCTCCTTGGTGTGACCGTGACTCGTCTGAGTTGAGCTTCTGAGGATACGAGTCCTGGACAAGCTCGAGTCGGTGCTCGCAAAGGCGCGAAAAGGTAAGCTTAAGCAGGAACGGAAACCACCACTGCAGGAGGCAGTTGAAGGTATCTCGCAGGAGGCTAACCGGGGCCCCAAGGCGAGAATAAGGTTGCTGTCGGTGAAGCACACGGAGACGGACTCTAGTTTTGTCGTCCCAAGTAGTTTTTGACTGACGAGTAACCCCTGAAGAAAAGATTGGGCTTATGATTAGAGGCGGCCTGATAGTTTTGCGTGGAACCTGGCAAGACATTGGCATTAAAGGTGGAAAAGTGCATGTGCTGGATGAGGTGACGGCCGTTGCTTCCAGGTTCCACCAACTCAGATGTGCCAAGCCAGAGCTAAATGGTATATGAGACCATTTGTCTTTCGCTAAATGATGTTGTCGAAGCCAAATGGCAACGGTGAGTCCGTATCTCGGGTCCAATTTGCCTCCAGGCCGGAGTTTGACTGAGTCGAGAGATGCAAATACAGTTGGGAATTGGGGGGGGGGGATGTAAGCATCCGCGGGCATTTCAGAGGGCCATTTTTTCGGCGGAGGAAAGAGCGGCCACGGTGCTGCCGGCAGAGGGATCCGTACCCGGGAGTCTTCCTTGGCTACTGCCGCCTTGGCTCATATTACGTGGTAGGCTCGCACACTCCCTTTTGTATACTCTCTTGGGACTTTCACATAACCCAAGGAGTGATCTGCCTGCTCTTGTCTAATTGTTCAATGTTGTTAAAAAAATTAAAAAAATAAATTGAAGAAATATAAAAAAAAAAATTAAAAAAAAGGGGAATAACAGCCGAGTGTCCTTTGCGCATCTCTTCCTTCTTTCTTGCTTCTTCTTGCAGCACATTGATTGCAACAGCCGTGCCTCGTCACTATTTTCCTTTTTCAAGCATCAGATCGCATCATTTACCTGCTGCCACCGCCTCCTTCTTCGTTGGTTGTTGGCGCACCATTGTCTCCAGACAACACTTCACACAACAGCTCCAGACGTCACCGGTCTTCGATTCCCTTTTTTGCTAATGCCCCGGCAAGGGTATCCCCCACCCGCAGATGGCAATGATGCCTTTCCTACTCGGAAACTCTAACAAACCTGCCCTATGGCGACGCTGCCTGCTCGAGAATGCAACCTGTCCGAACTTAACCCCCCGCCATACCTTAACCTTTTGCAGGCAAGTGTCCTCTACTGCAGACCGAGTACTCCACTGCTCACCTCGGTATGCATGTTGCATATCGAACTACAGGAAGTAAACCTGCCCTACCCTTCCCGACAATCGAGTTTTGTCCAGTCATCGTGACCCTCAACGTCGTGCCCCTCGTCTCTAGGCAGATCCACCAGTACCGTGGATCCCAGGGACAACAGCGGTACAACTACGGCAGCTTGTTCAGCTATCTGCAGCTTACGACTGCCTCCATCATCTACGTTTCTTGGCCACCTTTTCGCCAAGAGTAACTCTACTGCTCCAAGTACCCGAACCCAGCCGTCCTTGCCGTCCGCCGGACACCCTTCCTCCGTCCATACTACAGAGGAACGTGGACTGCAGACGGCGATCCCGGTGCCCTTGATCTCTTGTTTTACCTTTCGCTTTGGGTTGTCCTTCCTGCAACTTTCGTTTTCGCTTCACAGCGAAACCTCAAGATGATTATCCTCGCCGCATGCTCTGACTCGAATCTCTACGCCACCCTTTCACAAGACACACACACACACACACACACAGAACAATGATAGCAGGTAAAGCTTCTGCTTAGAGAAACATGACATCGGAAACAATATGCGGAGATGCCCACTCGATACCCTTCCCCAGAAGTTATGGTTAGTCCAATCACCGTCTCAATACCTATTCTTCGAGACTAATCTACGACACGGATGACAGCCAAGCATAATGATCCAGTCCAGTTCTGGCCCCTCCCCCAGCAGCTATTACTCAACATCACCCATCGTGATCAACCAATGGAAACGAAGCCAGTGACGCACAGAGCCTGAGCTTTCTTCTTGGTTCCCTCGTCCATCGTTTTGCTCCTACAGGCAGAGACATGTCATCCAACTCCTCTACAAAGTCAAATGGTATCGCAGCCTTCTCAACGTCATCTCGCCTGACTGCCTTTTTGGGGCAAATTAGCCGTGCATTCAAACCAACCTTCCGCAATAAATGCCAACCATCCTTTCCTCGCCTCACTAAATATGTCTTTAGAAGCTTAACAGCTGAAATGGAGGAACAAAGACCCTCAGAGCTAGTTCCTGAGCCGACAGTCAGCCGTTCTGTCAACTTTCGTGATGCGGATTACCTCAAGTCCCTGTCCATGGTTCTTCGCACACGACAGGCATCTGTTGTCAGGGCTTGTCTTGTTTGAGGCTCGAATGCACAATAGTCCTAGAGGCTGGCTTGACCGAGCTTGTAAGTGGCTTGACTATGCTTCAATTTACACTCCCGTGATATGTACAGTTAGCTATTCCCGTACTATCTTAAATACAGTCTTCATCATTGGATAGTTAGATCCCAACTCATCTACAAGGACTGTTTGATTGTTCGCTCCCCCTCTACCAGCCGAGACGAAGTTTGACACGAACTGGCATTTGATCGGCAGCCTGTGATTCAAGCAAATTGACTCCACTGACCCGTTGCGTCGTACAAATAGCCAATGTAATTGAGGCTCGACCGGTCGACGAGGGACATCACTGTAGGGGGCTCTGGTGCTGGGCACAGACAATGATGATGGCAATGGAGGGCATTACGAAGTATGGTGAGTAACTGCCGAAAACACAACTACCCAGCCAACCTTATTCATGACCAGCAAAGGGATACGGATGCAATAGCAGTCGCGCATCTCCGGCCTTGGCCGATATCCGTTGAAACGAGGTTCTATAAACTCTAAAAATCCAGCTGGGTCGGTCTCTATCTCCAACCAACTACAGACTACAAACCGCATTGTCACGTCCACTTCACTTGATGGTCGGGTCTCGGCTGGTCTCACGCGGCGATGCACGGAACACCGATTGGTAGTCAGACAGGATCTGGAAGGGTGAACCTGTCAGGCCCATATGGTAATCAGAGAATTAGCCAGACTTACAGGCTAATCAGCCTCTAGGTTTCGTATCCAGCCACTCTTTCAAGCGAGTCGGGAAAATGCATCAAAGGTCCTTTAGCTCCTGAGGTACCCGTCTGATTCGTCTACGAGCGAAAATTAGAGACTGCATGCCATGGTAATATGTAGGAGGGACGAACGGCGCTTGGATCCCGGCCTCACTGTTTTGGCGGAGAGCTCAGCAGCACCCACTACGTTCAACAATCTCAAAGCTGGATCAAAGAGGCCTGGAGCGGGAGACACGAAAGGCCCTTTCGCCAGTCGCTTTGGCAAACGGTCGCTTTGGAAGCAAACATGCACCGCGACAATCCCGATGCCTATGCCTTTAAAAATAGCCGCTGCTTACAAACATACGCTAATGGTTGTTCTGACGCCTACTGGTAGGATGCTTCGAGACGTTTACAATATGGCCAGGTGGTCGAGGCAAATAAACAGGCGTCCCGCATCACCACAACGCTGTCAGCCCGTAGGGCCACTCAATCAGAATGGTTTCTGAATAGTCTCGAATATTGTGCGGCTCGCTTAGTTGATGCAGTCAGCATTTGGGCAGCTGTCGCACTGTCTCCTTCCTGTTGAGGAATAACGCTTTTGATCAACCTCCTTGAGT